TATATGCCTCCTTTTGGCAACTTCTGCAGCCAAGCTGGTGCCAGATGTCTTGCTATGCTTTCCTCTGGACCACATCAGTGAGGTTGACTGGGGGTGGGGGTGGTCTTGTCATCAGGGCAGCCCAGGACCTCCATAACACTACCTAGGCTTGCACCCTGGGGAGATCACTTTGGTGCTGCTAACACTGCAGTTTGACTTCATCCCAAAGGCACACTCCATTGTCTCTCAAGATCGGTGGATGCCAACAACTTATGGATAGCCTCCTTTCTGAAGGAGGCTCTGATTTTTAAAATTCTAGTAAGTAATGTTGGATTTGCAGCACTCCACTCATGCCTATAGTTATAAAAGGAGATAAATACTATCTGTCATTCATCTTCAACTACATATTGGCACAAAGGGTTTTATGTTTTAGATAGGAATTGATTAGGTCAAAAAATGGCGGGGGGGGGTGAATAAAGAAAGAAAGTAAGTGACCGCACTCACAAATTCTGTTCTCAAATTTGATAAATGATCCCTACTGGGAATCGTTTGCCTTTGCAAAATTACTTCTACGTGACATTTGTCTCTCTAAAACTGTGTACTTTATTTATGGTAGATTACATTTTTAAAATGCTAATGGCATAAATCCTATTTCAATAACCAAAAATTCTGAATGCCTGTGGGCATCGTAAGGAATGTAAGCAGGAGGCCAAACGATCAAATCAATGATACATAATCTCTGAGTAGCATTTATTTAAATGAATATTTACCACTGCTCTATTTAAACATAGATAGCCGCTGTAGCAAGTCATGTAGCGAAACACACAAAACAATGTCTGTGTAAGGTTGCATTCAGTAGCTCCATGTTCTAGCCTAGGGCCTTTTCTTTTCTTTATAGCTTGTACTTTCTGAACCTTGACTTCAATTTCCAGTAAACTTGCTAAACATATTGCACAAGCATTTCTGCAGTATGTTGGAAAAGTCAGAACAATGGTTTATTACTGCTCATTGCAATGCAATTCCATTAGCCATTCCATCAACTTTGGCAGTTTATTGTTAAATGTTTACTGTGTCCAAAAATGTCACAATCAGTTTGTGACCTTTAAAGCTGGTGTTTCTAGGTAAGGTAACATAATTAGGGGTTAATGAAATGTGTTATTTCAGGATGAGAACTCAAGCTTCCATGTCCAATGGCAATATACATCTGTAATAGCCTGGTCATAGAACTACTACAGCATTCACCTTTTGTTAAACAACCATAGTTTGGAAATTTACCTGGGGATAAGACCCATTGAACTCATGCTTACTGTTGAGTAAGCATGCAGCATATGGACTGCACGCAAGCATTCATTTAATACTACGAGCCTTTCACCCAGCTTTGCTTGGGGATTCTAAGAAATCAAAAGAACAGTACTGTACAGTTTTGAAATCCATTGTTAAAACAGGTGCTGCTTTGAAAGATTCTGGCTGCCATCTTGATTCAAAATGGCGTTCAGTTGTCTCCAGACACAGACCAAAACAACAACAACCCTTCTTTGATCTCAGGAACCACCATTCAAAACTTGGTTATGATATCTCGAGAGCTCTCCAAATGTATAGCAAACAGAGAAACACGTTTTCAAAATATATATAGCAGACTAGAGATTTATATATATTGCTTGAGAATGCTAAGCAGTGTAGTTTTGAAAGGTTCAGTCGGCCATATTGATTCATAGTGGCATATAATTGTAGGCAAACAAAGACACACACAAAAAACCCTCTACAGTCTCAGGAACCGTCGTGCAAAATTTAATTACTATCCTGCTTCAGATGAAACCAAATCCAGCAGCACCAAGTCCACTCACAGAGGCATCTCCTCCCCACAAAAAAATGCACAAAAAAGAACTCAGAACTTGGGCTGAGTCCAAATTGGATTGGAATCAAAATATGCAAAGTTATTTGGGAGGAAGTAGCTTAGCCTATTTCTGAGTCAATCCTTTACTATATAAACAATGTGCGCATGCTAGTAGAATCCTCCAATTGGGGCTGCAGCCCTCCACATTGAGAGCATGTGCCCCTGAATTTATGTATTTCCTTTCAACACCTTGGCATATTTAGGTATCTAACATGCACTTGTTTTCATGGAGAGCTTACAAAGCCTTTAAAGGTGCTGAGCACATACTCTAGACTGCACAAGACTTTTTGAGGTGATGGTGACGAAAGCATGAATGTCACAGGAACTGTTATCAGTTGCAGGTGTAGGTATATTCCAAACTTCTTCTTTTTTTAAATTAAGTTCTCACAGCACATAAAACATTAGTCATGGAAACTTTCTGTTCCGGTGTCTTAATCTGTTGGAAAATCTGCCCTTGTTTTAACCTTGTAGCATTTGAGGCTGGTTGGATCTTCAAGGCCTGGTAACATTTCCAATTCCATGTGACTAGAAAGGAACCCACTTTTATGGCTAATCGGAAGCTATTGTCTCACTTTCCTTCAGGCATGGACATCAATTGGTTGTTTGGCTTATCTCTGCTTTGGGTGCTTAATGCTTCCAGGACCCACAGTTTGTAGTTAGAATTCTACTCCTGGCTACAGTAGTTACTATCAGTAGTTTTCTGGAGGCAACATAAAGGGTTGGGCTCATATGTGATAGTCTGTGTTTAGACCACTGGGTTTAGACCACTGAGCCTCTTGGGCTTGCCAATCAGAAGGTTGGTGGTTCGAATTGGTGCAATGGGGTGAGCTCCCATTGGCTCTGTCCCAGCTTCTGAGAACCTAGTAGTTCGAAAGCATGCCAGTGCGAATAGATAAATAGGTACCGCTGCGGCAGGAAGGTAAATGGCATTTCTGTGCACTCTGGTTTCCGTCATGGTGTTCCATTGCACCAGAAGCAGTTTAGTTGTGCTGGCCACATGACCTGGAAAGCTAGCTGTGGACAAACGCTGGCTCAGTTTAGATGGAAATTGTTTGATTTGGTTGTGTACTTTTCAATGTTTTATTTGTTGTTTTTGACTACTTTTGTTATGTTTGTAATTGTGTAATTTTTTATATGTTGTAAGCTGCCTCGAGCATGGTTTTAACTTTGGAAAGCCGGTGTACAAATAAAATGATTGAATGATTGATATTTCAGAATTGTAGTCTAATATAGCAATATAGCCACATTCATGTTGCTATCTTTCTCCCCCATCACAAATGTGAAGCTATATAAAATGTTTCTATAATTCATTTGCCAGATTTTTTTATTCTTTGCAGGTGTGAAATGCTTTGCACTTGTAAAAATTATCTGTCACATGATAAGAAAAAGAGAGCATATATTACCTAGGGCTGGTCAAAGAGTTTGTGTAAATATTATTTACACCAACTGTTTCTGGTTAATGGAAATCCAGACTTTATATACAATCTTTTAAAATGTTTGGTGCTTCAATTTTACTGGAAGTAAGAAAAGGATAATTGATGCCAAATGCTCTTTTATTGTCTCCCACATGGCAGAATCAAGCTATTCGGTGGATCATTGAAGTGTGCCCAGGCATTGCGCCAGATCATCAGGAAGCAAGGTCATATGCGATGAACACACAGTGCTTGAAACAGGAATAGCATGTATCAGGACTTTAAAAAGGGCTTTCATTCCACTTTCATCAGATTAAATCAAGAAACTGGATTTTCATGGGGGGGGGGGGTGCTGAGCCTCCAAAATATATACAAATCTCTCCATCCTTGCAAAGAACACAAATGAGATTTATGAATATGCAGCACTAGATAACATGATTACAGGCTGGTATCATTTCAAAGAGCCTCCCAGCTCTTGTGTAAACCAAAGATTATCACATGCACCAGCTCAGCTATTTGATTCCCCGTGGAACACTAATGTCATTTATACATGTCAGATTCCAGGAAGAACCTAGCCATTATAGAAGAAACTGTATCTTTTGCACCTTAACTGCATCAACTCTTGTCATATTATTTTCTGGTCAGTAAATCCAGACCGGTAACCTATTATTCAGCTTTCACAAACATCTGCTTTGCAAAGCCAATGTTGAAAGATTGTAAGAAGGAAAAAAATGGCCACTATGCAATAGCCTAAGAATGGATTTTGGAATAGAACATAAGAACCTGCTGAATCAGGCCAATGGTCCATCTAGTCTGGCATCTTCTTCTCACAGTGGCCAACCAGATGCCCGTGGGTAACCCACAAGCAGGATTTGAGCACAAGAGCCCATCTGTGGTTTCCAGCAACTGGTTTTCAGAAGCATTACTGTCTCTGATCATGGAGGCACAGAATACCCACCATGGCTAGTAGCCATTGATAGTCCTTTCCTCCATGAATCTGTTTAATCTTCTTTTAAAGCCATCTAGGTTGGTGGCCATCACTGCCTCCTTTGGGGACGCGTTCCATAGTTTGACTATGTGCTGCATGAAGATTTAGGTGCTTTCATGCTTCTATGAAGACATCTGTTCCACACTGATAATATGAAACGACTTTTGTGGTGTTAAGAGTTTTTTTTTAGGCACAATGTGATGCATTTTCTGAACGACTGGGGATTTAGAATGAGCAGGTGGCATTTTGTTCCACCAATTGCTATTGTTTTCCTTCCACCAAAACACCCACAAAGGAATCTCCCAAGCAAAGTATTTATACTTTTGCCATGGTGTTCCGTTTGCAACTCCAATTGCTCCAAAGGTTTTATGAATGGAGTCCATTTATTAAATCACCAAAGCCATTTGTCAGAACCATGTCACTTGTATAATTGTGACACCTTTCTCAATTCCCCAGGCTTCGGGGAATGAGGACAGTATACTGGAATGCACTGGGTGGTTGCATCTCAGCCCCCTAGCAATTATATTGTGGGGTACAAAAGCTCCCATATTGTCTGCAATGCTCTGTAACATCTTGCTAAAGCCATTGAGAGTAGCTATTCAGAGTATAGTGCCATCAATATGCTGATGGCACCCAGCTCTACTTCACTGATACATCTAAATCAGGTGTGGCTGTGCAATTCCTGGATCCGTGCCTGATAGCAGTGGAGGGATGGATGAGGGCTAACATTGCATGTTGACAAGATGGATGTTCTGTAATCATTTCCTGATTCCAGGACAAGCAGTCTGCTTGTTCTGGGTGCTTCTCTGCATTCCTTCTGAAGGATCGGGTTTATATTGGGGTGGGGTGTTGTTGGAGGACCAGAGAGCTGCATTGACCAAGGGTGCCTATTAGCCTTTGCTTAGTACTTTATGGCTGTTTCTGGACAGGGAGAGTCTGGCCATAGCACCCCCAGGCACTGGTGACCTTGAAACTGGACTACTGTAATGCACTCTATGTGGAGCTTCTTTGGAAGTTGGTCCAGAAATTTCAGCTGATGCAAAATTCAGTCGCTACGTTGTTGAGTGGTGCAACTTATCACAAGCACGCCACCTCTTTGCTGAAACCGCTGCACTGACTGCCCATGGGATAAGAGACTGCATGTAGTATCTTATCAAGAGGTCCATTCTGCACAAGACAGGAATCAAGACTTTCGTGTTGTAGCACCTACCCTTTGGAATTCCCTCCTGTTAAAATATCAGAAGGCAGTGTCTCTGCTCCCTTTTCAGCACCTACTGAAGACCTTCCCCTTGCAGCAAGTTTTCTAAGTAGAGATTTTTCTTAATCTGCATCCGTATTAGAATTGTTTTTAGGGGTTTCAACTGTTTTATTGCTTGTTTGTTTGCCAGCCTTGGCTCCTTTGGGAGGAAGGATGGGGTATATATTTAAATAATAATTTTTAAGAAAGGAATATGAACAAAACAACTTGGGATGCAGTTACCTGAGGGAGCACTTTCCCCCATACCAAGCTACCCACTCATTCAGATTTCAAAGAAGGCTGCCCTCATTTTTCCACAGCTTGTGGAAATTCATTTTGCAGAAGCCAAGGAAAGGGCATTTTCTGTGCAGCAACCAGCCTTTGGAATCATCTCCCCTCTGAAACAAGGCAAGTGCCAAACTTGATGTGTTTTTTGCTCCTGTTAAGGACTTGCCTTTTCACCCAAGCATTTTTGCCAAGCTTTTAGTAATTATTCTGACTTACTGTGGATGTTGCATTTTTATTCAGAATGCATTTATATTGTTGTGAACCAGCCTGGTTTATTATTATTATTATTTCAAAATGATGCTTGTAGAGTTAATGATCTTGTAGAGTTGTTTGCTGAGATGCTTACAATGATTTGAATTGCTTTGAACGCTCTAGAATGCTGCACAAATGGTTAAGATTATTCTTGACATTTGATTCTACATATAGGCTGCAATCCTATACACACTTACTTGGGAGTAAGTCACTATAAACTCAGCTGGGCTGAGGACAGATGTGCACAGAATTGATTTGTTAGTCAAAGAGAGGCAATATATTACTTCAAATAATTTTGTGGGTGTGGAGTGTTATTTTCTTTGCCACAACTCTCTTTCCACAACCCCTAAAGCTAGTGATAATATATTATTGCTTTTAATTTCATTGCAGTTCCTGCTTCCCAGTCACAGGCGTTGTCAAACACTTGTCACTTTGCACTAAGGCAGCAGAAAACATTCAAAGCACATCTTGAATCCAATCAGCTTTCGTTGTTGAAAGGTTCTGCACACATGGACACAGGATATTTATACAGGTGCAAATTTTACAAATGTGCTGCTTCCTTACCCAGAAGGAAGCCATTAGGGTTCAGAAGGAGGAGGCCAGACTTACTCTTGCACACATAAGTGGGTTTTTTTTAAAAAAAGAGAGGGGGTGACATAATCCAGTCATAGCTGAGCACCTTGAAGATACAGTGATTTCAGTGGTAAAGTTAATTGCATCAATGGGACTTCACAGTGTTTAATTTTTGCTAGGTGGTGCCCAGCTTCTTTAGGGATAGCAATGTAGTATTTTACGACAAAATTATAATCTGTAGCCTAGAAAAGTTATTTTCTTGCTCTGTAGAATACAAAATAAATTTGGACCTTGTATTAGAACAGATGACGTGTGTGTGTGTGTGTGTGTGTGTACACACACATTGTTTTTAATAGGAAAAACAGAAATGCTATTTTCTGTCTCATTTCTTACTTCTTTTACAAAATGCATGTGGTTTTTGTACTCAGGTATGGCAAAAGCATGACAAATTATGACTCCAGTAAAGTCAGCGGCTGATGTTCTATGAAGCTGAAGGTGTTGTCTGTTTACCTAACTATTCAATGTGTGTGTTCTTGCTAATAGTCTGTTTGTAGCCCCACCTCCCCCATCCCGATCAAAACATATGTGGGCATTTCATACTTTTGGGATAGACATTCTTAAAACTTTCAGACCGTCACTGTTTTCTGAGGGAAGACATTTATATTCAAGATCTATTTCTGCTTTACATTTTTTCTGTTTATCTAACCAAGTATGTCTGGATGTTTAAGTAAACAGAATGTTAGGGATTTGTCAGTTCTGGAAAATTAAAAAAAGACTTTATATTTTCAAGCAGGACATTTTGCTATGGAACAAACAGGTCTGGTAGGCCTCTGAAACACTTAAGCCCATTTAAATTTAATTCCATGATGTGAGATTAGCTGCTGCTTACAGCCACTGATCCAGTTATATCCTGCCTTTTTGGTGGTATTTGCATGTGTGTTAAATGCCACAAAAATATAGTGTGCCTATTCTATAAATGCAAAATTATTACATGAAACAGGCTTTCAATGTTTATGAATGCATAGACTGGAAAAAGTTGCTCAGACACTTGATCTAATTTTCAGAAATGAAAATGATGTAATAATAATATTAGTTGTAAATACATTTTAAAAAATAATAACCATAGAACCATTGCTAGTGAGTGATATTGGTTTGGGGGGGAAAGCAAAACATGTGCAGCATATAGATATGAAGCCATGGATGGTACGAAATCCCCTCCAGGAAGCTTGTGGAGCCAATATCCCAGGAATTCCTTTTGAAGCTAGGAATGTTCAATAATACCCTTTTGTCTGGGGGCTTATAGCTCTAAATATCTCAGATTTAACTTAAGCAAAGAATAAAGATCACTCCTGCTAAAGGAACTCTTTCCATGTGATTTGGAAAGTGATGTCTGTCGTTTTGCCCACTATCCCTCCACAAAGGATGGGTGGAACAATGATGGCAGCCAATATGTCTGAGATTGGAAGAGCTAATGAATATGCGGAATGTGTCGTTCCCCTTTTGTGCCATGTTAGATGGGCTCATCCAGTTGTTGTTGTTGTTATTTTATTATTACATTATTATTATTATTATTATTATTATTATTATTATCATTATTATTAATACTCCGCCCATAAGGCTGGGTTTGCCCAGCCACTCTGGGCGACTCCCAACAGATTAAAAGCAGAATAAAACACCAGATATTAAAAACTTCCCTAAGCAAATGTTCTTCTCTCAGATAGGTGCATTCTGCAATAGGGCACAATTTGAGCGGGCCTCCGTGCTAGTAGCATAAAGTTCAATTCAGTTCTGCATTTTGCTTTACCAACCCACATTGATTCTTACCAAGTGAGCAGTGCTGTTGCAATAGTCCCTTTTTACCCTTTAATATGGGTGCATCTGGACAAATGCTTAAGGGCTGTGACATTTGCACTCCACATATGGCCAAATATCTCAATGGAAAAGAGATCACAAGGCTCCAAAGGTCAGTAAGGTGCTTGCCAGTAAATACCTATCATAGTAACTCACACTGTTATCCAACTGACTCCCAAATTGCTCTCCTTGACGCTCCCTCCAGCTTAGCCCATGGTAAAAATTCCCACAATTTGGCAGTAAGGCAACAAAGCAGTAACAAGGACAGCAGCCATTCCTCAACAGCGAGGCCAAGTGGGAGGGTCGTGTTGTCTATACAGCCCAGGACCTCCATACACCCTGCCCAGCCTTGCACTCACTTCATTGCTGCTGTTGCAGGGGCTAGACGTCACCCCCAGAAGTGCACTCCATTGCCACTCAAGGCAGATGGATGCCAACAGCAACAGACACCATTTTAATTTTTCATACTTAACTCCTGCCGTTCAGTTCAGCTAAAGAATTCCCATTTCAGTTACTGTTTTCATGCTCTTCTGTTTATTTTACCAATAGCCCACATTCTATTAATTGACACCTTGCATACCCGGCACCACTTATACGAGCGATTCCATGAACTTGACCCGGTTATTCAGGAGTTCCAGAGGATTAGTAACATTTGCGTTACATTTCTTTGAACTTCCTTTGAATAAAGGATGGGCTGCTAAACAGGAGTTAGTATTCTAGTAAAAGTAATGAAAAAGGTGGGCCAGGGATCTGCAAAAGTCATGTGAAACCAGATGGCAGCCTTCTGTTACAACAGGGAATTGCTGATGATAATGCCCAGGGCTCGGATCACTTTGGTATGCATTCATCTTGATTGTCTTATTCATTTCCAGTTGCTAAAGTGGCTTCGAATTCAATTATTGTTACCTCATTCTGACAGATCACAGAATAAAGCAGTTAGGGTATTATTCTGTATCTGCTTCTAAAACACACAAGAAGAGTCTGCATTTGAGTTACCATCTGATAGAATCATAGAATTGTATAGTTGGAAGAAACACCAAACTACAACTAATCCAGAATGCAGCAGCTAGACAGGTGACTGGGAGTGGCCGCCGGGACCACATAACACTGGTCCTGAAAGACCTGTACCAGTATGTTTCCAAGCACAATTCAAAGTATTGGTGCTGAAATTTAAATCCCTTAATAGCCTCGGCCCAGTAACCTGAAGAAGTGTCACCACCCCCATTGTTCAGCCTGGACACTGAGGTCCACCTCCAAGGGCCTTCTGGCGATTCTCTCCCTGCGAGAAGTGAGGTTACAGGGAACCAGGCAGAGGGCCTTCTCAGTAGTTGTGCCCACCCTGTGGAACACCCAACCTTCAGATGTCAAGGAAATAAACAACTATCTGACATTTAGTAGACATCTGAAGGCAGCCCTGTTTAGGGAAGTTTTTAATATTCGATGTTTTATTGTGCTTTTAATATTCTGCTGGGAGCCACCCAGAGTGGCTGAGGAAACCCAACCAGATGGGCAGGGTATAAATAATAAGTGATTATGATTATGATTATGATTATGATTATGATTATACAAAGGTCATCTAAAGCACCCCACCTCCAAAGCTCTTGGACCTGACATGGTATGTCTGGGACAAAAACGTGAATTATTCATTTCCAACAACAATTAGTTTGACAAATATGTGTTTGAGAAATATGAGCTCTCTTCCCCTACTCAAAACAAATACAAATGACATTCAAGATTCATGCTGTATTTTATGAGCCTACTGAATCAAGAGAAGTATGGCCAAATTGCTTTGCACTATAAATGCGCTTAAAAAAAAAAAAGTATGCATAAATTGTGTGTTAACACAGAACACTTCTCATAAGGCTGGTTTTTTCTGCTGTTTCACAACACGATGGGTACTTACAGACCAGCAAGTGCTGAGGTTTCATAACATGCAAATTATTGTCTGAATTGCATTTCAATCCAACATGATTTTTTTATTTAAAAAAAGTACAAAAAAGAACCATATTCACATACATTGTTAAAAGAGCCGCTGAGCAGGTAGCTCATGTGAATTCTCATGAGCAAATAACACATCCAGTTCAGATAACGAAGACAAAAAGATCCCTGCTGGATCACATCCACTGCTCCCATCAGTATCGTGTTTTCTGCAGTGGCCAATTGCAGTGGCAAGCAGGATATAAAGGCTCTTACTCCCTACTGTGGCTGCTCCCAGAAGCTGCTATCCATAGATATTTTATTTATTTATTTATTTATTTATTTATTTATTTACGGCTATTAGCCCATAAAGTATGTACAAACATAGAAGCACAGAGGCATAAAGACTAATATATTCGGCACCAGAAGGTGAACATCATGATGCAGGGGTGGGTCATTGAGCAGAGCCAGATAACAGCTTGGGGCCCGGAGAGCTCCAAGGGACGGATCCCAGAAAAGGAGAACTGAAGACGAGATCCGACATGCACTCTCTTCAAAACTGTCCGATTAGTTTTTGATGTTGTTGTTTTTGGTGGTTTTGTGTGTGAGATAACTGCATTCAGGAATCTCGCCACCTGCAGAGTTACAGAAGGATCTGTATCCTGCAAAAGTAGTGCGGCATGTGACTCAGCAGGCCTGCCAACCAAGCGCAGTAAAGCAGGGCCCAGGAATTTAGTCCTGGCTATGCTATGTAGGGGACAGTTGAACATTATATGTGAGAGAGAATCAACAGTTTTCCCGTCACACACGCATAGCGGAGACACCAAACCCTTGGAAAATCTGTGGCTCAGCAGGTTCGATGGAAAGACATTGAACCTTGCACTAATAAATGCATGTCGGTGTGGTACAGATGAAAGAGATGACATGTATTATGGAAGGCCAAGTGGTGAGGTTATTCCGTGATACCTGGGGAGCAGACACCCTCACCCCGGCGAGGTTGTGTTGATTTTCAATGTCTGCTAATCTCTGCTCAATAAGTCTTTTGGCTGAGCGTAAGTTCATCTTTAAGGAGTCCGCTGGGGAAATTCCGATGCTCAGAAGTTTGGCATGGATTTTTCCTACCCACGGATTGACAAAGTCGTCCCGCCAGAGGCACTGAAAAAGGTAATGGTTGGGAAGCCTGTGCCAGCTGGACAGCCAATAACCAAAGACTCGCTTCCAGATGACCGTCTCCAATGATGCAATCCTTAACTCCAGACGTATGGCTGCGTTGCTCACACACATGGGGAGTTTCATGAGGCGACGGAGAAACTGATTCTGCAATGTCCCCAACGATGTTAAATTGGACCCTGGGGCCCAGAGCGGGGCAGCATAACAGAGGGTGGAAACCACTTTTGCATGGTACACCTTCAATGCAGAAGGGATGTGGGAGGCTCCGTCGGCCGCAAAAATTGGAGTAGAGTATAAAGTATTGTTTTCCTTTGTTTAGTAAATACTGTATCTGTGGCTTCCAGCTTAGGTTGTAGTGAAAAAGACTCCCAGGTATTTAAATTTGAAAACTTGTTCTAATTGGACTCCATCTAACTTCCAGCTGTAAGTTTTCCGAGACCTGGTAAAGACCAGGACTTTAGATTTCCCATGATTAATTGTCAGATGGTTGAGTTTGCAATAAGCCGCAAAAAACTTTAGAGCTCTGCATAAACCGACTCTAGAGTAGGAAAGGATCGCTGCATCGTCGGCATATAAGAGCAGAGGGCAGCGAAAATCAGCTAGGCGGGGGGCATGAATGTTGGCTTGAGACTCATTTAGAAAGAGCTTCATATCGCTAATAAACAAATTGAAGAGGAGTGGGGCCAAAATGCAACCTTGGCGCACACCTCTATTTATTGGGACCTCGTTGGATAGGTTTCCCGCCAGTGTGAGTCTCACTCTAGCCGACGACCCATGGTGTAATTGGGTTATAAGCCATAACAGCCTTCTATCTATGCCCCATCTCTCTAATTTCTTCCATAGACAGTTTCTTGGGATAAGGACATAAGGTCTAAGACGGGAGTATTGAGTTTATCAATTTCCTCCACGGTAGAATGGTACTGTTGGAGCTGTTGGTCAACAGGTGATTGCTGATTCAGATCAGTAGGGGGTAACAAAGTAGCAGGTTGAGAGATTATCAGGGCATTTAATGGAGACGCCTTGTGGGACGTGGAGTGCCTGCTCTCCTCTCTCATCGGCATAGAGGGGTCCCCTTGCGATAGGAGTCTTTGTTTGAGTAGATCCAATCTATCGAGAATAGCCTGCTGTTCTTCTGAAGGGAGTTTTCCATAGGAGAAGATAAGATTTCTCTCTTCAGGGATATTCCAATCTCCGCTTGCAATTGGATCATTCCTCAGTGTAGCTAGATGGGCACTTGAGGTCGCAGATGGAGCAGGGGGTACCCAGCTAGATGTTTTCCCCTTTATTATAGGAACAGAAGGAGGAAACGAGCGTTCATTGCCGGTTAAGATGTTGGCAAAAAGAGGTTTAACACTCGTGTCCTTAAAGACTCTTGTTGTTACAATCTCCCAGGGTGCCAGCCGATCTTTCTCTCTTGCAAGGAGATGTGGGATCCTTGCAGACTGGAAGGAGAGCATAAATTTCCTTGGCCAGGGCGTGGCAATTAGGGGTACTACAGATATAAGATCTATCTGGAAAAAAGGAATATTTAACAAATCACGTAGGTACCCTTTAGCCATCCTCAGGTTATTCCACCTAAGTCTGGGGGCGTCACGGGAAAAAATGGCTAGACATATTTTATTAGGTTGAAAAATCAAGGATTGCCTATTCCTTTGGGGGCAGTGGCGGCCTGCATCTTGAGCTCTTAAGGTGAAATTTCTGGTCAGGTTGTCTCTTTAAGGCACTTACAAGCTGCACAGGAGATTGATGCAAATTAGATAGCTCAGTTGAGGAAGGTAGATGAGCCAGAAGGGCCCGTGAAAGTTTATTCAATGTCAAAGAAATCCTCCAATTCCTTGAAAATGAAGCTTAAAGTCCTGATTACCAGTTGTATTTGATCAGGTACTAATTCATGGGCAGTTTGCCCTAATGCGTCCCGCTTCAATGACGGAGGTGTAATTAGGGTATCAGGGGAGGAGGGCTTCCCCATGGCTTCCGTCCCCCCGCTGGATCAGCTAGCTTTTCCGGCTCTCCTTGATCATACAGAGGCCAAAAGCGGTTGTATGTTTCGACCGCAGAAACAATTACTTGCTCTGTTTTGCTGTTATTGTTAGTAGATGGTGGGGAGATTCAAGCTTCGACTGCTTTACTCTTGGAGGTGAGCAACCTTTCTCAGCAGATCTTGGTCGCTTGCCATGACCCATTTGTCGCTGTCTCACTAACTACGGAGGTTCAAAGTAGAGATAAACGGAGATAAAAGAGAGAACTTATCTTTTATGGGCGCAACTCCTCTGCTACTCCTCCTCCACTTCTCTCCATAGATATACTGCCTCTGAAACCTGGCCTAGTCACTGCATACCATTAAAAAGGGCCCTTGCAATGGACTGTTCAGCAGTTAGTGTGACAAGGCAGTAGGATGGTACTCGCCAATTCCGCACAGTTAATTCAGCGGTATGTTTTTCACTGTTGCTGCCCTCTAATATAGTACAGTTGGAAATCAATTAAGCAAGGGAGCTATTCGCCACTAACATGCCAATGGATAGATTTTCCTTGGCTACAGGAGATCCAGATTGCATCTCAAGAGGCACATTCATTACTGTCACTTGTTTGTCAGCAGTCTCCTATGATAAATGGGCAAGATCCTCCACATTTGGATACATCTTACATCACACACAACCCTGTTTCTTCCATCTGTTTGCTGCAGACCAAACTGTTCCACTTCATGTACCTTGTCAGGCGGCAGCGGCGGGGGCTTTATTAACATGCTTCTGCGTGAGCTCCAGTTAGAACAATACCGAAACCTTTCAGACTACCTAAGCATGATGAAAATGAAGATGTAAAAAGAAGCAGCTGAAAGGATGATTGAGTGGAAATGCAATATGAGACACATGAGGAGGTAAGTGAAGTGAAGTGTGATGCAGTTACGGAAAAGACCCTTTGCTCTTATGACTCATCCATTGAGAAAGTCTGTCACACTGTCTTTCTGCACAGTGACCACATGCTTCGTCCTCAGTGGGCCAGGCAGTGAAAGGAGATCAAGGAAGCACTGGGAAACTCTAGGATTTTGACCTTCTGCAAGGCATTTTGAAGAACAGGAATTTACCACAATTATGCCTAAATCATTGAGAAATGTGGAACATGAGCAGCATGCCTATTTCCTATCATATTTGAGGATAGGCTGTAAACTGGGCAAAGGCCTTTGATAACCGCCAAGCCACTACACTCCCTGCTGGCTACCACATCCTGGTTCCAAATGCCACCACGATTCATCTGCTGCTTGGTTTGGCTTCACATTTTGCAGCCTGAGACAAAGGACAAGATCATGGCCCCCGTCAGTATCATGTACAGAGGTGGACTGGACATGCAGCTAAGTCTTAGTTCAATGCTGGTGATGGGATAGCATCCTCCAGCACACCTGAAGCAGCAAGGCCAGATTAGGCGGCCCAAAAGAGGCCATGTGGCGGAATAGCCAGAGACAGCTACAGCTGTACCTGAACTATTAGTCTTTTGAAACAATTGCCTCACTCTACCTTTTATAGGGCAGGCCCTGCATGGCTATTGTGCAGTTTTACACACTGCGGTGCTGGACAACAGCAAGCACATTATCCCAGGCACAATCTCAACCATCAATAGGACGACACAGTTCTGGAAGCCTGGTTCATATTTTTCTGTAGTCAAGATTGAGAGAGCCTTCCAATGAACCATGTAGAAAATAGCAAGACAGAACGAAGTGTTCTATCAGGAATATACTACATCACCAAAACAATCACAGACTTATTTTCAGCAAAGGCTTCTTGAATGATGAATTGGTAAGAGAACATTTTCTAATTAGGAAAATGAAGAATGATTTAAGTACTTTTGTAAATCATCCTAGCAGATGAACATAAAACATAATGAAATCATTCCTTTTTTTCAGATGGGTACCCTAAAAGATGCAGCCTCAGATATAAAATGCATTCATGAGGGGCAAGGGATCTATTCTTATGTATGTAAAAAAAGCCAACGCTATGTAATGTGTATATATTTTCTAACTTCTTGAATGGCGCTTGAGCTGTGCTTATCAATTTAGTCACAAAATCAACAACAGCTGTGGATTCACCTACAGCAAATCAGAAAGAGAATATATAAACCCAAGGAGCCATCTGTGATGCATTTTTTTTTTTGCTTCAGGGGGAAAGTGTATTTTTGTGGTTCTGGTTTTTCTCAAAATGTTATCAAGGAGGGATAGTGGGTGGAGAAAGATCAGCCAAGGCCAGCTGCATTATCTAGCTTTGCTTTTTTCAATAAGCAAAGTCTGTTACCACAACCATTTGGAGCAAACACAGGAGCTCCACAAGTCCAGCCTGGCCCTGTTCTGAACTGGTTTTGGGAAGACATGTCTGACTACAGAGGTTCCTCCTTCTTTTTCACAGAAAGCTTTTGAACCACGACAGCCAATTTGATGAAGAAAGAAATGGCGTCCTTGTAGTCCTAAATGTAGACTTAATATATCCTTTCCTGCTTTAATGAGCACCTAGTTCAAAACAACAAAACAAGGAAGTAAATACATATTGCAGGCCTTGACTTGAGTGCCCATGGAAAAGACTAAAAAGAATAATGAAAGCTATTTCACAAACTCACATATAAAAACAAAGGAGTTGAAAATGCATTATCAGGCCTTGTTGAAATCATTTCCAGAGAGAGGAAAAAGAAGAGGAATGTGAACTCTCGTTTTTTCATTGCCGTGCAATGCAGGTGAGGTGCTGCTTCAAACACATCTTTGCCTTGGTCTCTCAGCTAACTTTCACACCTCAGGCCACCACAAGCTGGTTTTGCTTGACCCTTGACTCGGGCTTCACAATGAAATTCAGAAGGTCCTTTGAGGGCAGTGTGCTTTCAAACTGCTGCCATATCCTGACTGAGGTGGTGTAGTAGATCCCTTTTAATTTCTTGCAGAGGAGGAGAATAAAGTTGCTAGCCTCTGGTAGTTGTGGCATTCACTAACATGAATCAGTTTTAAAGGAAAGTGAGAAGAATGATCACAAGACCCAGTTTCCCTGCGGAGCTCTCCACTGGCCATTAAGCTCTAAGATATAAAAGGGCAGAAATTTTCATCACATTCCTTCCCACCACTGAAGGGAGTTATTGACAGGAGAAAGAGTGCCTACACTGCACTCCTCCTTGGTTCCTCTTTCTGAAAACAGTCCATTTTAGAGCCAGCTACCTGTTGAATCTCCAGCCAGCCTCACTTAGATTCGCTTTTATTGAGCTGCATTTTCAAGCTATGCCTTCCCCCGTCTTAGATGGATGATATAACAGGGTACCATACAAAGACAGACCCTGTGTTATGTGGGCAACTGCAGGTGGAAGACATATTGCACTATTTGCTATATTGCCCACTATACATTGGACCCAGGAGGCAATTTCTCACCTTACCATCCGTACATGAAAGAGGTCTCTCCCCGACAGAGAAGGCCCTATGGCTTCTTAGTGATGTAAATGCTTCAGTGACTCATAAAGTCACCATTTTTGCTTTGGCGGCCAAAAAGATCAGAAAGAAAACCCTGGACAATATAGCAGTGAACTGCAAGGGAGACACAGAGATCTAAATAGAGACCATTATTTGTGGCACTACACCCCTTTTGCTTGTATTTATTTTTGATTCAGATTTGTCATGGCCAATGGCTAGTTCAGTAAAGTTATTTGGATTGGATTGGATTGGATTGATTGGGGGGATCCAGGTTCAGTACAAGTGGTTGGAGAACAACCTGACCATGCATTCAGAGATATTAAAAGGGCAACACTCGTTGGACTATGCATGGTTCTGAACCCAAAGAAAGGTTCCAGGTTCAATCCCTGGAAATCTTGCTGAAACCATGGAGAGGTGGCTAATACTGAGCTAAATGGGACAATGGTTTGACTTGGAATATTGGCAAATTCCCATGTTAACATACAGAAGGACTGCCAGAACAAGATGATTACTGGACCTGAAAGATGATCCATTCCACAAAATCCCTGCTACATATGTATATTGATATTATGATCACTAATGGATTGAGGCTTCTTTATTCTCATATGTTATATTTACAAGTTGTGGCATGCATGTGACACAGAAAACAAAGGTTAAAAACTCCCAACCCTGACACCAGAATGTATCACTCCACTTATGGTTACTGCAACTTTTAAATTATTCTGTTCCCAAACAGATATATTTCAGGCTGCAATATTTGTCTGTTCAGTTTATTGGAAAAATAGAACTGAGAGAGTTAAAAGTGATCAAGGTCCACAGTAATCTGTTAATCCTGACAGAATGCTGCTACAGAACCTGCTTCAAATTTTCCTCCAGTTGTGTTTGAACAGCTGTTTAAACTGGAAATGAGATTGTGGATTTGAAAACACACAGCCTCTTTCCTCAGAGAAGAAAAACAATCCCATTATTCAAGAACCTTCTTTGAGGAAAGTCCACAGTCCCTGCCTACTGATTTTTGATCTTTGGATTTTTGCAAATAGTGCAGGCATATTTCCACTGTTCAGAATCCAAAGGAAATTTATAGCCCCCTTTCTCTCAGTATATAACTATAGTGTGGTATCCAATGTTAGTCAGACTCAGAGCAAACCCTGTGAAATCAATGGACTTAAATTACCTGTCTGTCAATTTCATTGGGGCTCCTGTATGACTAACTTGGAATATCACCCACAGATATGTCAATGTCACATGAACAAACTGAGCACCGTTTATTTAGTTAGTACTTTCCACAGTGGACTCGTTTCTTAATTTTATTCAGTTCTTTCCTGAATGAACACTTTCCCTTTTGTGCCACTCGAGTACTTGTGGGCAGCACGTAAGAAAGACAACACTCCAAGCTGTAGCAGGGCCTTGCCACATAATAAAATACAGTTTTCTTTGAATAAAAATGTGAAGCCTCTGCACTTAAGCATTCATTGGTTTGCCTTATGAAGCAAGGCCTTCTCTCGCACAGTGCTGCTCTTTCCAACACCCATTTGACAGTTGTGATGCTTGCTGGCTGGCACCTACTCAAGTCTCTTCAAGCATCAGGAAACAGTTTTATTTTCCCAGGCCCTAACTCAGTGGCAGAACCCATCCTTTGCACACAGAAGAACTCAGGTTCATCTTCATGTAGGGCTGGGGAAAGAACCCTGTTTGAAATCCTGCTGAGATTCTCCCAGCCAGTGCAGAAAAAAAACCTGCATTAGATGGGCCAATAGTCTGTGACTTCTATAAGGCACCTTCCTAAATGTTGGCTGGGGTGAGTTTTTATCTTGTGGTTTTAGCTTATCTGTTTCAAATCTTGCTGTTTCTAATCCTACTATTTACTGCTTTTGATTTTATGTTACTAATTGCTTTATCATGTGTTGTTGGCTGCCCTGAAAGCAATTCTTACTGGCAGGATATTTTTAAAAAGAAAAGAAAAGAATGAATGAATGCATAAAATATCATGTTACCAATTATCCCATTAACTGTGCTGGACCAATGCTCTTGTAAAGGAATCAATTAAAGTGGGAAGTTATCCCGTTGCTGCTACAAAATTGTTATATGACGAGCCCTGCGTGTATCCAAGAGATTGTATTCAGTGTTAAGTTTGTAAAGAAGCTGTAGTTGTGTTTAAAATTATGAAAGATTTGGAGTACAAAAGTACATTGTCTGTCATGGACGCAATCCTATGAAGGAAGGATTCTCATCAGCAAGTCTGCCACACTGACAGATGCTGCTTTGGGGCATTCATTGGTGTGATCATGGCACATTTTTCAGCTGCCTTGTTTGCACGAAACATTGCAGAGGCACAGTGACTGTAAACATGATCACAGCCGGTGATGTACTTCTTCCTCGATAACGGTTATATCCACAGAGCTACTTAAAGCATTTTGGAGAACTGGTCCTCAAAGGGACAAAAGAAACAGTAAGTGTCCTATGTTCCATAGATATGCCCCCCCCCTTTAAAAATGCTTCATTTTAGTTCAGGCAGACCTAGTCTTTTGCCTGGCTTCTTTCAGCTGCAGTCTCTGGTGTGGCCTCAGAACTTCACACACTATAAATCTCTTTGAAAGGAAATATGCATCAAAGCAGTTCACTCAGTTGTCTCTCCATGTTAGCCATTTCCCCAAACATTAAATGCATCCAGGTTTTCACTTTGCCTCCTTCCTCTCCCCCATACTGTTAGTGCCCTGCTGATCTCAGGGTAGCTAATCTCATGCCAGAGCCAGATCACGAGGCACAGGAATGTAGTCTCACCTACTTCAGATAGAATCTGTGGTGGGAACTGGGAGTATCTGGGCTTCTCCCTATCGCTGTCATTCTAGGTGGCTGTTCCCTTCCTGTGTTCTTTTGTCGCTGAAGGGTGATGATAAGAGTTCATGTCATGCAAAGTCTCTGAGCTCACTTTTTTTGTAACCCGAGACATAACCAAGGGTTAACCATCACCTCAATTGCCTGAAAGATGAATGTCACATGAGCAGAACTAACAAGAAACAGGGAAAGTGACACTTAATGTGTCACTTAACACTCAATACTGCATTAACTACTGAGTTGTAAGACGGTGGGGGGGGGAGGAGGGGAAAGTGCCCTTGTTTGCTTCTCCTACATTTGAAATTAAAAGACCAAGTGAAAGAAGGGCATTTTGATTTGCAATAAATTCTAATTCATGAAGGTGACCTTCTCATGGCAGAGAGCGGGAAAAACTTTGACTATGCCAAAGGCATCCTTGCCTTAAACCACATCTGGGAGCATACCTTCGACCTCCAGCATTATTTAATGAAATAGAGAGGACAATACAGGAACATCAAACCAGACTCTGCCACAAATTCAATGATAACAGGTTAGAACTTAATGAAAGAAGCCTGGCCACCACCTAAGCCAAAGTGTGTAAGTTGTTCTAGGAGTACTTGCAGGGTTGTTAATTTATGGTAAACCAGAATTTCCCTTTGGGATTGGCCATCTCTAGGGTATTAGAAAGGTTCCTCCTGAATGCTGCCTCTATGGGGGAGTGGCCAGCCTTAGAATAATCAGTGCAGGGGTAGTCAAAGGGTAGTGGTGTCCAGCTCCAGCCAACATGGCCAATGGTCATGGATGATAGGAGTTATAGTCCACAATATCTAGAGAGCAACAAATTGGCTACCATTGGTTTAGTGAAAAATTATCAAAGAAAACTCCACTGAAGGACTTTGTGTTCTTTTTCTTTCAGAGTCTATGAGTTGTACTACCTCCAGTATCAAGAGGCTGCATGCCTCTGAGCACCAGTCAGAAGATTGCTATGGTCCTCATGACCTGCTTGTGGTCTTCCCACCAGCATATGGTTGACCATTATGAGACCGTGATGCTGAACTAAATGGGCATAGCATCTTTCTTATATTCTTAAATAAACTTTTTTAAAGCATTTGTCAATTACACTTTTAATTAGTGATGCATCCTCTTTGTGGAATGTCAGGATTGTGTGTATGTGTTTGTTTCTTGTGATTTTTATTTCCATGTTTACAACACACACACATGTTTTACTGTAAGAGCGACTTCTGCAGTATACAATATCCAATCTCTTCCTTTCTCTGGCTTTCTGTCTGGATAGTCCATTTGGTTGTGTTCATTGTACAGCTGCAGAACTGATACTTCAGGCTTCACGGAGCTCCATGGCTTTGCACTAGCAAAACTGATTGGACTATTCTTGACACAGCCATATGCTTGAGTGAGTGATAACTGCTAAATACAAATGACATGATTCAATAAAATCAGTTACTATAAGCCTTTTAAACTAGAAATCCCATGTGTGCCTGTCAGTGCAATTGACAGCTGAAAGTTCGTTTATGAAGATCTCAAACTAGACTTGACAGAACAATGAATCTCAAATTACATCTACACAGAAGCAGCAACTTGTTAAATATGTCTGACCTACCTTACAGTAGTCTATATCACTTACAGAAGGGACACAAAAAATACCTCCTGATTGTGTCTGTGACAGCTCAAAAATCTTTTGTAGCCTATTTGTTGGTGCACAAGCAGCAAACTCCAAAGAGGAAGCTGTAGTGTAGACAAAACTGTTTAAAGAATATCAACCTAGAACCAAATTTATTAAAAAACTTTTGTTTCCTACAAAGATGACACCTTGGTGCATTATTTGCTTCCTTGAACATTAACTGGCTTATCCAAGTAAGAGAATTTACAGGCTTTCCATTAATAATTATGACAAACTACTTGCTGAAAAAGTAATGTAGTTAGCAAATTATTCATAACCCAGTCTTGGTCTTTAAAATAATAATATTTTTTTAAAAAGAATATGAATGACAGATTCATTGCACAAGCCTAACTCTAAACTCCGCAGAATTCCATGGGGTAAAAATTCTTCCTAGCAATTTAATTACATGTTCCTTGACTTAATCAGATGTTGAATACCATTCTGAGATTTTGTTTCCTCTGGCACTGGCATTTACAAATATTGCATTAGTGCTAACGTAGCATTTCAACAAAAATTACTCACATTGCTTGCTTTTGATTTGCCTTCCACAATAGCAACCCAAAGTAATAAACCATGCTGAAGCAGTTGAGACAGCATGTCCCCATATCTCATTCTCCACAGCACGGTGACACTTGAAAAATATTCTAGCATTTCAATATCAGTTCTGAATTTAATCAAAACATGTATAAACCAGAGTAAACTTTGCTTGCAAGAGCCATGCTGGTTAACAGAATTGAAGTCAATTTACCGGGTTAATAAAAATCTAGCCACTATTATAATATTACTAAAGCGTAATAAAGTGCTGCACAGACTTAGCAATCTCTCAGTTACCAGTACAGGGTACTTACCGGTACTTTATTATCCTAGGGTGACATTTGCTGAGGTCCCCATGCTTTCTATGGAACCCAATCATGTGTAATTATGAGGTGGATTAAGGTAATTCAAAGCACCATCCTCAGTATGTAAAATTTCAAACTAGACTGTGAGAATGTCTGAGGAATGAGATACAGTGAGTTTATACTATTATTTCAGAGAACTCACTGATTGTTTTCTTAGAGAAAGCAACTGTTTCCCCATATCCTGGCAACAAAACATTTACACCCTGTGCAGTGCAAAGCTAAGCATGTCTACTGGAACAGCAGACTGGAATTTACACCCAGTAAGTGTGCTTTGGATTGCAGTTTTAGTTAACTATCTACTTCACCACATGATAGAGCATTTAGAAAGAACTCTTACCTATAACAGAATGGCGATGGCGTTGGGTGACAATTTGCCCTTCTAAAATGGTCTTATAAATCCACCCACAGTATGCAAACTTATGTTGATGTAGCCTCATGTAATTTAGGGTACCCTTTTTCTTTTTTGTCTGAACAGAAATACAAGACACCATGAAAAAAGTGATTATGTGAACACATTAGAGTTTTGTGTGTTTGTCTTGTGTTCACTAATCAGGTGAGAAGCCTGGAGTTTATACTCCTACAAAGGAAACACTAGACACTCTTTCGTGCAAGCCAAAATTAGCTGTCAGTTTCTCCATGGACATTTTCCATGTGTACTTTGAGGTAGTCGTTTCTTGTAAACTTTTTGTGGCATAGCTGGCATTCCGCCATGGGGCGATTGGGATTGTGAGTCAGTTTGTGCCGGATCAGCATTTTCTTCAGGCTGAACGACAAGTCACAAACCTAAAGCAATGATAAAAAGACAAAAAGGAAACCAGTGGATTGTTGATGATTCAGAAGAATGTTTCATAAGTAGACATTTGGGCACCCAACATTATGCACAACCCAGATTAAGCAATAGGGTAACATTATCCACCATTTCTGAACCAGGGATATGCTGCTAACTTTATTAATCTTTTATCTAATCATATCAGAAGGCTTTAGTTGTATCTCTGGATTGCACCACTGTAGAGCTGCCTCCTTTTTCCCCTGGAGAACACAGCAAGGCTGTGTGGCTTTATGAGATCACACAGTTTGGATATAAAGAAGGTGACCACTCCTTCACTATTTTGCTGCTCATCCTCTCTAACGTTAAGCAAGTGACTATCTCTCATCCTCAGCTAGTGAGAAAACTAGTACAGCAATGCATGGAGGAAAAAACATCACTCCACAAGCTAGTAACCAGGGGTGGACCAGTAGCAACCTCAGAATAAGACCAAGCCAGTTGTCTCTACTGTCTCTACTGAAACACTTAAGAACCTGGTAAGTTGCTAATCTGTGCTCACTAAGAGAAGTATGAAGAACAGGAAGTGGAAGTCACTTCCACTACACTTGACAACATTTGAACTGGCCCTGAAGTTGTCCTTTGAAAAGTATTTGATCTTCAGCATGAGCAGATGGTCATATTTACCTCCATGCTGCTGATTTCTGTATCTCAAACCTCTGATAAAGAAAGAGAACAGGGCTAAGCTGTTATTTTTCTGGACAGTTGGTAGCAATATCTGTACTTCCTTCTCCCTCCCAAAGTAATTTTCTGGTCTAAGGGTTTAATTTAACAATAATATAACTACTTGTGCTTATAAACTGCATGAGAAGTAAAACTCGGGTGAGGCTGATGTTTGAACAGTGTCTCCCTAATAGGGAGTTAAGCAGTGTTCTATCTTCCCAAGGATATCTGGTATTATTCATTGTGCAAGCAAAAACAATACAATGACATACTGAATGAGAAAACATACAATGCATCCTGACTGCTGAGTCTTTCTCTGTAAGACCAATGATTAGTGAACTGCTTTCCATAACCCTTTGGAAACAGTACCAGCATACTTCTGTTAAGGTATAAGAATGCTGAATCAGCATCATTTACAGGTATAATTTTAAGGACTGCCATATAAACACTGGAAGAAAAGAGTATTTGCCCTAAAAGGAATTTGTCTCAGAAACTGTTATTCTTTCCTCACTATGTTCAATGACAGGCACTGTCCAATGGTCAGTTCTGCTCCAAATGAGCCTATTTTAGTAGATTACAAGTTTGAATATAGAGGCTTAATGCATTCCTAGGTATCAGAAGACCTAAGGATAAGTGCAATGCAATCAGATGATCATTACCCACATCTAGGAAAAGCAGTTGTGTGCAACCTCTACAGTGCACCATTAAATTAAACAACCACAGACTCAAGTATTCCCTGTGACCAGACTGGAATTTTCAAAATGGCTAGGGCTTTCTCTCTTTAATAGGTGGGGCTGGGGAAGAACAAGCAACGAGACAAATCCTCTATCTCCTAATGCTTAACACACTACTGCAAAGGGCCGGAGAAGGCAAGGCACTATTGCAGCTCCATACTGTAATTACTCCTTCTGCCGTGCAAATGGCAGTAGCCATATTAGTCTTTTGCAGCAAACAAGACTTAAGACTTTCAGGTAAATTCATACTTTCAGCTATGAATTTGGTAGCTCTGCTTGGAACAAACTAGTTTTAATGACGGCAAGGAGATGGAGGTTCCAGTGCACTATGAATCGTCTCTATGGAAATGGGGGCGATCCACCATAGAACCATGGAATTGGGACCCAATGGTCACCCAGTCCAGTTGCCTGCAATGGGTGTGGAGCTTGTGGCTCTCCAGGTGTTGCTGGACTACAGCTCCCATCATCTGTGATCCTTCGCCTTAACAGCTAATGGCAGTTAGAGGCCAACAATATCTGGAGGGACAGATGTTCCCAACCCTGATTTATAGCATGCAGTAGACTTTATGGTCCCATACCCTTTAGCAAAATCAGTTCCTATTTTTTATATATATATTGGATCCTATTTTTGCCTTTTGGTGGCGTCTTGTGCAAATGTTTGTAGTGTGATATAACGTAATTCTCTTAAGTATGCATGTGGGATGTTTGTGTGGATGCAGCTTGCCATTAATGTACAGGCATGTAAATAGATGTGCATGAACGCTAAGGCAGTGTGCAGCGTGCAGCCAAACATTTTGCAGACTGCAGCAGCTGTACTGTATTTTGAACTGCTGATAAAGATATAATTAAAACAAAACACAAGTTAAACAAAAGAACAGGCGCTGTCTTGGCTTCTAAATCAGTGAAGGGCAGGCAATTTCAGAGTAAACAAATACAGCTGGGTGACTAGAGCCTTCAGCAATGTGTGATAATAGGCTCAGGCAGTGATCCTTACTATGGAGTACACGGGAAATGACATGTCCCTATTTTCACCTGGGACATGTTGAAGGGCCTGCAATCTCTGCCTTCCCTGTGTTATTGTAACATGGTCAAATGGAATCATGTGGACCACTGGACCACACTGATTAAATACTGACTGTGACTTTTGCACACTTAAATGGCAAGTATAAAATGCCTCTTTTACCAAAATCATGAAACCTCTAACAGATGTAGATGCTACAAATAAACATTTAACCCAGTAAGTACTACCGATGACCACATTTGCATGAATGTATATGTTTATGCAGCATCATAGACACATCGTTCATCTTCCTGGAAATAAATTCTAGGAATATCATCTTCAGCAGATGTGCTGTGTCAAATTCTGCTACCAGTAAGTAGTTCTTAATGAGTCTCAATCATACAAGTGATGACAGTTTAACAATGGCACATTATCTTTGCAAAATGAGAAGAATAAACTGCTTACAGATGCACACTTAATACCTATCCCTTGCTGAGCAGTAAATTCTTCTTGATATGCTATAACTGTAACATTTCAAAAGCCTGCAAATAAATAAAGAAGTGTGCACTGCCAAGGTTAAAACAAAACAAAGAAACAGTACAAAGAGTTTGCAAAGTGATAGCTGCAATGCATGGAGAAAATTATAAGATGGGTTGCCTCAAACAGGAAAGGTGAGTCATGCAAAATACAACTTTTCTGTGACATTCTGAAAAGCTGAAGTTTGAAAGCAGTTTTTTTATTAGCTGAGATGCTGTTCTAGATTCTAGAATCTAGCATCAAAAGCTGAAAGAAACGGCTTTTGAAACATGCTGAGAAAGAATTTAATGTAGCTAATTTAATGTTAAATGTGTTTAAATGCCTAGTGTGAGAATTTAAATGGGCAGTTTAAGTATATGTATGCTAAATGCTGGACAGAACAAGGAAGCATCTCAGTATGAGAAATGTACACTTAGAGTTGAATTGCACATTCAGAAATATCACATGGTGTAGTCTTTCCTTGCACTGTACCAGTTCAGACAGCAAGCTGAGAATCAGAGGTTTGAATGATCATCCTCCCTATGCAAAAACCTTTTGTGAAGGTAAAGGGTTCTAGCCTTCTGCCGGGTGTGTCAGCTTCCCTCAGTTTTGAAATATGTCATACTTAGAGGTGGCTCATTGGCTGGAGCAGAGACGCCATACTACATTCCCGGTAGATAGGCTGCTATTGCTTCTCAGGAAGGAGGGGGCAAGGCAGCAGGGTAAATGCAACAGCAAAATCAAAGTTTAACCTCCTTACTGTCTCTTCTCTCTAAGTAAGCAACCCACCTGCCAGGAAGCTAGTGCAATGGCTCTGCCTAGGGCTGGCCCAAGACATTTTGTCGCCTGAAGCAAACAGTTCCCCATGTCCACCAGGGAAGAAGAGTTAAGTGCAGATCTACATCAGGGGGTGGGATAAAGATCTACATTAGACACAAGGGTGGGGGAAGACCAGCAGGGCCTCCTACTCCCCAAGAGGCCACTGTAGAGGTGGCATTGGGGTTGAGGGATGCCAAGGAGACGGCAGATCCAGTCTCCAAGGAGCATGTCACAGCTGGCAATGCATTCCTTGGAGGCTGGATCTGCTGCCCCTATGGATCTTGCTGCCTGAAATTGTTGCTTCACCTTGCTTCGTGGGTGGGCCAGCCCTGTCTCCCTATAGCATGGAAACTGGAAGGAGAAGAAGAAGAAGAGGAGTTTGGACTTGATATCCCACCTTTCACTCCCCTTAAGGAGTCTCAAAATGGCTAACAATCTCCTTTCCTTTCCTCCCCCACAACAAATACTCTGTGAGGTGAGTGAGGCTGAGAGACTTCAAAGAAGTGTGACTGGCCCAAGGTCACTCAGCAGCTGCATGTGGAGGAGCGGAGATGCGAACCCGGTTCACCAGATTACGAGCCCACCACTCTTAAACACTACTCCATGCTGGCTCTACACCATGTTGGAAGGGTAAGAGGAGCAGGATTATTTTTTTTAATGCCCTATGGGGTCTTCTGTCCAAGAAGCATGTTTAAAAATGTGGTGGAAGGAGGATACAGAGGCACCTCAATGGAGAGATGAAACACACATACACAATGTGGTGATGTCACCGAAAACAGCAACCCTGGGGGAATTTTACTGAAATACCTAACACTGACTAATACCTAGAATTACCTCATAGATTGCTGCTATCGTATCTACATGCCCCATTGGACATTCTTGGCAGCTATGCCAAGATGTGGAAATGTTCCATGTGTGGCAGTAATAGATTATCCTGCCTCTAAGGCATGTTGTATGCTACAGCAGCTGGTGCAAGCAGAAAATTCATCATGGGGATGCCTTTTTCAGTGGCATCCCTGTGGGCAGTGCAAGGTCTGTTATATTACCAAAGGGGCTGCTGCACATTTTGATTCTTAAAGCACTATAAATGCAGCCTATGCATGTTGAGTCCTTTAAGAATCAAATATTTTCAAGCAAAAAGCTAGTATTTGCTCAGTCCTACACACAACCTTTATTTGAACAAACCTATTTTTTATACCAGTTTTTTTTAAAAAAAAATCCTGCCAGTATTCAACAAAGTTTTACTCAGAGTAGTCTCATTGAAATTAATGAACATGACTAGGTTAGGTCTGTTAATTTCAATTGGTCTACTCTGATTAAAAAGTATGAAATACAGTGGTACCTTGTTTACATACGCTTCAGGTTACAGACTCCGCTACCCCAGAAATAGTGCCTCGGGTTAAGAACTTTGCTTCAGGATGAGAACAGAAATCGTGCAGTGGCGGTGCAGCGGCAGCAAGAGGCCCCATTAGCTAAAGTGGTGCTTCAGGTTAAGAACAGTTTCAGGTTAAGAACGGACCTCCAGAACGAATTAAGTACTTAACCCGAGGTACCACTGTACTGTCCATCAGATGTCAGTTGTTACAGACTGTTAAATACAACAGTGGTACTGTTCAGGCTTTTGAAAACTTATTGTAAACCAAACAAAATATGGAACAACTATTGAAATTTCAATGAGATCTTCATCCATGCCCCTGCCGACATTAATTAGGCATTTAATTGGTGATATTTTTTATGATCTGCTTTGCAAATAGTCTAATAAAAACCTGCAATTCAGGTCCATGATCGTAAAGCATATTACAGTTAAACATACAATATTTCTAGGTAACGTTAGGATTACACACACACAGGACACTTTTCTTGCTATTGATGTTTTGTGCAATCTTATACATGCCTGCACAGAACTACATCCTGCTAGGTTCAATGGCTTTTATTTGTAGGTAAGTATGCCCAGGACAAAAATGTTGCAATGGCTCAAGTCAGCCTTCATGCCAAATCATGATCTTTGCAGACCATAGTTCAGAATCCACACCATGAATTGAGCTTCCAGACCTAGGGTTGTATTCCAAATCAGTCATACTCAGAGCAGACCCACTGAAATTAACGAACATGGCTGCCTAAGGTTCATTAATTTGAATGTGTTTGAGTAAACTTTGGTGTTCCTCTGTTTCAGTTATGATCTATTCATAAATTCAGTACCATCTGCATGGTGCAACAACCTTTTAAGGCACAGCAATGGCCCTAGCAGTGGTTTGTCCATGATGAATTGATGAATGATGAATTGCAAATCAGCTTTGGTTCAAACATAATGCCAACGCCTGGTTTGGCTTTGCAAATCATGGTTTTGCATTATTCTGAACGCAACCAATATTTTAATCTGGGTAGGCATTATAGAAGCTAGTATGAAAAGGGGAGGGGGACAAAACAAAAAACAAAGCACACACAGTCTCCACACACTGCATTTGGATGAGAATGGAAAAAAGCAGAGTGGGAAAGAATTGCCCCTACATTTAATTCTCATTATAGAAGGAAAGGAATATTTACATTTTAAAAGGATCTTTTTCCTAATGCACAGGAGTCTCGGTGCTTTGTTACTGCAGAATTCTCCTGAGGCACATAAAAGTGTTTTACTGCAATAAGTGAAACTTGAGCTCATTTAAATCTTTGTCACTAAAGGCATTTCTCAATGCTAATTGCTGAATTAATATTAACAACAGAAACGCCTCATGTTACCCATGGTGTCTGTTTCTCACAGAATTATGCTAGTTGCTAGAGTTCAGTAAACCTTTCAGATTTTCTTACAAATCAGTGGAAATAGAAAAAAGTTAATAATAATCTCACTGGGCCTCTAAAAGTTAATTCTCTGAATGTGGAATGTTGCCATGTCCAGATAACGGCAACAAAGATGGTGAGGGACCTGGGGACTATGAGGAAAAGTTGAAGGAGGTAGGTGCGCCTTGCATGGAGAAGAGACAATTAAGAGGTCACCTGATAACTATCTTCAGATATTTGGTTGACACTTAGCAGATGGAGCAAATTTGCTCACCCTAGGCTTGAGCTGCTTGTCAGTGAGGTCACCCAATGTCTTGGCCAGAAGACAGTGGTCAGTGTGTTGGCATGTGATCCAAAATAGTAGGTCCAAGTCAGCATTGGTCAACCTTGGGTCCCCAGATGTTGCTAGTCTACAGCTCACATCATCCCCAACCAACTTAGCCATTGGTCAAGGGTGATGTGAGTTGTAGTCCAACAACATATGGGGACTCAAAGTTGAAGAGCACTGGTCCAAATGACAAGAAATGGGATTTCAACTAAAGTTAGGAAGCACTTCTTGAAATTACAAGCTACTTGACGGTATGAGCTGGATCAGACTGCCTGGGAAACTGGGGGACTCTCCTTTAGTGGCAGAGACTGATGGCCAACTATCAGAAATGCCTTAACAGAAGATTTCATGCATCTACAAAGGGTTGAACCACATGACTTTGAGGCCTTTTCCAACTTGTATGATTCTGTGGATTGAGCAGATATATGCTGTCCCTGGTGAGCATGCAGGTACACAAATACTTCAGTTTGTGAGGTCCATATTGAGGACAGGGTATGTTTTGCTTACCCTGTGGATAGCAAGCTGTGGAAAGATAAATGATTGCAGTATAGAGTAGATGGAGAAGAGACTTCAGCAGTAATGTGTAATAGTAGGTGGGTAAATGATGCACTGGCCATAATCATTACGGTGCAATACTATGCATATTCACTCAGAAGTAAGTCCCATTGTGTTCCAATGAGATTTACTCCCAGCCAGTTGTGCATAGGATTTCAGCCACAATGTGAAAGTGGAGATGTCAGCAGTACACAAAAGAATGCCTACGAAATGCTTGAGAGTATGCAGTCTGTCCCTGTTCTAATTTCTCCTTGCTCATCTGAGCATGAAATCCTTGTCAAGAAAGCATGTGATCAAATGATCTAGGCAGGATCTTGAATAAAACTGGCATGCAGGCAGGTATCCTTTCTAGCCAAAATTCTAGATGAAACTCATATTAACACAAATGGAATTTATTACAGAGAAAAAAGGAATGTCTTCTCCTTCTCAGGCTGGTACAGATACTGCTCCTCCCTATGTGTTTAGGCATCTTTTAAAAGTACCATCTTTTGTGACACTAGATCATCATCATTAGATTAAGAACCTGGTAGAATTAAACTCCAGAGAATGGTACTTTAACAATTCCTTATCCCTTTAGACAATTACTCAAAGGGGGAAAAAAGGAATGACCAAAAATGTAAAGCCACTATCCTAATTTTTTGATGCTAACATTTCTAATGAAACCAAGCATTTTTACTAGGTATTTTAAGAGCCATGAACTTGGCATTAATTTTCTCTAGCTGACATCACTTCCCTAACCAGAAGGAAACAGGGTCAAACAAAAAAAGATGTGGTCTCAGAAACATTTCCCTAAATAGACATTCTTGATGTGTGCATGGCGTCTACACATGTAATTATGGACACTAACATTAGGAAAAATTGCTATGGGGAAAATGACACAGACATTGCAAGCAGTTTGGAAACTAAAGCTTGCAGTCCTACTTACTTAAAGGACCAAACTGGACATTATGAGAAATGCATGACAGTATTTCAGGTATTCGTGTGTTTTTAAATATAATTAAAGAGCAATGTCAACAAGAGGGAGATCAAACACCAATGGCAGCTTCTAATGGCAGTGGTGTCTGATCTCCCTCTTGTTGACATTGCTCTTTAATTATATTTATAAACACACAAATACCTGAAATTTTAGCAGTTTAGTCATGCTGGCCAATGACCAGGAAAGCTGTCTGTGGACAAACGCTGGCTCCCTCGACCTGAAAGCAAGATGAGTGCCACAACCCCATAATCTGCCTTTGACGGGACTTAACCGTCCAGGGGTCCTCGGGTTACATATGCTTCAGGTTACAGATGCTTCAGGTTACAGACTCCGTTAACCCAGAAATAGTACCTCGGGTTAAGAACTTTGCTTCAGGATGAGAACAGAAATTGCCCAGTGGCAGCGAGGGCCCCATTAACTAAAATGGTGCTTCAGGTTAAGAACAGTTTCAGGTTAAGAATGAACCTCCAGAATGAATTAAGTTCTTAACCCAAGGTACCACAGTAATAATAATAATAATAATAATAATAATAATAATTGTCTGAGTGAAATTTCACTAGCTACTCCATCTTTAATTAATCAAAGATTGAGAAAGACTGACAACCTTGTATGCAAATGTTTCTTGAACATATATTTACTCAGAAGTAAGTCGCATTCAGTTAGACTTACTCACAGGTAAGTGTGCAGCAGCAGTCGGTGGGAAGTACAGGCAGAGAAGTGTTGCTCACCTGGCTTCCCAACACTGAGTGTTGCTGCCAGTTATCGAGGAGAGAGGCATGAAGAGCACAACACGAGGTGGGTGGGGTGACAGGTGCGTGGAACTGACTGTGCTGCATCTGAACTGCCCTCAGCTCCCACACCTTGCCCCTTGCCCCTTCTGAAGCTGGCAGTGGCACTTGGCCTTGGGAAGCCAGGTGAGAAATGCCTCCCTACCTGTGCCACCCCACTGACCGCTGCTGTTGGCGTGGGTATGGTTGCACCCTTTGGGGTTCATCTTTGGATTAAACGCAAATAGATCAAAAGGAAACCCAACTCACGTCACACTGGAAAGGTTTCTCCCCTGTGTGGGTTCTCATGTGCTCGTCTAGGCCTCGTTTCTGACTGAAGGCTTTGTTGCACTCGGAGCACTGGTAAGGCTTTTCCTGTAGCACAGTGAGCAAGAGAAGGAATTAAAGTGACTCGGTGCAGAGAGCAGGCTATTAACAGGACAGCATTCCATACTGGATGGTGAGGGCTTTGTATTAGTTTCACGAGACAAAGTTCAGTAAGTCTTTATATCTGGTGGGAAAGCTCTAGACTGCCACCTTGTACTGCACCGGAAGCCTGGCCATGCCCTCTCTCAATACATCATTTGCTTATCAAACTATTAAATCTATACAATCCAGGGTAACTGTTCCTACAATTATCATTCATCATCGTGAACGAGACAAAATTACAAATGCAAAATCACACCTAAAAACAATTCCAGTATATTAGCTATTGTAACAACTTCAAAGAAACCTGTTAAGTTCCATGTCTCCATCTTCAACTTTCCTCCTTGCCTAAATTTTAAATTATGTCCACTTCATACCATTTCAATAAAATCCAACAGGTACAGTACAATGCTATACTAACTATAAATTGAGTTCAATGGCGCTTACTCTAGGATAAGTAGGTATATGATTGCAGCCCTTATCTCTCACTCCTTCCATTTGGGGGCTATCTACATTTTTGTAACGAAAATTTACTGAATACCCCCTCAAAATAATTCAGCAGCAATAGGAGCTGTCTTCCACTTTAACAATTAGGAATCTTTCTCTGTCTTTCATAACCAGTGTTTTTCAGGGAAGTGGGTGTGTTTGTTTTTCCATAACTTTTAATATGAATAACTAAAAAACGCAATGTCTCAGAAAGCTTGATTTACAACCTATTTTCAAAAGAAACATTTTGATTGAGGCCATTTTTAATTCTGTCAACCATAATACCAATGACCACAAGTCCTAGGGTTTTCCAGAATCACACAATTAAAAGTAGTTATCTGTGCATACGATATGGAAAGAAATTGTGGGAAGTCTATACACTGAAAGTTTGAGAGGCTGTGGACGCGTTCTTCAGTTTAACTGACAATGCTGGGCAGAGATTCCTGTCAAGAACGCCTCCCATCCCCACACATCACCTCTATAAATAATATTAATATTTCTACAGTACTTTAGTGTTAGTTTTAAACTTGCCAAATGCATGATGAAATTACCACTCTGAATAAGAACGCCTCAATGTAGTCTCAACATACTCCTGATGATGGAGCTCTTTTGTGTAAGTTTTTCCTTTCAGAGAAATGTTTATCCACTTTTGTGGCTTTTTGATATTTATTTTACTTTGGGTAACCAGCATTTTAAAAAAATACATCAGAATAGGTCTATTTCCTAGCAAACAAGATATTTAGAAAAGAATCTTGCGGGTCCTGTCTTCAGGCTTTTGCGTCAATAGGATTTTCCCCCCTCCCTGACTACAGATTGAGTAAATACTCCACAGACAGGCCCCTGTAATTTTTACAGAAGTATATGTCTCAGGCATATGAAAAACAGGCATCACCAACATAGCCTTAATTTGTTTTGTATTGTAGTTAATGCAAACCACATTTGGTGTAAGCCCTCTGAAAATCCATTTTATTATCTGCATGTGCTGCTCAGTAAAAAGCTCAAAATAAAGTGTAGCAAGCAGTTCCATATCTGAGATGAGAAGAAATGCAGATAGTATACAGAACAATCACAGCTATGGGATTACCGACCATGCCTCACAAATGTTTTGTTTATCATTTGCCTGCACTGTGATTTGAAGATGCTGTCTCGTCCACTCTGGGTGAATGGCTCACTCCAACTCTGAAAGTGACTCATAAGAAGAGGACATTTGAAGGAGGAAACCCTTATGAAAAAAACCTCTGAGAAGAGAACACTCCATTCCAAGAAAACAATTATCTGGGCTGAGGCCATCGGGAGCAAGCATTTTCATTGTCTTGTTTTCTGAGTTTAATGTACTTAAACCTATTTCTGTCAGAGACGCTGCTTCAGCTGCAGTAGCTGGCAACTTCACTGCTAGCAGGGCAGACAGACAGAGTGGCCACAAAGGAAAAGGGACCTATCACAGTGTAATGAGATTTTTTTTCTAGTGCCACTCAACTCATCCGGAAAGCTGAGAGGACCAAAAATCTACCTGGCTTCTCTCCAGATATCTTTCTAATGTAACCTCAGCCCAACCCATGGCTACGATTTATGAAATAAGGCTGCCCCCTAAGTCTTCCACAACCTAGTATGAAATAAGCTTGTCATTTCTTTACTCTTTCCTATATAGGGCTGGTTCACACATCTCTCAGTGAATGTAGCATTTTGTTGTTAGATAGGGATGGAATATGGATCAAGGAAATAGTGAAGAAAGAAAGACTGGTGGCAAGATAATTTTTGCAACCTAAAGTTTTAATATATGACCAAGAGATGTGTTTTCAATGTGTTGGTTCACGTAAAAGAGACAGGTTATAGAGTTTCCTTTATTACATATGCTTTGATTTACGACTGGCATATTTTATATTTACTAAGTTACTTAGCGACAGCGACAATGATCCATACCCACAACCCATTTTTATATTCCTGTCATCAATAAACGCAAACACATGACATTCTTTTACTTTGGTGAGTGGAAGTAGTTGCTTCTATAATCTGATAGATGCTCCATAAACAGTTGGAATTTACAGTCCTAGCAGCCATTCAGTGCCTGTGAAATCCGTTTTTTATTATCTCCCAGATGACCTTCTGTTTGTTGACAGTTAAGCCATCCCTCCCTTTCTTTTTCTGTGCTTTTAGATCTTTTCATCTTTCTTTTAATGTCTTCAGTGTCCCCATTGTCCTTCCTAATGGCATTAATTCTCTTCCCAAATTGTTGCTATAGTTTTTATCTTTATGTTTTGTATAGATTTACTAGTGTGGAGAACGTGCCAGGCGACATCTTTTTCCACATTGTTAATGTTCTCTTGGTGCCTGAAGTATCAGTTACTTGTAATAGAAACTTGGAGGTTTGTTATTATTTACAGTCCTTGCTTTTGTTTAGTGGAACATTTTCTTTAGAAGAGGAAAGGTTTGCAGAAATAAAAGTTGCTTCTTTGGGCTTACTCCAATATGGCTAAAATGTTCACACAGGCATACAGTACCATCCTCTCAAGAGACCAGACTAGCACCTCAGAATGCACAAGTTTGTTTGTAAGTATCCCCACATGAAAATCTTCCTGCATGCGGAAAAGTAAGGTAAAGTTTTCACAAATGAAGTGGTAAACCTCTATCTGGTCTGTACCAGTTCTGAATGCAGATTGCAGATGGCTGTCATGATTGAATATTATAAGATACCACATAGAAAATCAGGTGTCTAGCATAGCTTTAGCCCTTAAGGAATAAGTCCTCAATTGTGGTAGGCAATGGCACTGTCCAGACACAGGAAAATCAGAAGCCACTTTCCAATATGGATACCAACCCTAGAGTATACCATTTTGCAACCTGAACTTTCAAAGCCAGCACTTCTTATTAAATGAAGGAACAACTGGTTTCTAATGATGCACACACACTCCAAACACAAATGCTTTCATACTTCACATTTTCAAAAAATCTGACTAGTCTAATAATATGGGCTCAATATGCTTAATGGGACTGCATGATAGGAAAAAGATCACATATACGTGTGCTCAAAAATGACACATCCCAGATGAAATTTTGGAATTATACTAATGCTTTCCAATGTTAAAAATCATGCACTTTTCTCACAGAGTTGTTGTAAATAATCACTGCCTTTTGCTTTTAGTTTGGGGAATAAAACTCAATTGACGACCAATGTTATACAGCCCATGTATACAGCAGAGCAATAACATCAGCACCCACACATTGCATGGTTGATCTACCCACAAGAGCACAGTTAACAGCAAACTGCTATGGAATTAGGCATGCCACCAACAAAAAAAGAAACAAGAACCTATGAAATTCTTACAACCCTCTTTGGTCTGGAAACCGACTATGGACTTCATGAAATGAGGCAGAGTAGGAAAAGTCCTGCCCCTTAGATTGCAATTTAAAGAAATTATTTGTGAAACAGTTGTGGTAGCAGACTACTGTTCCAAAGCCATAATGTAGTCTTTAAAAAAAAAGTAAAGAAAAATGGGGAAAAGTTATTTTATTGCTAGTCATGGTGAATATCCCACTCCATAAACCACATAGCCCTTCAGAAATCCTGGTGATGTCAAGCTGTAGGCAAGGACCTTGAGGACTGCCAACCAGATACACTGCTTTTCAGTTTTCCATAGAAGCATAACAGTGAACTGTAAAAATTTTTTGTGGAACTACAACAGATTTGTGAGAAAATAAACCTGAAATCTTAATGAACCCTAGGATTTATTGGAAATTGGTTCAGACAGGAGGTGCCTAGAGATATTTTGTTCCATTCTCAGCAGCAAACTTTTAAAATGCATTTCCCTCTACTGGAAAATCCGATGATTAGTCATCTTCAGTAGAGAGAAACCTCTAACCTATAAAGCTAGATTCCAAAAATATGTCAAATACAAACCTACAGCAGTAGTAAAAGCCATGGCTGCAATCTAGTACACAGGTAAGCGTTCTTAAATTCTACTGATTTCAAAGGAAGTATAGAATACATAATTATGCTGGATTGTGGCCAATGTCTTTGAGTCAACAAGAGACTGGAAGATTTTCTCTGAACATGCCAAAGGGTAACAGGAATTATGTATCTTTTATGTATTAATAAGCCTGTGATTACAAATGAATAAAAGTTTATTTTCAGACTAGCTCCCTTTGAAAGTAAAAAAGAGGAGTTCAGGAGCACTACTTTGCTTCTTTTCTTTAAATGCTGAGAATTTTAATCTGGAAAGCATGTCTCTAAGCATTAAAATAAAAGGCAGATTTAAAACTTTTCATTGGAGCAATAAAACGGATGTTCAATTAGTAATAAATCATAATCTTGTTTAAATCTCCAGACTTAAAAGCGGGGGAAATGAACATCCCAGTTCTATAGACTTCATGTGCTCTAACTAAAACTGGTGTGGTATGCTAATATAGTGAACATTTCAAAATAATTTACTATTCTTTAGTGTGTCCATGTATGAAAAGTGTGCATATATTTCTTGGGCTTTAAAAGGGGGGAAAAAGATGCTCAGAATCCCGTCCTTCATAGGTCTCATGGTACAACAAACTATGGCTTACTGGGACTGCACAAATATGGTAGCCCCAGAGAAGAGCTTGCCCTCAAGCAAGGTTTGGCTCAGCATCTTATGCAAAGCCAGGATCAACTACGTATATCTTGTGATAGAACATGTCAAACAGTCATCTTTTCACTCAGAAACTCAAAGAGCAGGCTCCATGTTGGGTTCTTGCTTGGTGTGAAGTGAAGCTGGTTTATTTGCCTCACTGAAAACTCTTTGCAAGCTCCTATTATTTTGCAATGAAAGATCCATAAACTGGCAAGAAGTTACATAAAATCTCAGTGGATTATAAACAAGAAAGACTTTCAGATTTCAGAAAGAGAGTGTGTAAACAACATGAGGGGACTAAACTTGGAGGGTTCAAACAGACTTTCTGTCTCTGCTTTCTGTATTTACAAATCACACTTAGCATGGCTGCAAGGATTTCCAATAGTGTTGTTTGTCACAGGCAATGAGGTATGTGACATTTCATCTTCTTATCTGACCATCAGTCATGATGTCTCAAACTTATTTAAACCATCATGCCACACATGGCTTGAGTTAAATGACTGTGGAAATGCTCTGTTTTCTGTTTTAGAAACAAGGGTATTTGGATTAAATACGAAGGTTTGTTATGCAACAAAAATTTGCCACACGAAATACGTTTACCACGAAATACGTAATCATACAACGCAGATAGAAAAATGACTTTGCGATTCCACAGAATCTGATAAGGATTCTGACAGTCAAGTTGAAAAGTTTTATGAATATGTATCTTGCTGCAATGTTTCCTTTTTAAATTTGCCTTTTTATTGGAGAAAAGATTCCCTACTACACAATATATTTTTATTTCCATGGTCCACTTTAGGTTGTCAAACGAACAGCTATGACACAAGGTAACAGAGCCATACTTACCCTTGTGTGGGTGCGAATGTGCATTTTCAACCCATCATTCTTGCTGAAAGCTTTGTCACAGTAAGGACACTGGTATGGCCGCTCACCTGAAAATAAGGTAAACATCAGATTTTTAAAAGAATTATTACTATTACTTATATCACCCTTTTCTGATTCTGAGTTCAAAACAGCACAGACAGGATTTTCAGATGATATTCCTCAAGGCAGGGTTTACCAATGTTCTCCTATCCAGGCAATGGCCAGATCCAGACATGCTTCACATCAGAAATGGTGCTGCACTGTGTGCCTTCAAACCATGACCAGGGTCTAAAAAAAATGTGGCCCAGGAAAAAGAACGTACTGTCTTAGAAGATCAAAGAAGCACAGCATGTATGTCTGTCAAAGGCATATTTCTGTGGTCAAATGTTAATGTTCACTTCATACAAATGAGGGCCTCGTTCCCAGTAGGCTACAGATTGCATGGGAAAGATCCACACAATTGGCACAGTCCACATGGTTATAACAGACACACACACACACACACACACACACACACAGCCCTGCAATGAGCAACTGTGCCACACTGAAACTATTCCCATGACACTGTCTCTGTGTGTGAAGGAGGCCAGAAAGGCCAGGGCATTGATGCTTTAAAGTGACTGCGCACTTAAGAACAAAAGAACACTAAGTTCTGCATCAAGCAGGGCAACATCAAAGTACAGCTGTTTGATGTTGGCTTAACAAGATATGAATATGACAATCCACCCCCATCCCCATATTGCTGGTGACAACAGTGCTGACTGCGGGGTGGGACATCTATAACGGTCACTTTATGGCCATTTTTATGGATAGTCATTAATTGTATTCAAAAGTACAGTATGTTTTCCTGACCTCACAGCTGTTCATCGTTAGAGGCATCTGGGTGTCACCATCCAATTTAATTACCTCAACCCATTCTATTCATGTATCTTATTTAACTAAAAGCAGATCGGCTGGATTGCTCCTGCTGTGACTCCTGCTGCATAACTTCTAGTTAGATGCCTTCAGTGGGTCGTAGCCTACTGTATTCCCCCTCCTCGCAAAAATCAGGGCTTTCATGCAAAACAAACAACGAAATGCAAAACATACAATATACCATTTCACTTTCATGCATGGCTGATAATATTACAGAACTTTCATCCCACGTTTTCAAAAGCAAAAGGAAGTTGTATAATGCTGTGATACGACTGTTCTTTAAAAAGTTCATCAAAAGGAGTTACCCTGATTACACCACAACTGATCCCCTAGATTTTCAGCGCCACACATTTAACTGATTTGGGCAGCCACTGGGTTTCAGAAATAAAACTGTCTTGGCTGCCCTGCTGTATAATCCATGTTTGGCATATGACAATGTTGAATCCTCTCTATTCACTGGAACGTTTGGATGGATGTCAGTCCCTCTGATCATGGTATTCTTGTCTAGAATGACCATGCTTCATTAGTTCCTCTCATACTATGGCAGCGTTACTATACCTTTAGTCTGATTTCCAGAATCTTTGAACCAGGCCTCAGCCGTTTTATGATGTGAAGCCACATCACGAACACTTTACACCCACACCATACATTTGAAGCAGTGTGATACCACTTTATGGGTCTTAGTAGATTAGCCATGTATGCTTTAACACTGGTAGGAATAAAGTCACCCGAAGACCCAAGGGTGGGGGAACAGTAGTGTACTTGTAAAATGTGATTGCCTCTCTCTTTTCCCACTATCCCACCACCCTGCCTTAGCTCATTAACTCTGAATAAAAGGATTTGAGCAAATTTTTTTTAACAAAGCCCGAAAGCTGTCCCATGCGCTTCGATTTACCCATTTCACATCTGTTTGAAACGTGACACTATCTCTTGTGACCCTTGATGTCACTAATCCATGCTGTCATCCTTTGGACACTGCAGGAGCTGTTGGGACTCAAACATTTAATTAATCCAGTTGACATTTTAATGTTCTGAGGCTTTTTGCATTTCAAGGGGAAAGTTTGGAAAGATTCATAAGCAGATGACTGCTGACAGGCCAGTGCTGAGATTCCCCCCACCCCCTTCATTCTTTGTTTACAGAGAAGAGATTTGCTTTAATGGGGTGGCTTTAGGGCTGATAGGAACACTGTTCTCAATGTCCTTTGTAACCTCAGCATTTGTAGCTCTTGAAGAATATGGCTTGGATCTCGACTCACATGAGGGGGAACCATCTCAACCAACAACCCACTGCACTGCAGTCCCCTTACACAACATCCTCCCAGCCCCCAAATTCTGAGGGGCTGCAGGGGAAAGATGAAGGTGAGAATTCCCCATTCAGTGAATGAGCAAGTTAGGATTCAAGCAACTCAGTAGATGCTGGTAGAAGGCGACACTGGCGTCTGATAACAAAACGTTATTCCTGCTTTGACCTGCCTTGGATCATCCATCATATAGATGTGTCCTCAATCTTTTGTTGCTTAGCTCAGGATCCCATACAACAGACAATTTTAGCTCTTACAGCTAAATTATAGCCCTCAGGATTAATTAGTGGATTAATGAAATGCTGCTATGACTAACGGAAGTGGTGTTTGTGTGTATGTATCAACTGCAAGTCTTTGTGGGGGTTTTTCTGGACACTGCTACATGTTGCTCAGCTTGGTAACAATCTTAATTCCTGCCGCAGCTGCGCTGAAATGAAATTCATCCTCCCAAGCAGCAATTAGCATTAGGGTCCCATTTTACACCAATGATAACTTCTTCTTCTTTTTACTACACCAGGGAGCAAATTTTACAGAGACAGAAGTTGGGGAGAGGAGACTTAAACCTCCACTTTGCATGAGCTATGATATTTATAACCACCCCCGGCCCCCTGGTGACCAGTATTTAAGTTTAAAAAACAGGCAGACAATGTGATTGCTCAGTCATGCAATTTATGAAGTACACAGAGATGCTTCAGAATAAGAATCTGTTGTGGTAGCACAGGATACAACAACCGCAGCCATAGGAATGCACAATGCTGACAATAAGAGCTGGAGATTTTTGAAAAAATGTTGGTTCCAGTTATTTTCAGTTTTCATAAGCAAAAGTTAACATTATTTCACAGTTGTTGAATATTTCTGCAGCTTACTTTGTTATGGTTTGACAAAAGAGCTTTACAAAGAGCTGAAAATATTCCCTCATATTTCAATCCCTATGTGTAAGTAAGTACCATTAATTTCAGTGCTTTCAAAGCACTTTGAAATTACATTCTTAGGCCCATTTAAAATATTACTTTCAAGGTGCATAAACAATTCATTAAATTTTTTAAAAACTAGATTTTTAAAATTCCAGTTGTAACAATTGTCTGTTGTTGGGGTTTTTAAACTAGGTTTTTAATTAAATCTCAGTACTAACAAATTAAAAATTACACTTATATTGGTTTATAAAAAATGAATCATCAGCACCCATCAGATTATCTTAAAATCTGTTTAACCATTTTAATATTTTTTTTAAAAAAATACACATCATGGGAATAAATATCTAACAGGGCAATCCTATCAGACCCACATCACACTGACCAATGGCCAGGGCCGATTCAAGCTGTAATTCAACAACACCAGGAGGGCACCATGTTGGCTAATCCAGACATACAGGATCAATCATTGTTGTGTTTGTATTTTTCACAAACCAAAATACGTTGTGAAATAAGTAATAAACCAAAATTAACAAAAGTAGGTTTTGCAATGCCTATGAGCTGCCTCTAGTTAGCCATGGCTTTTCCACTTCTGTATATTTCTCAAAGCATTATGTGTGAATGAACCCTTAGTGATCCTGAATGTACCTGTTTACATATAGGGAGTGGGAAAGAATTATGCAACTCCTGAACAGAGTGCGAAAATTCAAACTGTGTGGTATAGCCCGAAATGGAGATTTAGTCTAACTCAGTTTTATGCAGTTACATAAGAATAGGTTGTTTTCAACATGAAGCTGTTTTGCATGCAATGGTAAAGTTAGCCATGGCTTAGCATTATGACCACAAACTGCAGCAAGCTTTGGACTCATGTGTTCCCTGCCCATCCTTCAGCGCAGCCACAAGGTGTTCAGAAACATCCAATCCCACTTCAGATCAACCACAGTTTAGCATTATGTCCAGCCTCCCAATGGTGCCTAAGCTTAGCTATCTTAAAACTATTGTTTGAAGTTGGCTTGTTTCAACAAACTATTAGGAAGGTTCATCACAGTTTGCCGGGTTCAGATGGCACTCTAAAATGGAAACAAAGGCTTCTAGATCTTCATGGCTGTGCCAGAGAAAGAGAGGTGAGAAGGAAGCACATGAACTCTTGTAAAACTGGTGGTGAGTCTGATATAGCGCATTGTGTTAAAACAGATTTTCTTTATCAGACACAAACAGATTGGGTTTCAGCAGACTTCTTTTTATTTCATCACACCCATACTACATCCTTGCTGATAAAAAGAGAAATCCAGAATATTCATCCTGAATTCTGACTGTTTTATTTAAGTATATCCTAAATCAGATAACAGGAGAAAGAGAAGCATCAGCAATCCAGCACTACAATACCAAACCGGGACCACAGTCTATCTGCAAAATCAAGGTAATTCTCCTGGGCAGGAGGTCATGGGAGGTGAAGGAGACGGGGCCATCTGGATCACACATTCAACACCCCCTGCCAGGTGATCAATAGAGCAGTCCAGAAAGGAAGCTGTAAGAGAGCTTTTCTAATCAGAGATAGTGTGAGGTGACGACAGCAGGCAATAACAAGTATGAATGGACAAAAGGTTAAGGTAACGGAGAACAGCATAAGTTTGTTAGATACTTAGAGAATGCTGTACAAAAGTATTCGTTTACACTTTTAGCTAATTTAGAAAAATCTACTGCAGCAATAGAGCTCTTGCTGCAATCACTGAAAAATTTACTTTGTCTAATTGCATAGGTTAGGTGTTTATTTTATTTTATTCTTGTCAGGAGAGAGAGAGAAAAAACACTACACAAAGCTTTTCACTGAAGACAATAGCCGCGTTCTCAGTGGCAAGTAAACCAATAGAAATCTGTACCAGTAAACATACCAGCACTACACATGCAAGACTCACTGGCCTGGGCTTTCAAGAAATTTATAATACAGTACAACCCAGCTATCCAAACAGACCAAGAAACATCAAAAATAGGGTGATGTTTTTCTAAGCACACATAGGATATGAGAGATGCACTTTGTTGACAGATAGCCAAGTGATTGAAATAAGTGAGGTTAGGAAAAGGGCTTTTTGCTTACTTCATTATGTAAACCTTTGGTTTATAAAATGTTCAATGAGGAAACGAAACCAGAACATTCAAATAATGCTCAAATTTTGCAAACCAAATAGATATAAATAATCCAAATCAGCTCCAGCTCAATATTAAGCTTGAAATATATTCTGACTCAGAAAACTGGGTTTGGGGAGAGCTTTCATGAATTTGCAAAGTACTGGCAGTTAGATGTCTTAAAAAGAAACATCAGATGGTAGTATAACACTGAAATCTTGAATTATAGCAACAAACAAACGTAATGAATTCAACTGTGATACAATCCTGGTTCCATCTATGTATGGTTACTGTAATAGAAACAGCATTACATACTTAGGATGTCTTCAGGAAATAAATAAACTTGAAAAAGCCACTTAAGTATATTTATTTGGAAATAAGTCACACTTGCTTTAGTAATACCTTCCCCCTTAGGACTCCAATTTATATTTTGAGGTACAATAATAAAAAAAATTAAGTTACATTTGATCCAATTGATTTCAATGGAATTAAGCATGTTTTCTTTGTTGGATTTGAGGGCCCTTGGGTTTTTAGTGGGATGGAATCAGTATTTCTGACCACCCCCTCTTAAAAAAAACACGAAGGAAGGAAGGAAGATTAAAATCTCTGACCCCTGTGAACCCAGTGCTGGTTCTTTTTCCAGCTCCTCACAATATTCAACCTATTGGGTGTTGTAATTCATTTGATCTAAAGAAGTCACTAGCAATCTAGCCAAGTATCCTTTGAAATAATGTGACTCTCTCATCCACTAGTAGCAAACCAACAGGAGGCTGACATCTGCCTGAGACTTTACAGGTACTTTTGAAGATTTAACTGTCGCGGGGAGATAAAATAGACAATGATGTACAACCCCAAAGTGCTAGGAATGCAGAACTCTTTAACTTTGTGGCTTATTAGAATGAAAGTATTTTTATAGACAACAGATTCTTTCTTTTAAAAGGAAAGAAAAATCACCCAAGTGATTTGTTATAAAGAGAGGCTGCAGTAAGATCAAGGAAATTTACTATGTGGCAGTGTCCAAGATGAAGGATACTTTAGGGACTTTAGGGAACCCAGAAAAAAAAGAAGAAGAAATGAGAATATTTATTATTGCTATCATTATTTATTTATTAGATTTCTTGCCTGCCCATCACAGTGAAGTTCTAGGGCAGGTTACAATTTTAAAATACCATATTAAAATCAGTTTAGAACAAATTACAGTCAAATACCACAGTAAAGAAGTGCGCCTTAAGCATACTACAAAAACTGAATGATGACGGGGCCAGACAAACCTCTGTGGAAAGGCAAATCCACAGCCAGAGACAACAACTTCTTCTGGAACACCAGTCCCCATACTTCTGAAGGTGATGGAACATCAAGAGGGCCGACTCTGCTGGAACTCCAGCTACTAATCTGATTCCTGCATTTCAGAATAGTTTCTGAATCTTGTTCAAGGGCAGTTTCCATGTAGAGTGCATTGCAGTACAGTGGTGCCCCGCAAGACGAATGCCTCGCAAGACGGAAAACTCGCTAGACGAAAGGGTTTTCCGTTTTTTGAGCTGCTTCGCAATACGAATTTTCCTATGGGCTTGCTTCGCAAGACGAAAACATCTTGCAAGTTTGTTTCCTTTTTCTTAACACCGTTAATACAGTTGCGACTTGACTTAGAGGAGCAACTCATAGAACGCAGTGTACATAGTAGCCTTTTTTGAGGTTTTTAAAGACTTTGGTGATTTTTGAAGCTTTTCCAAAACTTCTTTTGCAGCCATTTGGTAAGTTAAGCTTTCAAAACCTTTTGGGGGGGTTTTGGATTTTGGGTTGGGGTGTTTGGAATTCAAGGACTTGGTGTTGGGGAGGGGTTTGCAAGAATCTGGAAGCTTGTGTGTTTTTTTCCTGCATTTTTATGATTTTCTGTGACCATTGGGCCACTCTGCTGTTTTTTAAAAAAAATTCTGGGTTTGAATTTTGAAATGCTCTTTATAGTATGTGTGACTTTAAAGAGCACTTAATAAACTCTTGTTGTACCAAATTTGGCTTTGTTTGGACTTTTTTTGACCATAGGAATGCATTAATTGATTTTCAATGCATTCCTATGGGATTTCGTGCTTCGCAAGACGAAAAATTCGCTAGATGAAAAAATTCGCGGAACAAATTAATTTTGTCTTGCGAGGCACCACTGTAATCTAGTCTGTGAGTTACTAGAGTTGCTAAGACATCTCTGCTCAAAAGAGGCCAAACCAGCCAGTGAAGGAAATTGGCACTCCTAGGCACTGAGACCACCTGAGTCCCCAATGGCAATGTTGCATCTCTTCTCCTGGGGTCGGTGTCAGAAATATAAAACACGTTTTTATTTCAGTAGGATAATTTTACTCCTTTTAAAATTTTGGTAAAGTCAATAACGATTCAGGATGGGAAGGAAATTTACCACAGTGTTGCCTATTCTGACAGGTGTTAGCTTTCCAAAAGTCTTGGGGACTGGCCTTTCCATCCCTTATTATACAATTCAGGACAGTCAGGAATCTGCTGCAGACTACAGTCACATGTATTGTGAGTGATAAGGCAAGAAATAACATACCAATGCTATGTGAACTTCACTGGCTGACTATTTACTACTGGGCTCCATTGAACACATTAGCTCTAAGGGCCCAAATACTTGACGGAGAACCTCTCCCCTTATCTGCCCTGCAGTCCACAGGGGAAGCCCATCTCATGGTTCCTTCTGCAAACATTTCTTGTAAGATAGGACCTTCTTGGTGGTGACCCCCTTGTCTGTGGAACTTGTTCACTATGGAGATAAGGATGCCACACTCACATACGCATGTCAGCTTATGATACATCTGCTGACACAAGTCTTTGGGCAAGGTTAGTGAATTAGCATGGCTATTTGCAGTGCTGCTACTTAATTGCTTTGTCCAGTGCTGCCCCAGTATGCTGATTGTATCAGTGGAATTTAAACATAGTTGTTAATTTGATATTTTCCTATGTTTGATGTTTTCCTTTGTTTTTATTGGGTAAAGCACTCTGGGATTTTTTGGTGAAGACTGGTATTTAAATTGAATTTATAAATAATAATCATAATTATCAGTGCAAGATACCAGTATATACTGTAAGGAGGTTAATTAGCCAATATGCAAAGTACATATCTAAGGTAGCAAAGGTAGCTGAGTTTTGAAGAGTCCAATCTCAAGTTTGTTCATCAGAAAAACAGGAGATTTCAGACTTCTTCGGTCATAACCCCTTGCAGATTATCTTGGGTCATTCACAATTCACTTTGTTTCTCTATGAGAAACAATCTCTACCTAACCAGGATAACAACTCTGTTATTGTTTACACAACTACTTATCAGAAAGGTGAGTCAAGGGTTCTTTTTGGGGGGTTGCTTTCTTCACTTTGAACTCAATTAACTTGCCTCTGGGATAGACCCTGAATTGTGCAAACAACTCTAAGATTAAAGTGTGTTGGGGAGTAACTGCTTATAGGAACCCCCTCTTGTAAAAAAGACCTATGCTAGAAATAATAAAATATTAAATTTCGCTTTCCTTACTAAAGCACATTAAACATAAGGATTGTTTGGAAATATATGAATTAAGGTCTTCCTAATACATCAGTGCTACTTCATTTCTACTGCTGAATCCAGCTCAAGCCTCTTCAAAGCTATCCATGACCTTGTCCTCCCTTATATCTATGCTCTTATATCTCAGTGCATCACTGTTCATGGTTGTCAGAGCTGCTTCCAGATCCTAGCTCACAGAGGATCACGCTAGCCAGCGATCACTAAACAAAAGTCTTTATTGAGTTACAGTTTCCATTCTCAAACTGCTGCGTGCAACTCTACGTCTCATGGTTAGACCGGCGAAGCTCCGTCTGAGTCTCCGCCCCTTGTACACCAACTTAATATCCTAGCCCTGCTCCACCTTTTCCGCCTGACTGTTCTTCTCTGGGTCCCTCTGCCCCCTGGGGTCTCTTCTTTCCGGGATTCCTCTGACGCTGACCCCCCTGACTCTTCTCCCTCCTTTCGGCGGGCTTTAGGACCTGGCTCCCTTTCCGGGCTGCCTACTGTGCCACCTTCCTGTGCATTTGAACTTGGCGCGCGCCCAACCTTCCACCTTCCGTCTGACCGTTTCTTCGCTCCCCGATGGAGGTGTGGCCACTCCTGACTCGTGCCCTCCCCCCTGTTGTGAGTTGCCAGCGCTTGATCCCTGGCTCCTTCCTCTTCCCTGCTCTCTGGCGGTGACGCTGGTCCCGATTTCCAACTGCTCCCTCTGAGTCCCCTCTGGCTCTATCTTCCTGGGGCGTCCCCTAGGCTCCCCCCTTGCCCTGGCCACTGGTGCTCCTTTCTGTGAATCTTCTGATTCACTGGAAAGACTCGGAGATCTCGGGTTGTCGTCATCACTCATCTTTTCTTCTGCCTCCTCCCCCTCGCTCTCTGTTTCCTCCCTTGCCCTTGCCTCTGCTCCTGAACCCCTGACAATGGTTATTAAAGGTAAAGGGACCCCTGACCATTAGGTCCAGTCGTGACCGACTCTGGGGTTGCGGCGCTCATCTCGCTTTACTGGCCGAGGGAGCCGGCGTACAGCTTCCGGGTCATGTGGCCAGCATGACTAAGCCGCTTCTGGCGAACCAGAGCAGCGCACGGAAACGCCGTTTACCTTCCCACTGGAGCGGTACCTATTTATCTACTTGTACTTTGATGTGCTTTTGAACTGCTAGGTTGGCAGGAGCAGGGACCGAGCAACGGGAGCTCACCCCGTCACGGGGATTAGAACTGCCGATCTTCTGACTGGCAAGTCCTAGGCTCTGTAGTTTAACCCACAGCGCCACCCGCGTCTCAAGACATGGTTATTACTCCAATAATAATAATAACAATTTTATTTATACTCCGCCCGTCTGGCTGGGTTTCCCCAGCCACTCTGGGTGGCTCACAGCATATATTGAAACATAATAAAACATCAAACATTGAAAACTTTCCTAAACAGGGCTGCCTTCAGATGTCTTCCAAAAGTAAGATAGTTGTTTATTTCCTTGACATCTGAAGGGAGGGCACCACTACCAAGAAGGCCCTCTGCCTGGTTCTCTAGCTCCACTGCTGAAAGATTCAGGCCATTTGCCACATGCTGAAACATTTAGGCCGGTTCATTGGAGTTATGCCTTTGACAGGAATCCTAAGGAACAGTTACAATATCTAGGAAGCCAATCTGCTGTTCACGGTAACAAAGAGAGGGGATACAGAATGTAATGTTCTGCAACCATTTCGATGGCAATTAGTTTACTGATGTGTTCCTTTAAGCCAGGCCTGCTTTAGTTGGGACCCATGAAGTGGAACACAATATGCCACCTCTGTCCTGCTGTGGGCTTGACAGCCCTCATTTTTGCAATCCCAAGGAAAAAAATACATTTAACTGAGCTGCAGTTGGGTTGACATATGTGGATGGAGGGATCCGTTTGGCTTAATGGGTCACACGTTGTGTATGTCTGCTTTAAGGTCACAGCCTTCTCCTACTCTGCAAATTAATACTGGGCCAAACCAAATCCAAATCCAAACTCTAAACCACTCTATAATGAGCAAACCTGAAGATAGCTGTGTGGTGGCCTGGGGACAAAATGGATGTTAGCCCCTTTTGCAAAACCACAACTTAATCCTTCATATGTTTACTGAGAATTAAGTTCAAGTGTGTTCAGTGGAGCTTACTCTCTGGTAAACAAGCATAGGATTGCAGCCTCAGCTGCATATGGATCTCATCAGGATATGTTTGCAAAAGTCATGGTGCAGTGAGAGATGTATTCTATGTGAATTCCCTAATGTAAAAAATGCTCTGCCCACGGAAAATTACAGTGCCAGAGTAAAGGATCCTAACCAAACCTTCTCCCTAATGTTTCAATTTTATGTGTGCAGATTCTGTGATAAGCATGCAAACATGCAATCGTCTACCTTTATTCTGAATATAAACAGAATACATTTTCTAAAAGCTTCTACTAGATTTTATGTCCTTGCACAAGGCTTGCCCCTTTAGCAACGACCAAGAGTGTAGGACCAAGCCTGTTGATCAGACCAAAGGCCCTCACAGTCCAGCATTCTTTTTGCACAGTGGTCAATCACAGATTTCCTTTCAAACCTGAAAGTTTAATAAAAAGCTGTCAGGGAACTGCCATCAGTGCCGGAGGGAGAGAGCAAAATCCAGAGGGATTCCGGAGAGCGTCCCGGGATTGAGAGAGGCAGCCCATCTTCTGGGGAAGAGAATCAGCGTAGCACCAGCGGAGAAGGGGGGCAGATGGGGGAAGCGGCGAGGCGGTCCCATGACTCCTTGCCGGGGACCAGCGGGGAGAGTAGAGCTCCTCCGCTGCCTACGCCCTCCTTGCGCAGAAGGCTTTCGTGCAGGGAGAGTAGGAGGAGACTAGGCGTCAAAGAGCTTCTTTGCTGGAAGAAGTTTAAGAAACGCCCACTGACAGGTGAGTGGCTGTCCGGACAGAAAAGGTTCACTCAGGCAACCCAGCCAGGTGTTTGCACCGGCTTACGCACAAGCAACCCCCAGAACCACTACAAAAGCTAAACGTATAAGCAGATCACATTGCTGCACATCGAGCAAGGAAGAGCCTTCCAGAGAACCGAAACTGTAGACAAATTAGAATTCCAAGTGAAATGGTGGAGGAGGATGGGAGAAACAGAGATACTTGTGGACTGCCATCTAACCACACATCAAATAATAGAGGTTGAGGAAAATGTGAACATGCTTAGTTTTCCTGCCTTGCAAAGAGTGTGTGCTAATCTCTGAGAAGAACATGGTTGTCATTAGTAACAAGATTTACTAGACCAGTACATGCTGACAAATGACCATGAATTCTCGGGGCTATGTTATGGACATTTCCCAATCACACTCAGATCTAGTGTCTGTCCCCCAATATGGATGGGCAGAATTTGCTTGTCTATTGTCCTCCAAGATCAAATTTTCTTAAATTTCTTTATGGTGACAGCTTTCAAGGGTTATACTGTAAATGTTGCACAGGCAGACACCCAGTTGTTGACAGGATGGTGCAGACTGCAAAGCATTGCTAGCCGGCTTCCTACCACAAAGCATCATCAAGAGGAGAGGAACATCAGATTGGCTCCACTGCTGTGCCCACTTTGAGCTTCCCACAACTGAACCCTCCCCCCTCTCAATAATTGGCAGCAATGTTTGGCTCTGGGAAAGCAGGTGAGAAACACTGCTCTGCCCCATCCCTCACTGCACACAAGTAGAAAAGGTTACAACAGGAGGACAAGATTAAAGCACAACACCCAAATGTTTGGTGCAATGCTCAAGTCTTGGGACTGTCAACAAATAATTCGCTGCACTTTATTCTGGAGATATGAAACTTAATCCTACATCAGTCATGGCATTTTTTAAGGTCTAAATTAGGTATTAAGAAATACGAATATGCTACTGCCCTGACGGATCATACCGGGGTCCACCATATAGTACAATGTTACTAGCTTCCTATACCGCAAATGTGTTAATGTGCAGCTACATACAGAGGGTCAGATAATATCCTCTTCCAAAACTTTTGTCCCAGAATTATTCGCCTGCATCACAGTGACCAGCAAACAAGGATTCTGTGACCATCTGCTGAGTCCTTACCCTCCAGTTAGGAACTACAATTTCAGCCCTTTCCAAGAAGTAGATTCTGTTTCAGCTACACAATCTAAATTTTCATTGGAATAATCAGTATTCAGTCCTGGTTACAGTCAGAATTACAAACAGGACCAAACAAGTAAACAGCTTTAATCTTAACAGGTGGCCGTGAGAGATGGAAGTGATTAAGACTTATCAAACATATTAGGAAGCCAAGTGATTAAGTGCACATGTTCTGTCATCTTCCTGCAAGCCAAATTTGTTTATGCAAAACCGAACAGAATGTCATAAGAAGACTATTTGTTAACAAGCGCTTTGCATGTCAAACACCAATCCTCACCCTTTTAAGTTGGAAACCAAACATCACAAAAACACTCAGCAGCTTGCCAATTACTCGAATACGTAGTCTGTGGTAAACAGAATGCTCTAGGGCATCCACTTTGTTTTCAAAATTTGTGTCTTCGATGTACTGTCAGATCTATAGATAAGTAGAACTACTTCATATTAGGTGACAGAGACACGTACAGCCAGTTGTAAGAACATGATGGCACTGAGGGATGGCCAGCAAAATCTACAAGTAGGGAACTGGAGCTGGGACCAGTGTGTGGCAGCAGTGAAAAAGGCAAATTTCATGTTAGGGATCATTAGGAAGGGAGCTGAAAGGCAAACTGCAAATTATCAAAATGCCACCATACAAATCTATGGTGCAATCACATTTGGAATACTATATACAGATGTGGTCACCTCACCTCACGAAAGGATATTGTGGAGTTGGAGAAAGATCAGAAAAGGACAACCAAAATGTTCAAGGGTATGCAGCAACTCCCTTATGAGAAAAAGTTACAACAATTGGGGCTTTTTAGTTTAGAGAAAAGACGAATAAGAGGAGGCCTGTATAAAATGATGCACAGTATGGAGAAAGTGGACAGATAAAAGTTTTTATCCCTCATGTTATTTTTTGTGACTGTAAGGTTTTTTTTACAATACTTTATTTTGATGTTGTATTTTAATTGTTGTAACCCACCCTGGGACCGTAGGAGGAAGGGCAAGTAAATAATAATAATAATAATAATAATAACCTTGAGGAACTATTTTTACTGATCATTTTAATATTTCTTGTAAACCACTTAGAAGTATTGTAAGAATCAAGCAGTATATAACAGTTGTTAAGCAAATACATTCTTTTGTATGCCACGAATTTTCCAACTTTTAGCTACATTGGAGGTCCACTCAGTAATTCATCATTTCCTTGAAGAGTTACAAATTCAACCAGGCAGAGGGCCTTCTCGGTAGTGGCGCCCACCCTGTGGAATGCCTTCCCATCAGATGTCAAGGAAATAAACAACTGTCTGACTTTTAGACAGGGAAGTTTTTAAAGTCTGATGTTTTATCGCTTTATCATCATCATGATCATCATCATCAGTTCTGTTTGGAGCCACATAATAACAGTAGCAGCAGCAGCAGCAGCAGCAGCAGCAGCACAGACTAGGACAGTAATTCTCCAGAATTTTGAGATTTTAAAGTATCTCTGAATGTTAGTGCAACATCAATGTGCATCAGTATGTGTAATATGGTGTGTTTTCCAACCACACGTGTCACAGTGTCATGCATCACAACATGTACCTTGCTTACTACAGCTGAATGACATACAGCCACTGCAGGCTGCAACACAAGCAGAAGGACAGGCGGCGGCAGCGTGCATAATGCAGGTCTAAAACAGAAGGGATCGTGTAGCTGTTGCTTGCGAAGAATTTTTACGCAGAAAAAAAAGCTTTTGCCTGACATTCAAGAGAAACAGGGGCCAAAAGTCAACTAGCTAAATCAGAAATGAGCACCTAACCATGAGTGAGAAAGATATGTTGAACAAGGGCATAAACTACATAGATGTTTCTTAAAGCATGGTTGGTGTTTGCATGGTTTCAAATGTGAACGTTTAAACTGATTGGTTCCTTTGGCAAAGAGTAACTAAAGGGTTAAAGTAAAATTCCAGGAGCACATGCACTGCAAACTGTATTGTGAAAATATTAAAGTATGGTAAGTAGAAGTTAGGGTTCTCTATAATGATTATCCTATTAGATTTCATTTTTAAAGCAACTAATTCCAAATTTCGGCACCAGTGATCTTTACAGGGGAGTTATGGAAACTGCCCTTCAATACAAATAGGCAAATCTACACTATGAAATGGTGCAATTCAAGTGCCTAGGAAATGTTATTCATTTCTTACAAAGTAATGTTGTACCTGTATGACTTCGAATATGTACTCTCAGTGTTCCATTGCTTGCAAACTTCTGTCCACAGTACGGACAGATTTTCTCCTTTTCGCCCGTGTGAGTCTACCAGGAAGAAGGGGGAAGGAGGGAAAAGAGAAAGAGTTAACTTAGCTGCGAAAGAAAACATAAATTAATAATGTTTATTATTCTTATTGCTCCAAGAGTCTAATTTCTTCAGCTTCCATTACATATCACACTATAATATCAAACTCAGGTTTTAAGAGTTTAATAATGGTTACACTTTAAGATTACAATTACTCTTTAGGACAACACCACAAAATGCCTGAATGAATACTGCTACTCATTGCAAAACAAACCAGGTTATCTAACTTAACTACAGGCCAAATTTGTTTTTTATTTCTCAAATGGTTTGGCTCATAAAAATTCAATTAATCTTTATTGGTTCTTGAAACTGCTTGCGGCTGAAGAAAAAGGTCCTTGTTACTTCCATATTTGCACTACAGTTTTTATAGCAAACACTGGCTTGATTTCTTAATGATAACCTTAAGTTCACTTAAAACTTCTGTTTGTGTCCAGTTCTACTAATGCTATTGTTCAATAAAATTGTTAAAGAGATTTTGGCCCACAAACACTTTTACTATAGCTGGAAAAGAAGATTTTGAGCATTATAAAAACTATTGTGAGAAAGATGACTACTTGAAAGATTCATTGTGACTAGATAGCAATGAGAAAGTACATTTTTTACACAACTTTGACTGTAGTTTATGTTCATTGCAAAGGGACTTAATCCAGCAATCTTGTTTAAAAGAACATTTTGGAATTTTAGTGAATATGAGATGGAATGCTGGACCTAGCCACAGTAAAATACAATGGGAATAATTATGGCAAGGACATTTAAGTTGATTGATTTAAATAGGAAACTTAAGGTTTTTTGATGACACCAAAATATAGCTTGCCCAGGTGACACCATAGAATCATAGAATTGTATAGTTGGAAGGGACTGTGAGGGGCATCTAATCCAACCCTCTGCAATTCAGGAATCTTTTTGCCCAATGTGAGGCATGAACCAATGACCCTGAGATTACGAGTCTCATGTTCTACCAACTCAGTTATATATTTAAGACTCCAACAGCCACTGCCAGTGAAATAAAGTGGTGAGAAGTAAAAGAGGCCACCACTGTAGGGTGACAACTGTGAGGGGAGAGCAATACCACACTCTCAGGATTCCCTTTAAAACAGCTTAGGTCCAGTATACTGAATGAATTGCCTCCTCCCTTACTACCCTGCCCACTCCTATAGATCAGAAGGACATCACCACCTAGGGTGGAAACTCAGCTGTCTGGAACAAGAGCAAAGGCCTTCTCAGTGACTGCACTCACGATTATGGAACACTCGTGCCCCACAAACTAGATTTGGCACCTTTTTATTTGGAAAGAGTCTGAAGGGCTGATTAGAAAAGCTCTAATAAATAAAAATCAAAGCCAAGGACATCACAGTGCAGACACTGGGTGCTTCTGGCCACTCAAATGGGTGCTGTCTTGCAAAGTTCAGGCAGACTGCATTTGTTCAAATGCAGGATTTTCCACTTCAGTCACTTCCAGTTCTTTCCACAGTAAGAACCAATTAAGAAGAATGAGAGGGCAAAAACTCTACATATATTCCTGATCTCTCCATGGATACAACTGTAAGAAAAAATATCCTCTAAACGAAGGTTTAGGCTTCTGCCTACTAGTTCAGGATTTTATTTTATTTTAAAAATCAATATAGTTGACTTTTTTCCATTACAAAACTGTTAAGAGTTTAATCAAAACCATAAGTCTACCTGCCAGTTAGGTAAGGTGACAGAGGATATGACCTTCTAGAGACTTCTTTTAATCGTAATAAATCCTGCCACTAACTCCTGCATCCCTAGTGGATAAACAATGTCAATATTTACTCTGTTCATCGAAAGTCAGGACTTACAGAGTGAGGTGGAGAGAGTGTTGACATAGCTCATCTTATCAAATGCAACAGCACAAAACAATAATGAAATCAAAGTGAAGACAAATACAAACCCGTCAATACTTCAAACTCAAGACCACAGCCTTGGCCCTGAGAGGGCATACAACGTGCAATTGCTTAACAAAGAAGGGAAGAGTTTAGCATTTTCCCCCAGGAAGCTATGTACTTTGAGTCATTGGGCTTTTTCAATAGCTGTCAGCAGGTATACAAAGCCAATGGAAGAAGAAATGTTGAAAGAATGATTTATTCCAGGCTTTCATACCCTTCTGGGTATTTGTCTACATCCACATTTGCAATGTTTCCCAAACCAATCAATTAAAATAATACAAGTTCTTGCATAGATTTCTCTCTGAAACTAATGAACAATCCTATTGTTATCAGAATAAGGAATGAGAGTGAGATATGAGAAAAAAATGTAGTAAGTCGCAGTCAAAGGAATAAAGATTGTTGGGGAGTCTTAAAACAGCTCCACTGATTCATAAATAAGATTGGACCACACCAATAAGCTTGGAGGTCTTCATTGCTTGCTCTTGAAAACTGTGTTTACAGCTACCTTAATTCTAATATTTGCATATGCTATCACTTTTCATAAGTATTTATTACTCTGTTGGTATGGACAATCCGCAGCTGAAAATATTTACCTTAAAATAAATTCCATTATCTGTATATTCAAAGGTAAGCATAGTACACACTGAATGAATTTACAATGACCTCAGTTTTTACAAGCTACGGGTTATACTTACTTTTTTATGACTCTTAAGCACAGACGGTGTCACAAAGGCTTTGTCACACAAATCACATTTGTATTTCTTATGGCCATCATGAACTACTTGTATGTGAACGTTCAATGTGTCCTTCCTTTTGAAGGTTGCATCACAGTGATCACACTTAAAAGTTCTTTCACCTTGCAGAGGGAGAAAAGGAATAAAGCTATGTTAGTAGTAGACTTAGCTTAACTTCCACTATCATACTAAGGGGTGCTTATAAAACTACTGTTTTTAAAAGTATCCTAACTTCATGTGGCATACAGTCATAGCTTGGTATTTGAACACCTTGTGACTAAACGTTTTGGCTCCCAAGCATCACAAACCCAGAAGTGAGTGTTTCGGTTTATGAACTTTTTTTGGAATCCCAATGTCCAATGTGTCTTCCGCAGCTTGAGTGCAGGAAGCTCCTGCAGCCAATCAGAAGTTGCACCTTGGTTTTTGAATGTTTTTGGAAGTCAAACAGACTTCCTGAATGGATTCCATTCGAGAACCAAGTTACGACTGTATAATCCTCCTGCTACAGTTCCTTGAAAGATGTCCAAGAAAGCACATTTTTCAGGCATCCATTTTAGAAATCTACACTCAGTGTGCGTTCCAGGTGTATCTTGGAGGTATTTTCCTATTCTACAAATTACTCAAGTGAAGATGAATTTGCACATTTCTCAGCAATGAAAAAGTTAAGGCGGCTTACAGCTAAAATAGAAACAGCTAAAAACGTAGATAGGAAATGTTGGTCATCACTATTTATATATTTGGCCCTGCCTGACCATTCTGAAACCACTGAAAAATGTAAACTCACAAAAACTAATGCAAGCTGCAGACAGCCAATACTATTGTGAATACAACAAAACATAAAATGCAAGCAGATATACTAATTTTATTGTATTGCATGGTATTTAAAAAAATATATTGTTATTAAAGATTTCTTAGTTTACAAAAATACGTGCATTGTCTCTTTTTTCAAGTTGTGTTTTCTACAGTTCAGTTTATTGTATTACATAGTATTGTGTTGGTTTTGTTTTATTGACACTTGGGCATTAGACATTTAATTTTTTTTATAGAGATACGAAGGCTATACAATTTTGAAGTGAAGGAAAAATTAACTGTTTCAGCACAATACTGGACCGGGGTAGTGTTTGGCATTTCACAGGATTTTGCTTAATCTATACATGGTCAGCCTAGTAAACAAGAGAATCATTCAATACCTTCAGAAACTTGTTACAAGCACAATTATGCTGTACAAACATGGCACATTTTCTTCATTTCTGTACATGTCACCTTTGAGTCTCAAAGGATTATCTAAGAATCTCAGGTCTTCTATGAGTCATACAAAAGATACACAAACAAAATCTCAACTCGCATGCTTGGGCACCAGAGGAACAATGATCAAGATGATCAGGCATTAAGGAAATTTAAAAAATGCCTAATGAATTTCAAGGTGGAGAAACAGATTTTGAAGTCTATAGGGAATTCTTTGACTTTCACAGCCACAACTTTTAATTTCATTTGAATTGCTTCAAAGTAGCAGTGGGCAGTGGCGTAGCGTGGGGGGGCAGGGGGGCAGCCACACCGGGCGCAACATCTGGGGGGGGGCGCTCGCACTCGCAGCTCTCTGCCCCTACCTGGCTCACTCAGGGTTAGGGGGCGCAAATTACTTGCCTTGCCCCGGGTGCTGACAACCCACGCTACGCCACTGGCAGTGGGGAATGGTACTGAAATGTTTTTGTTTGTTGAACAGACCCCCAAATTCACATGGGATACTGCAGTACTCTAGCTGTTTTTATATATGCTGTAAGCCTCCCCGAGTGGCTGGGGAAACCCAGCCAGATGGGCAGGGTATGAATTATTATTATTATTGGCTAAAACTTGCCTTGTAACACAGGCATGTGGAGAGCAACATCACATTAAAAATGTATCAGGTTACAATAATACTTAGCATTTATATAATGCTTTTAATGTGTTCACAATGCTTTATGTATCAGGTTGTAATCCTTCCTGCAATTCTTTAAGGCAGATCATCTGAGGCTACCATTCTTGAGGAGCTGACTAAGGCAACTAAGTTCAGGACACAGATGATATTTGAATCATGAGGTAAATTTCTGCATAAGGACTTTAATTCTTCTGCAATGACTTCACCTTCTATATCACCCTCAAATATCCACGAATACAATTATATTCCCCTTCATGTGTGCTAACATAGGAACACAGGAAACTGCCTTATCCCAAGCCATACCATTTGTCCATCTAGTTCAGTATTTTCCACTCTGACTGGCACCAGCTCTCTGGGGTTTCAGACAGCAGCTTTTCTTGCCCTACCTGGAGATTCCAGGGATCGAACCATCTAACCTATGCCCCTTCCCTATGCTAATCACAGGCAGCACAAAGGACTGAATTGGAACATACATCACACTCTCTGTAGAGATCCACATTCCTTGGGTGAATGTCCTAGGCTGCATGTGTATCATTTACCACCATTCACCACATGAATTATGGTCATTAGGAGTTTACCGACCATTGCCTGCCAATGACATATCTTGAAAAAAGGGAAGCTCATTACAAAATGGGCAGGATTTACTGGTGAATGGTACTAAGCGGTAAGGTCAGGAGGGGAAGGATACTCACCACTGGAGTTTTATACAAGAGAGACAAAGTGTGCTGTACAAATTTGGCTATTCCTGGGTAAGGAGTAGATGGAAACAGGCACGTCAATTTTGAGCATTGAACCAGGATTATATCTTCTGAAGAACTCATTTGTATTGCCCACATTGACGGAAGGACTCCCCACCCAGGGATGTTTGTTAAATAATAAACACATTTGTCTTTCTGTAGCTCTCAGCCTAATGGTATATTAAAGATCATTTTTCTATTGAATCAAACAGACAAAGACTCCGTTCCCTGCCAAAGATACAATGCATCACTAGTTTATTGATAAACTACATGCCACTTTACTAGTCATGGTTAGAGTTTTAAATTCTAAATCTCCCTCTCCATCCCCCCCCCATGTGCATTTAGTGAAAAGACTCTGATACTAACCTACACCAGACAGTCTTCTAAACTAACAGTGCACTTACTTTCACAGATTACAAGACAGCAGTGATATGTGGGAACTTCTTGATCTTCTATATTAGCACTTACTGTTATGTATTAGAAGGTGTCTCTGCAGAGAGAATGGCGTTCGGAACAGTGCTTTGCATTCCTCACATTGAAATGGTCTCTCCTCAGAATGGGTCTGTAGATGAAAGACAATGTATTTAAAAGGGGAAAGGCTCAGAGAGATCAATTAGAAGTCATTACAATAATTGTGGCTAACCTTGCTGGCTGAGTTCAGAAGAGATATTGCCTCGGTTCACCAAAAAAGCAACAAAGGCTTAAAACCACATGCTCCTGTGATGGAGAAGCTTATGCTTGGTTGGTGTCAAGCAGATGAACACCAAACAGAGAAATGTACATATAAACGTGGCCATAGAGATAAAAACCGCACTCAAGATTTTTTTGTGGTTCAGATGCCCAACATAAAAGAATGACATTTCCCTGCTTAATTGCACCCTACTTTTCTGCCAGCTGCTTAGCTCTATTTTCTGAAGCTTAAGAATGAAGTTAGAACTCAAATCCCATCTCTCAGTTCAACCTTGTTTATTATTTTGAAACTGAGATCAGTAGTATCAAAATTTTGGCCAGTAGATTTTTTTCTTGCCACATTTGAAGTGCTTTGTGGCTGAAATAAGCTTCAAATCATAAATAAAACATAAAGCCTGAAAGGACACCCCCACCCCCCTCATACATCTTGGATTTCTTCCTGGAAAATGTATAATACACTGGGATAATCAGGTTGTTAAGATATTTCTGTGTTTTTAATTTTCTCTCATTTCCAGATACATGAAAGAGGTTTGTTGTTGTTTAATGCCCTTGGGTAGATCTAGAACTGTACTTACTTTAACCAAAAGTCACTAGATTTATGTTAACTGGGAGGACAGTGAAAATTGTTTCATTATAGTTCAGAGTGCATTGCTACTACACAAAAGCAGTATTTTGCGTCAGGTAAAAATGAATACGCAACACAAATTCTGTGTATCCGCACATAGGGCAGGGTGGGAGAGTTGTAAAATTCCATTAAATGTAAAATGCAAAATTATTTAAAAGCATTGCTCATGACTTAGACCAGTACCAGAACCTGTAAGGACTGCATTACACCAAAGTTTTGTAGTCACTTTCACCGATATCCTCCCAGGGATTTCTGAAGTTGACCAAGGTTAACATACAGCTCAAGCAATAACTTCTTGCCCTACTAGAATACAGCTGCTTTCCCTCATGTTTGCCTCACTTACACATTTACGCAATCAACAAGCTTTTTCAGACATAATTTATTATAAAAAATACGAAGCCAAAACACCACCTGCAGTTCTGAAATTCTTCAAAAAATGAAGTAGTTTTGCAGTATCACAGAGTTCCTTCAGAAAAATTCAGCTACATAAAAATTAATGGGTTGTATCTATTGGAGTAGAAGGGGTCTTTCAATTCCTGAAAGTGAAGCCTAATAATGGAATGGGGATTGCTATGTACTGATGTTCTTACCCTGGGCCAGCAGGGGGATACTGTAGATAGTTTTCACTCAGGTCCACATATGCAAATAAGGGATTGAAAGTGACGTTCAGTGATTGGATAGTTACAGAAAGTTGTTACAGTTGTGTTGTAGTGGAGCTCTATATAAGCAGGCTGGCTGAACCCTTCAGTTCAGTTCAGGCCTGTGAATAAACAAGAGCTGTTTGAAGAATCGCTGTGTCGTCTGATATGTTCACCCACAACTTAACTGGGATAGACAATTTTCACCTATTACCTCTTCCCCTGCTGCACCCTGCAATACTTTTTACACTGGCTAGAGATTCCCAAATCCTCCAGAACAGAATTTAAGGGAACTGGGAGCTGCAGGATGAAGAGATAAGTGGTGAAAATTGCCTCCCTTGCTTTCTGTTCATGGATGCAAAAGCCCTTCCGTAACTAGAAGAGGACCATTGGATACAACCCAATGAAAAGGCCATCAGTGAATTGAACAAGCATGAGTTGTGCCCTGGGTTTGTTGCTGTTATTATGTTTTGTATCTGGATACATCTCCTTTATTTATTAAAAATATACATACCTGGCTTTTATTTATAAAACAAGCTCAAATCATCTCACAAAAAACAGCAGTTCAAAATGAATAAAATCAGTTCCATACAATAAAACCAAGAGAAATAGAAAACAATTCAGCGCTGAAACAGGGAGACAAAGCTCTAAGCCACATTAAAAGCTTGATTTGCTTTTTTTTTTAAGTCTTAGGAAGGCACCTAAAGCATAAGAGAGAGGAAGCCAACTGAATTTCCTCTGTAGGGAGAGGAGGCCCACAATGCAGATGCTGCAACAAAAAAAAAGGCAATGCTTGGCTGTCTTTTATGCTTCTGAAACTGATGAGACACAAGGCCTCCAGTACGGAGCACAGTCGACAGACAGCATTACATGGGACAAGGCAGCCCTTCAAATATCCTGCCCCCAAACCATTTAAGTCTTTGTAGGTTAGGACTGGGGCTTTGCATTGCATGCAGAAACCAACTGGAAAGAAGTGCAAATGAATCCAAAGTAGTTTTGCACCCCGTGAAGAGTCTCCAGGCTCTGCAGAGCAAGGCACACATAGAGCACATCACTGTAATCTGGATTGTATATGACTACAGTGGTACCTTGGGTTACAAACACCTCAGGTTACAAACACTTCAGGTTACAGACTCCACTAACCCAGAAGCAGTACCTCAGATTAAGAACTTTGGTCCAGGATGAGACCAGAAATTGCATGTCAGCGGCACGGCGTCAGCAGGAGGCCCCATTAGTTAAAGTGGTACCTCAGGTTAAGAACAGTTTCAGGTTAAGAACGGACCTCCGGAATGAATTAAGTTTGTAACCAGAGGTACCACTGTACAAAAAAAATACAGATTAAAATATGGAGCTAAACTATCCCAATAAGTATCTCTTAAATAAAAGAAGTTTAACATTGCTTCTGGACTTTGACAAACTTTAAGGAGGGGATATTTCATAGCTAGAGAACAGCCACTAGAAACATTATGTGCCTTGCTCCTCTCACTTAATGCACTAAGAACACCTTCAAAGAGAAGCCTCTGGCAGATCACAGGAATTGTGATCGATAATAGATTGCTACTGTAGAACAAGGCATGGAAATATCTTTCACATATAATGCACCATCTGCCCATAGGTTTTGCTGCAAAGTAACTGTTGCCTTTTCTCCATTACAGATATGAATTCTAGACTAGCTGCAGAAGGACAGAAAGGAAAGACAGAGTGGGACTTTCTGCTCAAGTGCATCTGGAACTACTTCCCACACCATTTTCCCACCCTGAGCTCCTTTGGGAGGAAGGTCAGGATATAAATTTTAAAAATAAAACAAGTTAAAAACCACAACATCGTTCTTCACTTTGCATTCACCCCCCACCCTCTACAAACGATTCTGGAAAATGCTCAGCCAAGAAGGGGGACTTGAGTTGCTTTAGGTTTTCCCAAGAGAGCTCAAGCAAATAAGTGAAGCGTGGCCTCAACAGTCTTCCATCTCCTTCTCAAACTTTCATTGTGAAAGAGAAGGTTGAAACCAGCAGTGGGGGACAGAAGAAACCTTTCCTTTTCCCCCTTTTAACCAGAAACTGCATGCCTTCTGCATGTACAGCAGCATAATTTCCTGCTGAGAAGCATAGGATTTGTTTTCTCAGCCTCTTCACAATAATCAGGAGGCAGAAGAAACTAAAATGACCATGTTCCCCTGTTGTCATTTTCTGATAATCTATGGCAGGGGATGTGAAAACTCTTTAACCAGAAAAATCATTGAGACATATTTTCAAATTTGTTCCTCCATTGCATAGAACAAAATATTGTGTTATCAGTTAACACCACTTTTTTTTAATGGATGTGGCCAACACAAAAGGCTGGAAGCTTTTCTCCAAAGTCCACATCCTTGTTAGGGCTATTGGTGTGGCTCTTTAACAGCAGTTGCTACAGAAAAGCCAAATCAAGTCTGGACATAAAGAGACTGAACTACCTTCTCACCTCAACAGGTGGTTCCTCCAGAACAGGGTTGAGACAATTGGTTGATACTTTGCTGTGGGAAAGCTTGCATGGCTGCTGACTGTGCTGTACCTGTTCTGTGGATAAATAGAAGGCTTCAGTCTCTAGGGCTGTTAATCTGGCACCATGCATGAGTGAAAAATCCCCCGCCCTCATTTAATAACACACTTGGGGCTTGCTTAGGTGATCAGCTATCTGGCTTTTTGAACATCTTAAATAGATTTACCTTCTGATTTCTTTTAATCTGATCAGAAGCTAAACCAAACTGAGAGCATAGAAAGCACCCCCAGATAATCAGAAGTATTTGGACTTGCCTTGTCTCTTGTGCAAAGAGTAAAGTGGGGAAACTGTAGACCTTGAACCTGAAAGTATGACGATCTCACTCTGGGATTTATTTCCTGCACGAAGAATGGTTAATTCAGCTGTATCAACTCTGCTTTCCTTATATGGTATCCAGATGCAAAAGATGACAGGACTACACCTTTAGAAAAATGAATTTCAGCATGTGTAGTTTGCACTCTAGCCTGCTGAAATTCCCTCCCCTATGCCACTGTTAAAAGGTGCAGGAATCTTGTCTTCATTGGCATCTGGTCACCCTATTCCTAGATCATGTAAACAAGCCCTTAAGTTTCATTCAGAAGAGCTGCAGAGTTTCTCTTGCTTTGCCACTTAACAGCCCTTTATCGGCTTTTCTAAACCACTATCCTGAATACCAAAACCACTGTCACTCCCTTACAAGAATTATCAGGCCAGGTTTAAATGTTACAGACTCCCAAAAGCATTGTGAGTAGCATTTAAAAGCTTGTCATTTCTCCCATTTACCAAAATGTGCAGTGTTTTCACACCAGTAGCAGCAATGCACATCCCAAGCAATTGCTGGCCCTTGTACAAATTTGAGCCAATACATAGTGTAAGAGGCTTTTAAATGTTATGCCTAGCATACAAAGCATGAGGATAAACACTTTTTAATCAGCCTTCGCATGGGAGCTATAATGTTTCAATTGGCTCTCAGTTAACTACATGCAGAACTTTGTTGACTGTGCTCACATTTGAAGGACCTATATTTATCAAGAGTTTTGACTAATTTCTCTTCCTAACACAAGCCCACATGAGTGAAATCATGTAGAATTTCCAAAGCCATTTGCAGTGCTGATTGACTGCTGTTTGAAGACACATATTTTCTAGGTTATAAGAGAAGCAGCTTGTTCTACAACTCTGGAAGACCGAACAGTTCCTCATAGTAGAGTAGACCAGTAGACAGAGTGCAAAGTAATAAATTAAAGATGGTTGAACTGCATACATTTGGTCACTCTTTTGGAAGCTATGGAGAGTTTGGAACATCAATAGAATTAGAGGCTCAGTACAGCAATTCATTTAGTAGGAAATGGTTTTATTAATTTACATTTCTAAGCAGTGTTTATTTTCTTTCAGATTTTATCAGCTTCATGTAATTTCTATTCTATTTTTGCTCCTTTCAACATTATAAATATGCAATAACAAGGGATGTAAAAAAAATGCACCCAGTATTACAAATGCAAATGTACCTCCTTCTTGATTGCTGTTAATGACAATATTGACCCTGTCAGCTCTTGGGCAGATCAAGAGGAGATCTCCAGACTATGACCTCTTTCTAGCTCTTTTTGCCCAGAGTGAAGATGCCATATCAGAGGATGGGAAATCATCAGAGGTCTCTTATACAGCCCAACCACGCTTCCACAACTCTTAGGGAATCAAATATGCAAACTATCCTGAAGTATTCTAGTCATATTCTATACTAAACCAATTTAACATGCATAGTGATATAAAGCAGCTCTCAAAGAAATAAAAATAATTTATGATGCCCAAGCACACACATGGTCCTCCTCCTCTTCTTCCACTACCCAAATATTACAAATGAGTAGCATGTTACATTGTAAGGAAACATGATCCATGAAACCATTGTGAAGATTTCAAACATCTTTTAAAGCCTATCTGTAATGTGAAGCCATGGCCTGATATATGAGAAAACCTTTAAAGGTATATACAGGTAGGCTTTAGATCCAGTTTCTTAAAGAGATTCTCTTCTCCCGCATCAGGTAAAGGCACCCAGTCTCATTAGGGGTGTCTCAGATAACTGACCTCTCTGCATGTAGCAGGGTTTTTAAGTTGTTTTGATTGGGAGGAGTTGCCAAGAATGCATATGTTTTTATTAGACACTCTGTCTTATGCATGTGGAGTGTTCAATAAAGCACTTCTTTTTATGGCAAATCTGTAGGGACACTGTGCTTTCCTCTCTGCCTTGCATCCCCATGCCCCCTTTACTCAGGGCCTGCTAATGTCTCCACAGTTACTAGTTAAACATAAAAGGCATCTGCCAGGGTGGTGGGGCAATGGATCAGGAAAGCAGAGCTGGAAACATTTATTGTACAGAACTAGCTTGTTATCTTACACCACAAATCAGTGTAACACACATGCCTCCCTGCCTGTTATTGTCGCAAAAACCCTGTGGGGTAGGATTAGGCTGAGAGAGTGTGGCTGACCTAGTCACTTATAAAGCAATCCAAATGATAGGAAGCCAGGGCAATTTTTTCCCAAACTTGGTTCAGGAGTGGGGCTACTGCCAGCTGTGTCCGCTTACACCACCCTTGACTTACACCAACCCTTCTGCTCAAGTAAATTCTATTGGGTTAATAGGTCACATGACTCAGCTAAACTAAGTTTGGAGTGGGGTAAGTCACTCCCCAGAATCCTCCTTTTATGGGACTTACCCAGGATTTGGATGAGCCCTGAGTCCAGGATGTAAACAAAAGCCCGTAGTCAGCCAAATATAAATGTTCGGGAAACCATTTTTAATGTGACTGGTTTGTGTAATTTTCTGGTTTTGTGCAAATCTGAAGGAGCAAAATTAAGAAATGTCTTAAGGCTACACTTCGTTCAGGAGCGTGCCAGAAATAGCTACAAGAATGTACATAAAAGGAAATGAAAGCACAAGGGAAGTAGTGGTCATGCAAAGGGGAAGAGCAGAAAGTGGTGATTCACCTCTCCGAAAGAACTGCAACACATAGTCTGTGACCCCGAGTGAAGCAGTTGGAGGGCAAATTCCCCCCAGTTCATTAGGTTATCCTTGTATGGTTAAACCCACATTTACAAGGGGAGAGCATCAGGGTTGGTATTGTTGGAAGGTAATGTCATGTAGATTGTGCAAATTAAATAGGAATGTTAACAGCTGCAGACACACAGTAAACTTCATTGTAGACAAGCCCTGCACTATACAAAGTGAAATAATGAAAGTGTGTACAACCAAGGTGCTATTGTTAGCCATTTTATAATCTGAGGTGATAAGAACCATTGCAGTGCAAGTGTTTTATATGCTACACATGGATAACTGGGCCACCTCAAAATGAAATCAACTCCTTGTTGTGAAAAGACTGTGTTAAACCACATCAGTTACAGCACTGGGTAAACTTGGAAAATAGTCAAACACACACTTCGAGTCAGCCAAGTTTGTTCTGATGCTCCAGCACACCACCAGATTATGTATCCATAAAAAAATTATCCATAGGCGTCAAGGCAACCTCTGCCCAAAGCATATAATAAAACCCTCCCAGAGGGCACAATCTCCATGTCCTGTTTTTCATTAAATATTCTTAAGAGAAATGGTTCTAATACCAATTCAGTGCAAAGACCACAAGATTATCATGGATTTATATTTGACGGTATCAAATTTGAAAAACATGTTTTTTGTTATAGGAGTTGGATTTTGCTCTTCTGACCAAGCCATGCCTGTTGCAGACGAATAATAAAGCACCAAAGTTGGTGCTTTGATATGATTTGTTAGATGTGTTTTGGAATTTTTGGTAACTACTGGATCAAATCAGGCTTGCGGATCAGGAGATGTCTGCTACTAAGCAGGCCTTTGATATGGATCATCTAGCCCAGTATTCTGCATATTCTGAATGGCACTGCTTCTCCAAAGTCACCAAAGGAGCTCTTTCCCAATTCAGCTAACCTGAGCACAGGAGCTGAACTGTGTATGCTCTATCACTAAGCTATGGCTTTTCCCTTCTTAAAACCACACAGAGACAGAACTTCATTAGACTAGGTCTTATCTCTAATGCACAGTTCTGTTAACTATACAAATATTTTTATTTGTAGAACTCACTAACAAGGTCCAAAACATGTTGGCCACTAAACTACACTTTTGCTTCCTGCATTTCCCTCCCATTTATCCCCCAAAAGCAGGTGCCCTCCAAATGTGAAAGGACTGCAGTCCCCATCATCCCTGACTATTGGGAGTAGTGGTCTAAAACATCTAAAGGTTGGAGAAGGCTGCTATAATATAACCTGTTTTCTGGGAGAAGCACAGGAACAAGCAGCATATGTTTGAAGAGGTTCAACAGATTTTTATAATGTCTTTACTGTATTCCCATTTCTGTTTTGTAACATTTTATGACACCTTGTAAGCCACTCTATAGAGATTTTGCTAAAAATGGTCAGTAGTGCATTCATTTCCTAAATCAGATAAATAAAACAAATGTGCACAATTACTCCAGTTAAATCCATAGATTAAAGAGAAGATTTCCAGATAAACTTGTTTATATGACTCAGAACCAGCCCCTGATATTTTACAAATGAAGCACTACTCAGAGTAGCACAAAATGCATACAAAAAGAGATTACAAGTGGGTACCTCAGATGTAGATTTCCCTGAGGTAGTGTCAACCCTTCACCTAGACAGTACCATTTCAAATGGCAGGTGGGGGTTCACATGACAGAATGCTCTTCCATAACCCCCCCCCAAACAAAACCTGCATAGGGAAAGCTAGAGAAAGCTAGACATGAGGGGGGGGAGTATTGTTGCCCAGCCCTTGAAATGCTATTTCTCTATACTTAGTGATTTGTTATTGTTATGAAGGAAGATTCAAACATGGGAGCCTCCACATATAGACTGAAATACAACAGCCCAGGGACCGGTTTACTACACTCTGTGAAGTAGACTTGAGGGCAAAAATAGAATTACAGTACTGGCGTCCATTCATATTCCTTTAACCACACAGAGAGACATAGGTTAATACTTCATTCATCTTTAAAGGGAGGGGTGGGGTCTGCTTTTTGCAACAAAAGTTGTACATAGGTGAGATGAGATAAGCTTGTCTGCTTCCCAGCTGACCTAGTTGCAATATGTTGCTTCAGAAACTTTTCTCCACAACTCAGCTCACTTTTGGTGGTGGAGCCAAACTGCGAGAAAAGTGTATGAAGTCAGTCTGTTTTGGACCACAGTCACAAACAGCTCATGAACTGCATGAACCCTATCTGCTACAGCTCACTAGTATATTCAATTGTACATAGCCATAGCCAATATAATTAGCAGGTATTTTCATATCAGTTGCTGCGTCTCAGGCACTAGCGTAGATAGCTTCTTACTACAGAATTATTATCGCCAAATGCTAAAAATTTGAAGACTTGTAATCTTTCAGTTCTGAGCTTGAAACTAAGAACTTTAGTAAACTTAAGAGAAAATGAATGAATTACAGTTCCTTTTCACTTGCCATCTGGTTTCTGAGCTTCCAGCCCAAATTGCTATCATGTTTCCCGGTCTTATCTTTGAAACCATAAGGGTTTAAAAGAGAAAAAAGAAAGCTGAGATTCACAAGCTTCTGTAACAGCCACTGTAGCTCATTTAGTGTAGTTTATGCCAATTTTTACTTGCTGTTTTAATGACGTGGAACAATTGAAGGGTTTTGAGGGAGCACTGCTTGCTCTTTTAAAGCTTCACCCCTTAAAGCTGTACAAATAGGGCTGAAAATTCTCTGAGCCTGTCTATAGCTCAGAGGCACACTTTCCAGTTGTTGGAAGCAACTTAGCTTTTCACCTTCTACCCTAACCTACAGGTGCAGAATTAACTATGCATAATATACGCATTTGCTTAATCTGTATAATTCATGCAAATTGAGTCAACTATTCTTATTGGTAACCATGATTCAGGTCTTTATCTTTTTTAGCACTGAATAGTCTCAGACTTGTTCATTCAGACCGATGGTCTGCCATAGGAATGGGCAGGAAGAGGGTCCCAATCCCTTGGTGAACCACAAGCCAATGTGCCGGGGGCCATCTTGTGTCTGCTGTTTGCAGCAGTACTTGCAAACATAGAAGCCTTCTCCTAGGAGATGAAGGGGCTTTTGCCCCCCAGTAAAATATCTGAGGGGTGGTGTGCATGCACCGCATCATGTGATCGATTGTGCAAGGTGGGGCTTATCTTGGCCCCCTCAATATCTTATTCACATTGACACCCCTGCTTGCGAATGTAGGACCTGATTTATCTTGCTTTGAATCAAGCTAGGCACTTCTTAAGCAAACATGCATATTCTTGATCCCTCAACGAAGATCAGTGATACCCAGCTTTGTAAAAGCACACTGTTGGGCCAGGAGTATTCAAGCAAGATAGAAAGAAAAGCATACCATGCAAACTGAAGCAAGTCCATCCCTGATCTACTAGGTCCAATATTGTTAATGAGCTTCAAATCCAGGGGTTCAGAGACTGAGGCTGGGGCCCATCCCAGCTCTGCTGCTTGAGCTTTCCAAAATGGAAATGCCCTAATTCAATCTTCACACCTCATACATAAAAATACACCGATGTGGACATATTTCCATGACCCTCAAAGCAATTTCAGGGGCAAGGTCCACACTAGGTTTTCAATATTTATTGAATGAATAATGCTTCAGGACACAGAGATTACTGGGGGGACGGGACATGTTTTCCCCCTCCTTTCCCTCTCCCTCTCTTTTTAATTTAAAGTTGACTACTCAGAATAGCTTTCAGTCACTTTGCTCTCAATGTAGCCAGTTTGTAAGTTGTATTTTTAAAAGGTCATTACATATGTAAGCTATGGTCCTGATATGCAAGCTCTTGTGTCTTTCAACGGGCTCATGCATCCTGTCTGCCTTAGAAAGAACAGTCATCATTGTTTCACCCTGTTAGAAGCATTCTGGTTATTATTATTACTTTCATATGATTTATGGCTGAAAACACAAAAGATGGTGCAAAGATCCGGTGCCAGATTCCCAGATGGCATATAACATGAGCCAAACTGTGAAAAATGTGTAAGTATTGGTATATCTATTTCATCAAAGTGTTGGCGCAAGGGGCGGGTGGAGGGAAGGAGCAATAGGGTTTCAAAGACTAAGCAGGAAACCAGCCAGATAATTTTTTACAGTCTTGCAATTCTGAAGCAGCGGCAGCAGTCAAGGGTGCAGCCGTGCCATTGAAAACGTAACCCAGGGTCAAAAGTAATGACAGGCATTATCAAAATTAGGGCAGGCAGATTGGAGCTTAAATCACACAGCCAGGAGTCATTTAGTGGAGCCTGAATGTGAGGTCCCTCTGTACTTTGGGGGCAGAGTTTTCTTCTGTTGCTGAAATCATGTCTAACTGAAATGTCGTCAGTGCAAACTTTAACGGCTCTCCTGATAATGTCTGCCACAAAGAGAAAAAATGACTGCAACATCACAATAGATAGATATAGTTAAGAAGTTACTCTTTTAAAAAAAAAAAATTCCTAAAGGAACAAAATCAAAACAAGTATGCAATCAGTTGAACTAGTTTGGACTGATTAGAAAGAAAGAAACAATCACAAAGGACCCGTTTATGATCTAGATATCTAGGCTATCGCAAAGGAACGCTAGCTAATATATTTTGCAAGATTTGAAGCTCATGTTTCTAAGCATGCCAAAGCGCACTGATCCATCACTAAAATGAGCAACAGCTGCAAATCTAAGCCTGGCAGAGCTGTAAACAACAACAGCGGAGTGTTTTTTTGTTTTTGTTTTTGTTTTTACCTTCTTGTGATTCTTGTAAACATTTCTGTGGGCAAATCCCTTTCCACAAAGCTTGCATTTATAGGGTTTATCTTCACTGTGTATTATTTTGTGTGCAGTCACTTGATCAAGTCGTTTGAAGGACTTATTGCAAACCTCGCAGGTGTAGGGGCGTTTTTCTGCAGAAAATGAGTGGGGGGACATTTAATCTCCTGTTTATATAGGGGTAGAAGATGAAAGGCAGAGACAGCCATCTCGTTGGAGAGATTTCTGCAATGAAGTCAACCCAATTAAGATTAAACCAATTAGAAAGACATCTAATGCCCTTTATGTTACACAGTTAAGTCGCTTCGTAAAAGATGAGCCATGGCGCATCTCGAGAAATTGGCACGTTCTTTGCAACAATCATGGCTAAAACTAAACTCTGATTAATTAGCTTAAATCAAAAGAGAATGACTTCAAAGAGGCAAAGCCTGTTGCCAGACTACAAATGTGAACGAGGGCATGACAGTTTAAATGTTTTAAAACTTAATTAACAATATACATAGCAGATTCGTTTTTAAAACAACCAGAGTTGGTGTGTATATGCTTTTGTGTTTCAGTTGCTATATGAAGCCTAGCACTACAATGTAGAATATTCTAATCCAGAATCTCAAAACTCAGCTAAATGCCCCTGAGATACAGTCCTTTTTGTTTGCTTGTTTAAACAAATGCACTTCAAGCATGCAATGAAATGGAGATAGCAGCTAAACATCAACCGTTTTAGCAATGTTGAAACCCTGTTTTAAAGCATTTAGGAAGGGAACAAAAATTCAGGTTTTGATTGCACCTTTTTCCAATTATTGAATGAAAGATGTGGAAATGCCAGAGCTTAATGAACAGAAATAAGTGGCAGAGTCCAATCAGACAAAACAGTGTTTCTTGCAAATTCTACATGGCTTCTCCTCTGCCAGTTCCATCATAGATAAGGTGCCTGCTCAGGCTATTGCCTAAAGGTGTATATGGTCTGCTTTAGAAACAATGGAAGCATCTTGTTGATACCTAGAGACCAATAGATAATTTAAATACCTTCCCATTTATTTCAGCCCAAGGAAACGTCCTGGAAAAAAGCCATTTCCTCAAGCCATCTCTGCATCGCTTACATTATTTCTACCATACAATGAGCCTACTAACTTTTAAAAAAAATAACTATTCAATCAAGTTTCAAGGCAAATATTATGATGCAAGTGTGTCCAAGAAGAAAAAAGATATGTGGAAGCAGGAGCCTATATAATAAACTTGGGGTTTTCTAAAAGGAAACGCTCAACCTATTAATTGTAAAGTATTAGGATTATATGCGTTGGCTGAAACTCTCAAACCAATTAAATCAGTCCTTTTAGCTAAATCATTTTTAGGCTGCCAAAACTCCAAACACACTTACAATGGAAGCAAGTGTAACAAGCAAGTGTTCAGAGCTGCGGTATATGCCTTATTCATGTGAACAGCCATCTTAAATCAGGGATGAATAAACTGAACCTCTCCAGATGTTGGGGCCACAAATCCCATTATTCCTGACCTGAAGGGCAGTGGAATCCAACAACATCTGGAGGGCCACAGACTTCCCTCCACTTAAATTGACAAAACTAGGTTATGGAACCAACTACCAAAGAGCCTCATTATTAGGTCTTACCTGTTTGTTAATGCAAAGCCCAATACAATAACAAAAATATATACAATAGCAATTCAAGGTATTATGTGAAGCTTGATTTAATAAAAAAAGAAAAAGGTTTTTACCTGAGTGAGTAATCATATGGCGTTTTAGCTGGTTAGCTGAAATAAATTTCTTGTCACATTCCTGACACTCAAAGATCTCATGAACCTGCAATATGAGTATTTAATGATAATTAAGTATGTGTCTTACACAAGATCACACATCTTAAGCTAATAAAAGAACATCTCAAATAGACTGTAATTATTCCTTAGCTCGGAGCTATGCTAATTCTCATGGATGTACTTCCTTCCTTAACTCCTTTGCTTAACAACCACATTTCCAAAATTAAAAAGTTCATTCCAGTGAACAAAAATTACCTCACAGTCCACAATCCATAACCCACTCTTTAAAAAATTAAAAATCAACATTTCTAGAACTACTGTAGAATATGTGTTCACCCCCCAAAAAAAATAATTCTCTCAGAATAGGCAATTTTTATACATAACCTTTTTCTTCTAGCATAAAGCCTGAAAATACAGTGAACATTTCAATAATGTGCACTGACTTCTAAGAAGAATATAATTATAGTATAATGTACTCATAAACACTAGTCATACTTACCAGAGAGTAAGCCCTATTGAATACAGTGGCAGTCATTTCTTAGTAAACTTGTATAAGAATTGCACTGGAAATCATTCTCTTGGCTACTATCATATTTTCCAAAGTAGCAATGATTTTAAAAATGTAAATATAACTCTATATTACCGTTCTTTGAGTACCAAGCTTCTGGACAAAGATGTCTGGAGACAAAAAACACTAATTGTCCGAATTGCTTGAGCCTAACCAAGGTCTGTGTAGCCTGAAATGAACATATTTCTTCATTTTTTAAAAGTGACAGTTTCAGAAATCTTCATTTGTCTTATTAAAAAGGACAAAAAATAATTTGCCAAACTTTCCAAAGGTGAACTTGACATAGATTAATTTTGCATGAGAACCAACTAGGCGATAACCACAGTATGGATTTAGCACCTTAGATCCAATAATTTCAATGGGGGTACTATGAGTATGACTAAATTCAAAACTAGATGATATATTTGACCTCTTTCTCTACATTTGCTTTTCTTCTCTGCTTTCCAAGAAACCTGTGATTCCAAATGTTGCTGCAGACATAATTTTTATGTGGTTTTGATATTTCTATGAAAAGCCTTTTTCCATTTAATTATTTGTTCCAGATAGTCCTTTGTGGAACTTGCAACACCATCAAATGCCCAATGTTTAATATAATCAAGAGTCTGCTCCAAATTCCCACCTCCGTGTTAGGCTTGGGGTCAGAAGGAAAGTTATAGCACCATAAATTTTGCATCGTGTCATAATCTAGGTACAGCATCATGCCTAGATAGAGGATTCTCTTTAATTTCTCAAAAATGTAGGCCTGTACATTATGAGAATGAGCTACAGCAAAATCCAGATGTGTATTGTCCTCCTCTGAGTGCAGCTACAGTGATAAATTCAGATATTTTTGCTTCCATTTTAGATTAACCACTACTTGTTGTAATATCCAAACCCAAACTGTGGTTAATCTTAACTATGTTATCCAGAGTTAGGATTTGAACATAATAGGAAACTGAGGGTTATCTAAAGTGGATGTGGAAATGTCTAATCTCCTCAAAGAGGAAAATAGAACACAAAACATTAATTATGTTTAAATATTTTGCTGTTTGCTGACCTGGGCTCTGTTGGGAGGAATAATGGGGTACAAATTTAACCAGGGAACTGCAAAATGTCCCCAGAGCATCAGGGTTCAGGACCTCTTTCCTATGTGCTTTTTTATTGTTGAGGTAAGATTCCCCCTTGCTCTTTAGGCAAAGGAGGCAGACACATTAAAAGCTGCTGCCATCACACCTAGTTTGTCCTTTAATCTACTGGTTTGGTGAGTAGAAAGGTGTCCTTTGCCCTTCAAAAAACCCCAAACCAAAAAAACCCTATGTGTGCAGCAGCAACATGAAAATCAACCAAAAAACAGTTGGAAGAAAATCAAGAGGAAAGAATAATTACAGAACAAGTAACACTCTCTGAAATACTTGCATAGCAATGTTTAGGGATACCCCTCAGATTGGGTAATTCCTGACAGACTTTGACTTACAGTCCATAAATCTGCCTGATTGTTTTTCGTTAGAACTCAACTAATACTATAAGCCCCTAAAGAGATTCACTAATCCAAGCAATGCGATCTGACCTTTCAAACTTTTAAGACAATTCGAAATAGCTGGCTAGTTCTAGGCTTTATGCAGGAATTAACTTCACAACTATATGTCTGTGAAAGAGATTTCTCATTCTGTATCACTACCCTCCAAAAACTGTTCCTGGATTTGCATCAGTTTTTTGCCTTTGAAGGTAGCTATTAAACAAACTGCTTAGAAATAATATTAAAAATGTGAAGGACAGGTAAATTAGTATACAGGTAACCTAGAGTCTGCACTGGAAACAAAAGAATCCTCATAGGTCTGAATTTTAAGGGATGTTTTCAGTTGGCATTTTGTTTTCAAGTCACAGGAACCTATTAATACAGTGATACCTTACATACACTTCAGGTTACATACGTTTCAGGTTACACACTCCACTAACCCAGAAATAGTGCTTCAGGTTAAGAACTTTGCTTCAGGATAAGAATTGTGATCCGGCGGTGCGGCGGCAGCATTAGCTAAAGTGGTGCTTCAGGTTAAGAACAGTTCCAGGTTAAGAACGGACCTCCAGAACGAATTAAGTACTTAACCCGAGGTACCACTGTAGGGCACATGCTTGGTATAACCAAAGTCCTAAACCAATTAAAAGGATCCTGGTCAACAGGGCTGGCACAAATGTGCCTGAGACCTTGAAAACTTCTGTTGCTAGTCTAAGTAGATCATATTGCAGGGCTGGGGAACCTTTGGAGCTTCAGATATTGTTGGACTCTCATTTCCCATCAGTCCCAGCTAATACCAGCGATAATGTGCGTTGTAGTCCAAAAACATTTAGAGGGTCAAAGGTTACCCAAGACTGTAGCATTGGCTAGATCAGACTGGAACTCCCATCATCTCCAGCCAGTTTTGCCAATGGTTAGGCATGATGTGAGTTGTAATCTAACATCAGGGATCCAAGGTTGAAAAAGGCTGGGCTAGATGGTCCAATGATAAGGCCGGTCCTTGTTTCATATGCCTAAGATCACTAAATTTTATAATAACTTAGTGGAGTATTGACCCTTATTTGCCACTATGCTGTAGTTGATCTTCAGCCAGTCAGAACAACAGACCTAAAGGCCTATCCAGACTGCCACACCTTTCACAGGTACATCTGAATTAGCATGAACCAAATGTGGTTAAGCTGTAATGGATACCACCACCCCAAAGAACAAGCTGGTTGTGAAAGGCAGCTGCCACAAAATGAAGTGGACTTTCCGTATGCTGATGCAGACCTGCATTTAGGTGAACTTGTTCAGACATGCAGTCTATATTTGGCATGATTCTCCCAGCAACAAATGCCTACAATGGTGGAACCCTATCAATGCAGCTGGTTCACCACATAATCTCAATGCCATAGCTTTAAGTAGAACTTAATTGTACAGCTCAAAGGAATGATTTTCCAGTTTATGGCTTTCTGGGATATTTGTAAAATAAAGCGGGAAACACAACCACCTTTCTTCTTATAAGACCAGATCTTAAACCAGGTTTTACGAGCAATGAGCTCCTACCCCCGATGTGATACTCAGCTAGACACAAAGTAAAAAATCTTCAAACATTCCTTTCTGAAGACTGTCTTCAGCTAAAAGGTCAGAAGAAGATTCATGCAAACAATATATTTTTTAAGAGTTTTTAAAAGAAAATCTACAGAAGATTTTCATCTCCCTTTCCAGTATCGTACTGTAATAAATGCAGCCTAATTAATAGAATCTGTCTTACCAGCTGTGCCTTATTTGCCACATAAACCCTCAAAATTCCCACTAAAGCTATTTTTACGTAAATAAAAGATACCCAAAAACTCCCCTGGCCCCCCAAAAAACCCTTTATATGGTACTAGCATACAGTGGCTTGGAGTAAGCATGGAGGCAACATTGCTGAGTTGCAGAGAGACTGGTTATTTATGCTGCTGCTGGGATTCTTATAATAGGTCCTATGACTTGGTGTTGCTGCAAAACAAGATATAAAGTCTGGCAATTAATAACACTGGCAAAGAATAAGGGCAGGCAGCAGTAGAAACCTGACAAAAACCCAAGCAAACTGAAGTGAAATTCAGGCAGGTTTATTAACGCAGTTAAAGGGTGCTTATTAATGCAATTAAATTGCCCTATGAATTTTCAGCAAATGTCTTTGTGTCTTCAGTGTCCTGAAGTTGCAACAACTGCAAGTTCTTCTACACATCAAAAGGATGCCCCCAAAATGTGATTTAGTTTAGGTCAACTGAAAATAGTTTAGATGCACTTTTCGAATAGAAAATAATTATACAGTATAAGTGCAGAATTTGGTATTAGACAGAAAAGTTGGGAAAGTCACTTTTCATTTTAAAAATCTGTTTCTAGCAATTAAGAGTACCTGATTAGCTTGCAAATGTGTGGCTGATACCTAGAAAAATCTCAAAATGCCAGAGGTATTTTGAACAAGATTTGCAGGATCAGGGCTATTGTGTCCCCTCAATCTGTCACAAGCAGAAGCAAAGTGCATTTTGCATACCAGGTAAACAGATACCTATTAGCAAAGATACCTGTTTGCTTCGTTTCCATAATTTGTAAAGGTTAGAGCAGTAAGCTTTTCTTTTCTTTTAAATCCTGATTATTTTTGTTGCACGCTACTTGCTGCTTTGACTCTTAGCATTAATAGCCTTTAGCAGGACAAACAATATGCAGTGGGCTTCTGTTAAAAGAAATTAATTCCTTATGTGGATTTGCCAGTTATCCAATTATTCTTTTAGGGTGTTTTAGGTTTAATGGATTCAGAATATATTCAGTGTTCTACATGGAATTTGACTGAAAAGTGAAAACGTAACAGAAAGATAAAGTACTGATCACAGCAAATGAAAGAAAAGAAGAGAAACAAAAGATCATTTTCTTTTCATTTACTGTGTGGTTGTGAAAATAAAAATCTCAGGATCTAAAGAGACTACTGTCTTTGTGAACATGAGAAAAACGATAGTCTGAATTTCAGCAGCTCTCTAGCGACCCTACTCTATGGCCTTCTACCTCGGCAGAGACACAACCTGCTGGGGGTCAGCCTTCATTTTACTGACCTTTCGATGCTCTTGAAGATTTGTTGCTGAAGAACACCTCTTATTGCACACTGAGCACATCAGCCTCTTCCTAGAGTTTCCTAAGCCAGAAACAAAAATACCACCAACAGCTTTAATAAAGAAGTACAAAGGAAGAGGCCAAATGTTTTCACTGCCTGTGCCATTTTTCACAGGCCATTTGATGGACACAAGAATTTTACACTTTTACCCCACCTCAAATGTATTATGTTACAGGACAGCTCTGTGGGTGCCCTACAGAAGTTTTTGCCTGTGGAATGTAGCGTCAAGAAAGTTTTGGCTGCTTAAAAAATAAATAAATATCCAATTATATTATATCACCTAATATAATCAATGAGAACATATCCATTTATTAGCCTCCAGTTCAGAATGCAACAAGAGTTTAGTTATCAATTACTGATTATTTTCTAAAAGTGCTGTGTTTACAATAAGCAATTATGAGGAATAAATCATAGTTTAGCTTTCACCAGTCTTGTGCTCTCCAAATGTTTTAGACTACAACTCCCAAACATCTGAAGGGAACCAAGTTAGTGAAGGCAGCCATAGTCCATAGTTTAGAATGATTTTGTCCCATAGGCTTAAATGAGTCTCAGTGAATTCAGGCAATGCTGTGGAAGAGTTGAAACAGTGTCCAGAGTCAGTAATAGACTGGATGAGGGCCAATAAACTGAAGATCGTTTCAGACTTCAGACAGTGGTACTGTGGTTCTTGCAGGCATCTCCACAGAAGATGAAAAAAAATGTACTGTGCTTTCTCTACCCCTGCTCCTAATAATGTTTATTTTAAAGTTATGTTTTTATTATGACTTTTTGTATTGGATCATATTGTTATTAGGTGTGATGATCTTTGCTGTCTATTTCGTTGTTTCTTCAGCTTGCAAACTGCCTTGTGTATAGTAATATGGAAAGGCGGTATACAAATTAAGAGTGAAATGAAATGGAAAATGTTTCCTTGCCAACTTCTCCCCAGAAACTCCCTCAGCTCTCGGCATTGTACCTTTGCCACCAGAGGTGGCAGAAGACATACCAGCCTGACCTAAGTTCAGTCAAGAAAAAGAGGGTGACTTTTTAAATCAAAGTTACACCCTGGAACAGATGTGTCCTGTAGAGGTATTTCAGCCTTCAACAAGTTTCAGACCAGCACTGGAGCAACACTCTGGATTATCCGCTTCATTTATGGTAGGCAGCCATATCATATATATATATTTTGCCACATTCACACCATTTAAACAAGAATCATACCACTTGAAATAGTCATGGTTAGTTAGTTAGGGATGTTGAGAGTTGTTAGGAGACCCCTATTTCCTTCTGATAGCTATAATAATAATAATAATAATTAATTTATTATTTCTACCCCGCCCGTCTGGCTGGGTTTCCCCAGCCACTCTGGGTGGCTTTCAACAGAACATTAAAAACAGAATAAAACTTCGAACATTAAAAACTTCCCTAAACAGGGCTGCCTTCAGATGTCTTCTAAAAGTCAGATAGTTGTTTATTTCCTTGACATCTTATGGGAGGGCATTCCACAGGGCTGGTGCCACTACCGAGAAGGCCCTCTGCAATTACCAGAGTTCCCTGGGATGAGGGTCTAACTATTAAGCCACTCTGAGACCTGTAGCTCTGTCAGGGAGATAGGTGTCTCTTAACAACTCTCAGCACCCTTGACAAACTGCTGTTCTTAGTATTCTTTGGGAGAAGCCATGAATGTTTAAAGTGGTATGATACCCCTTTAAACATGCAGAGCAGATGGGGCCTCAGTGCTACTATCCCAGGTTCTGGTGCTAAACTACCATTTGTGTCACTATTGTATTTTCTCCCTGTCAAGTTCTACAAGCCAAGTAAGGGCTAGTGGCTTCTTTTGGAGGTTCAGACATGCGCAGAAAACAAGGTTTCCAATTCCATTAGTTTCTTGAAGTTTACACATATCTCTTAGATTTTCCTGTCATAAATAAATTGAAAACACACCAAAACCTCTTCTGATTTGAATCTGTAATACATGTTTTCCTCTGCCCTTTAACATAATTAACTAATACCAAGAAAAGTTTCCAGTCATCCCAATTATGCTTCAGGCTAATCTGTGAGCCACTGCCAACATTACATGGCTGTTCTATGTCTTAACAGCAGAACGGTGGCCATCTTTACAATGCTGGAAAAGTCAAATGTGCAAGTTTCCTTATGAAACGTTTTTAAAACTCCCCTCAAAAATCCACAGTAAGAAGAAAACCAATTAATTGTTTGTGTTACCCTTAGCACAACTTGAGCTAAGATCCAGTAGGAGGAGTGCTAAGACTTGATTAGTCTTCAAGGGTTGTTTAGAAATAATAATAGAAACAACTGTGAAAACATTGATCTAGAATTTTTGAACAATAATGCACTTCCCTCATACATGAATATAATACCCAGGCTTCCAACACCCTTTCCAGTACAGAAGGAAAGACAGCCTGTGGTTTATTTTAGCTAGTCTTAGTGGTGTCCAATACCAGTGGAAGATGATTTTGAGGGAGGCTTCCTCTAGGTGTGCAGATAGCATATTTAAAGGGTGGCTTTGCCAGACAGTGTCCCACCTGTGAGCCTCTTACCTTTTCTCTTAGCTCTGCCTGCCACATCTGCTTTAAACTTCCATAATTTCCCATACTATGATCCAATATTACACTACAGATTAGGGAGGCTGCCCCTTTCAAGTCATAGTTTGATTTAAAGCATGGAGACTCAAATGTAGTGAAGGATCATTAGCCCTCCCCTGTGCACTCCAGGTAGCGTGCAAAAGTGTAACCTTGTAATGCTCTGAACCATGTCTGACCAACAGTTTCAAAACGGAAGCACATAAGGATATCCATTTTCACCTAGTCCAGCACTCTATCTTCAACAATAACTAACCAGTTGTTCTTAGGAAGCCCACAATGATTGTCAGAGGGGTTTGGGGGGGGAGGTGAATGGTCATCTGTAAACTTGGCCAGTCAGTGTCTCACAGGCTACAGGCTCACCTGGCAGCAGTGGCTGGATCTGTGAAAACCGCTCATCATGTTAAAATTCCCGCACGCAGTCACTGCCACTCAGGTAAGCCCAGCACACAGCCAGAGGGATAGCAGGAAGAACCAAACTGGCATGGATGTCAGTTCTGGCCATCCTGCGATGATGCAGCTACCCAAGAACATGAGAAGAGCCCTGCTAGATCAGGCCAAAGGTCCATCTTTGGCCAACATCCTGTTCCCACAGTGGCCAATTAGATGCTCATGGAAAGCCCACAAGCAGGATCTAAATGCAACAGCGCACTCCCCAATTGTAAATCCCAGCATACTGCCTCTGAGAAGGGTACTCTGGACTGACACCAGCCCAGATGATAGTGATAAAACATGGGCTTGTGTATATTTCCACAACCTGGTACTCAAGTGTCCTGCTTCTGAAGAAGAAGAAGAGAAGAGTTTGGATTTGATATCCCGCTTTATCACTACCCGAAGGAGTCTCAAAGTGGCTAACATTCTCCTTTCCCTTCCTCCCCCACAACAAACACTCTGTGTGGTGAGTGGGGCTGATAGACTTCAGAGAAGTGTGACTAGCCCAAGGTCACCCAGCAGCTGCATGTAGAGGAGTGGAGACGCGAACCCGGTTGCCCAGATTGCGAGTCTATCGCTCTTAACCACTCACCACACTGGCTCTCAACATGGAGCTGAACATGGAGCTCTCATTCTCTTCCTCTGAACACTTTGGTTTTCCCAGTTAATAGCCACAGATAGGCCAACATTTTCTTGAATCCAGATTCAGCTCAGGAAACTTGAACACTGGGAAGTGATTCCCTAAACACCAGTGATTTCAACATTTTATGCTTACCAGTGTGCACATTTTCCTTGTGTTTTTTCAGAGCATCCTTGCTCTTGAACCTCTTCCCGCAGCTGTCAGCCTTGCATACGAACCTGGCATCACCTCGGCATGCTTCTTTGTGTTGCTCGTAGCTGATGTTGGAGAGTTGGAAGAGTGGGGAAAAAATAATACATCAAGAAATAAGATACTTCCCCCCTCTCCAAAAAGAATCAGCCTCTCAGCAGGCATTTTGAGTGCGCTTAACACATGCTGCGCAGAAGACTTCTGGGGTCACTTCATGCATAACCTACTGCAGGTAGGCATGAAAGCATTTCTCGTCTTGCACAGTTAGGGTTCAGAAAACAACTAAGGAACTTGAAAAGCAAGCAAGCATGCAAAAGGGAGGTCAGCAGCAGGATGAGAGCAGTCCAGTAATTCTGACATGGAACCTCAATTCTGAGCTGAAGGATGTGTTGCAAACAGAACACTGAAAACTTCTCGAACGATCTCCCGGGTTGACATTCTCTGTGCACTGAAGAACACTGTCAGGAAAGACAAAAGAAAATACATGCATTTGCTTAAATTGTGTGGGCGTTTGATGCCATCCACATTTATGCTATGTTTGTTTGTTTTCCAAAATAAAACAGAAGGCAAACATTCCAAGGTCAATTAGATTTCAGGGATTGACTGGCTTCCCACACATCCTGGGATATTTGTTCAAGGGGGAGGTGTGTGTGTGTGTGTGTGTGTGCGCACACACACACACACATACATACACTGTGGTACCTCGGTTTATGAACTTAATCCGTTCCTGAAGTCTGTTCTTAAACTGAATCCATTCTTAAACCGAGGCACGCTTTACCTAATGAGGCTTCCCACCGCCGGTGCCCTTCCACCATTCGGTTTTCGTTTGTAGACCAAGGTAAAGTTCGCAAACCAGAACACTACTTCTGGTTTTGCAGAGTTCATAAACTGAACTGTTCGTAAACAGGACTGTTCTTAAACCGAGGTACCACTGTATATGAATTATTGAAGGAAATTAAGAGTATTATGACAAGTCACTTAATTTGTGGTTTAGCCATCTTAATGCAATAATGTATGCTCTTTAAATTGAGTGATCTTATTTACAAAGTTTATAGTTAAATTATATATATATATTTTGTTGTTGTTTTTAATTACTAGGTGTCTTGAAGGGGAGACCACGATCACAACACAAATCAACAATCAAGTTTTAATCTAATCTCAGCAAAATCTATTTTGGACTACAACTCCTATCAGCCCAGTCAAAACAAAAATAAAGTTTTTTGGGTGGCTTCCATATTTTCAAGGCTGCAGAATGCAATAGTATTTTTCTGTGGTATTCTGACCAAAAAAAATGCCCGTGAAGAAGGAAAACATGTTGGGATTAACAGCTACAACATAAACCTTTGAAAACCCTTCATTCTTTTCCTCTTCCACAAACGTTAACACATCCAGAACAACTGATTCACAATGGATCTCTATAAATCCACTACATTCCAGTGATCTACTTACATATACGTTGTTTATAATATACACCAATATACAGAAAACTTCTAAAATTCCTGCTTTGGTGGGAAACCATGCCCATTTTATTTAAACGGTTGCTTTTTACAAAGATTGTGTCTCAGAATGCAAATCAATGGGGGAGAAAATGTTCCATTTCTGCTGGAAAGAGGAACTGTGTGTTGTACGCCCTGTATAATTTCCAGAGGTCTGCTGCTGCTCCAATGTACAATATTTACTTAAGAAATTTTCCTCTGCACTTCAAACACATTCCCAGGGTTGCTTTTTCAAAAACAAAATACACAATTAAAATATGGAATATTTTCACATGCTGAATCCCCTGAAGAGAAACAAAATGTATCTCTCTCTCTATATATATTGATGTCAGACTTAATAACCTCTCACAAATTGTCTACCTATAGCTGCTTCATGTATACCTTTAAAACATAATATCTTTTCTTATTTTAATATGTTACAAATAGGCTGCAAGTTTGATCTTCTGGTTATGTGATTTTATTTGCTATTAATTCAATTTTAAATGTTCTCTTCTGTTTTCATAGAATTGGAGGGACTGTGAAGGTCATCTAGTCCAACCCCCTGCAATGCAGGAATCCTTTGTTCAATGTGAGACTCAAACCCACAACCTTGATATTAAGAGTCTCATGCTCTACCAACTGAGCTATCAAGCTTTGGTCGTATGCGATTTCTAGGTACAATAAATATTATGTGACATCATGGGGTTAGTTTGCTTTTTTTCATTTTGGGGAGAAATAATTACAGCTGAAACTTATCTGAGGTACCAATTCTTACGAGTCCTTATGAGTGTTCATAACTTATTTGGGCTTATTTGGGTTTATACAATTTAGTGCAATCAATGTGCTGTGCTTTCAGTGGAGTTGTCTTGATTCCACACTGCATTCAAAGAAGTTGTGGAGCTAAGTCTACAGCACCCAGAATATTAGAGAACACTGGAAGGAGAGGTGAGGGTGAACTAGTAGTGGAGTTTGTGGTGGGACACAGATGCTCTCCCAAAACTTGGACTGAACCGTACAGGGGTCCTTTACCTTTACTGGCTTTGCTGTTCTTACCTGGACCAGGTCTTCAAGAGTCAAGGTGGTGGCAAGGTTAGGACTGTGTAGAGACACCGGTGGGGCCACCACTCTCTAGTTGGTGACTCCAACTTTGCAGTCTCTCTGTCCCACTACATCTGCCTCCAGGTAAGCAGCAGTGATGTCATCGTCAGGAAGATGGCTCCACCCAACCCATACAGAACCCATACATTCATAGCTATGATGATGTTCCCCAAGCTTGTTGCATTATCCAAAATCAGGCATAGGCAAACTCCGGCCCTCCAGATGTTCAGGACTACAATTCCCATCATCCCTGACCCTGGTCCTGTTAGCTAGGGGTGATGGGAAATGTAGTCCCAAACATCTGGAGGGCCGGAGTTTGCCTATGACTGTCCAAGATGTTCAGCGAAAACAGCCAACATGGGCTGTGGTACTTGGAAGGAATGCTTGGAGACTAACATGAAAGCCTACCCAGAAGAAAACCTCTCCTCCAAAACTTCCATTTCATAGACAACACAGGACAAACCCAGGTTTCTCACTGAGGGAACATTCAGCAGGAAGCCAAAGCCAATCCTGACTTCTCTGAGAAGTGTACCTGCTGCAGTGCATCTGTCTGCACACAACCTCTGTCATATTCCAGGTATAAGATGTTTTCAGTGTGCATTCAAAAATGTACATTTTAAAGTAGTCTAAAAATGTTTGCTAACTTTGCAATTCATCCATCCCTAAAGAAGAGAAATTCAAGTTAATGATCTGAGCGACACGGAATCATAGTTTATGATGTTATAGACTTACTGCCTCTGCAGAGCTTGCTTAACTGGGAATTTCTTCCCACAATTCCTGCATTTGAATTCCTTTTCCTCACTGGGTTTTTGGTGCAATGTCTGAAGGTGTTCAGCTAGGATTTCCTGGCTGGCAAAACTGGATTCACAGTTAGGGCAGGCATGGTCCTCTTTGCAACTAAAAGAATCTGCACAGCGAAGAAGAAAAATTCAGAAAAATCATTTCCTGCGTATAACATGTTTGGAAGTTTATATTCTAAGAAAATGCTCTAATGAAGGAGGATCCACAATATTTTCTAAGCTGTGGTGAGTTCATATTACTGCAAAAAGAAACATGAGTAATTCAGCTGACATCTGAAAACAGCAAAGAAATCTAATTATGTTTGTTCATTTCTGTGCAACTTATTTTTCTGCATCGCTTTGTCTTGGTGTAAGCCTCTAGCATACATTGCTATAATAATTCTGGCCACAGTTGGAAAGAGAACGGGTGCTCTTTATATTATAAAGGGCTGTAAGTTTCCGTTTCCTAAGTGGCAACTCTTTTGAGAAGACTGCTGTGTTGCTGAGGTGACTGAGATGAAGCAATGTTCCTTCCAGCCAACAGAAAGATCAACTTTCAAGGAAGAGGTTTTGTGGTGACACAACCTAAAAGAAAGAACTTGGGGAAGAGGGACGGTGCTCTGTTTTATTATATCATTTATGTAAATTCTATCACTTCTGTAAAGTCCTTACTTATGTACTGCTGTTTGATTTTCTGGAGTTTTATGTTATTTCATTAAACAAAGATAAGTCTTTTGCTGTGAGTGCCTTCTAAGACGCTTGAGAAAGCATCTTAAATATATATTTTAAAACTGAAATAATCTTATAAAAGAGTCACATAGAGAGGTGTGATTTTTTTCAGTAATGTTTAAGAATAGAATCCTGTTTCGTAGTTACTGAGGCAGAAAGGTACGAAGTCTGAAGTAATCTTGATAGCTTCCAAAGGCTGCAATTTGTAAACTGTTCAGAACACTGAAATTACCAAAATCCTCAGCTATACAGAAAAGGTCCCCTCGTTTTCTTAAATTAAGAAATGACTGTGTGCTTTTAAACAGATGTGCATCATGTCCATTCAGCTTAATTTCATTCCATACCTTTCTCACTAGTTTGTTGCAATTCCTTATGGCTGCTGTTACCATTGTTGCTGATGATATTGTCATCTTCTTCCTGGTTAGTAATTACTTCCTCCTCTTCTTCCTCTACTTCTTCCATATCGCTGTCAAGATAACCAATCAGCAATTCTGTATCTGTTTCAATATCCTCAACAGCTAAGTAGAAAATATTTTCTCCTTCCTGTTGGGGAAAGCAAGAGATTGGACGGTCCCTTTAGGAAAGCATACAGCTAAATTAATTTTTAAAAGCATCAAGAAATACAAGTTAAGTTTCTGAGTGGATACAAGAACAAGTAATTTTTGTCAGATACAAGGTGGAATTCATAGTAGTGTTAAGCAGGGTATGCATGAGCTGAACAAGGTCTGCTTGTGCAATAGGACTTTCTCCCCTCTCCTTCCTCTGTGCACCCCCACAAGCCCGAAACCCATTCTGGGGGTTTCCCTAGCCCCCTACAGCAGATTTGGGGGGCATACAGGTGGAAGAGAGAGGGGGAAATCCCACTGCACGACTAGAGCTCATTCTGGTCAGCCAATTTACTTGAATCTCACCCATTGTTTTGGAAAATAATATATTGCTCTAAAGTTCCAGCAGGAACAACATAGTCTTGTTGCACTTTTTAAATAGTTTGTGCCATAGTAAATCTGTTAGTCTTTAAGGTACCACAAGGCTGACTTTTCCTGTCAGACACAATTGAGCTTGTTATTTATTTATTTACTATTTGCAGACTTATAAACCAATTCACAATCAAAGGTTCCAGAGCAGTGTACGATAGAAGGAAAAGTAAGATAAAATACAAAAAAACCCCTGTAGACTCAATGAACTAGCAGCAATAAAACCATTTCTGCGATTCAATTGTATTCAAATAGTCCATAAAATGTCTGAGTCACATTTTAGGAAAAGCCTTCTTAAACAAAAATGTCTTCAACTGCTGTCTAAATATCAGAATACTAGTTGTGTGCCTAATTTCAGTTGGTAACTGATTTCCAGACGGCTGGAATCATGTATCCTGTGGAAGCCCACCTACTAATTTTGCATGCTTTTGCAGTATATCAAGCTCAGCACTAGCACCCTAGGCAGCTAGCAGGTCCCTTGGGATGTCAGGATACTGTTTGCAAGCCACCCACTGACATTTTTCAGGATGCCATGGAGTTGCACTATGGAACTCTGAAAGCTTACAATGCCAGTTCCCAGCCCCCCATGGATTACTCCTGCTGCTTCCAACACTGTGGCCAGGTATTCCCAATGGGACCTATATTTACATAAGAGGAAGTCCATGAGAGGACACTTTGCCCAGGGTCCTCTCAAAACTCCAGGGCTGCAGTGCGCCCTGTGCTCTGTCTCTATAGCTTTATTGGAATTTGCAAGCCTCTTGCTTCTGCCCACCTCTCATTCCCATGGACCTGCTTTCATATGGTTCAGTCAACGGTTTTATGGTAATGCAGACATGAACAACAGTTATCAGATGAGCAAAGTGCTTTGGGTTCTTCCAAAGGAAACAAAAGGAGAATCACATTTACCAAGCAAATGCTGCCAAGTGCTGTCGTAAATCATAATTCTTATCTGATCAACATCCAGTAAAGTTAATTGAGCCTTGCTTACGGTGTACATAGCCATATATTTTGTGACAAGCTTTGTGAGGCTACAGCAAGATAATGACTTTTAATTTGCAATATGCTAAGATTCATTGAAACTGCCAACAGGGGATATCTTACTTCTAAAGCTTAGATAGGTCTGTAATGGATTAAAATGACTTATTTATGAAATGGGAAAGTCAATTTAATTTGAAAAACTTGTCAAAAGCAACAGTGTTCAAGGACCAGACACATTTTTTGCTCTTACATCAGTGATGGAATGGGGAGAAGAAAATTAATTACATATTTTCTTCAAGATGTGTATTTCACAGTGGAGTTCAGATAGCTATCAGGATATCTTGCCTTCATCAAAGAGTTACTTTTTCCTCTTATAGCACTGTTGCATGTTCCAGGGAATTTTAATTTACCACAATAAAAACTTAAAATAAATCAAGTTATAAGACATTCCCCCCTCCTTACAAGTCCTCATTCAATCTGGCAGTATTCCAAAAACTTTCATTAACCATTTCCTTCCACTGGGGGAGGCGTCAAAAAGTATATCATGCATCTGAGGACGGGGTGGGAGTAGAGAGATAGTTGATGCTCCTTGCAACTCTTAGCATTCTTATCCGCTTAACAAAGCATACTCACACAACTGACTTCAGATTCTAAATAGTTTTTACAGTTCTTTAGAATTTCCATAGCTCAGACACAGCATACAAAGCTAATCTGCTTGAATGTGGATGTATGATTAGCCGCTATTTTTAATTTCTTATATCCAGTGCTTTTTTTCTTAAAAAAATTATTAGAGGTACTCTTATTTTGACTCAAGAAAATCACCATTTTATAGTTGAAATCGGGAAGAATAAATATAGTAAATGGACAAAAGTACAAAGATTCACAAAATGTTTAGGGGTATGCGTACCTCTGCGTACCCCCCAGAAAATCTATAAGGCATGATTTGGGGATATTTGTAAAATTATTCTTGCCTAGCTTTTACTCTAATTTCATAGAATCCAATCTAAAGGCAGAATCAAGTCAAAGCTAAAGCAAATGCATGAGTAGAGTAGTTCTGTTGCACAAGTGGAACAGCAGTACTAGATACAACCCAAGCTATCTAAATTACCAGTGATATCAGTGGGAGAGTTAAGTATGCCCTTAAAACTCTTCTGTTTGAATCCAATAGAAAGTGTTCTGGGAGGGAATATTAGTTGGACGTGGGTGGCTCTGTGGTCTAAACCACTGAGCCTAGGGCTTGCCAATCAGAAGGTCGGTGGTTCACATCCCCACAACGGAGTGAGCTCCTATTGCTCGGTCCCTGCTCCTGCCAACCTAGCAGTTCAAAAGCACGTCAAAGTGCAAGTAGATAAATTGCCACCACTCCGGCGGGAAGGTAAACGGTGTTTCCGTGTGCTGCTCTGGTTTCGTCAGAAGCGGCTTAGTCATGCTGGCCACATGACCCAGAAAAACTGTTTGCGGACAAATGTTGGCTCCCTCAGCCTGTAAAGCGAGGTGAGCGTCACAACCCCAGAGCCGTTTGTGACTGGACTTAACTGTCAGGGGTCCTTTACCTTTACCTTTATTAGTTGGGATAAAAATTAACTAAAGACGAACTACTGATTTGGGGTAATTGTGAAGGGGACAAATTCATGGAAGAATGGATTTTATTGGGACATGGACTTAATTGCTACCTATAGCTTTCACTTGTCTTTGGCAGAAAGCTTCCGAGTAGCTGCCTGAGAAATTACGCACTTTCAAAAAATGGAGGAATTGCCACTATTTTTTCTTTATCCCAGCAGTCCTTTGGTGCAACTTAGCATCCATTTTGCATACAGCAGAGACTAACCAAATTAAGTCAGTCTACCACCCCTTTGCACTCAGTTTTAACACGGATACAAACCACAGTCTTTTGGCCTCCAACACCCTGACCAGAGTTTTCTCTCCTTCTCACCCCACTCTTCAGATTTTGTTTAAAATCCTGCCTAGTGAAGAGTTCTGTAGAACACAAAACACATTCACTATTTGGGGGACGTTTTAGTTGTTCCCAATAAATATATCTATCAAAATTGTCTAGTATTTTAATTCTGTGTTTTTCAGCTGTATCCATGTGCATGTTTATAAATTTTATCAAGTGTGATTGTCAAGTGCTACAAAATGTTTCAATGGTCTGTTGACTGCCGATAAAAAAGTGCACAGGTATCGCCCTGTGAATTTTGAAATTTTTCATACAGTGTTTCCAGGCTGGCACAGGGGAATAAATAAATAAATGAGCAATCCTTTACGGAGATTAAGGATAATGAGTGTTTACCAAATTTACCTGGATAGCAGCCAGGTTCTTCTGTTCCTGGGATGGTGCTTCATGTACAAAGCGGAGCCAGTTGGAATGCCTTGGACTGCTGGCATCCAGCACATAAAGCACCTCACCTTTGTTCCCACGCACCTGCAATGGCAAGAACCGTTAAGCAAAACTAAAACTTTGCGGAACAATTAAAATATTCCACTGTAAATCACCAGAGTTTCCCCTCCTAGCCTATCTTACTCTGCCTGGCAGAAGAAGCAAATCTGTCACTTTCCCAGGAATTCACCATGTCTCACATCCTTGGCCCATGTACCTCCATCACCAACTGCCCTTCTCTTTTGCTAACTCTCTTCAAATTGACAGCCTTCTTTTCTCAGGGCTCATATTCATTAATAAGCTACATCAAAAGTCAAATAGCCCCACTGGATAACCAACAACCACCATTAATTCAGACAGGACAAAAGGTTAACTATGGAATTCAAGCATCTTATACAGTCCACACGAGGAAAAAATACAGGAGAAAACCTGTGCTATAAGTTACCTACGGAAGGGCTTGCTTCCCACACTTCTGGTTTTGTCAAAAGCACAAAACTAGATAGTTTCCAAATCCCACTTCCAAACCCATACCTGCTCCCATTTTATCTTGGTCTACAGCAGGCATAGGGAAACCTGACCACCCCCTGGTGTCAGACTAAAACTCCCACAGGCACAAGTCTGATTATTGTCAGTTTCTAGTGAGGTGGAGGTGGGCTATTTTAGCACCAGTACAGTATTATGGAATGCACTCCTCTGGGCTGGCATTATGCTGGTTGCAACTGATGGGAGCTGGCTTCCCATAACATCTAGAGGGTCTCTGGTTCCCCATCTGTGGTCTACTTTAATAAAGGACTTCTTTAGCTGAGCTGCCAAGTCCAATAAAAATATATAAACTAGTGACTCTCACTGCTGGATTATTTATTTTTTTATTTATATTTGTCACCTCATAATAAAGGCTATGTGATAATAAGCTAAATAAGAACAACTCTGGAGTAGAAGAATAATACAAATTCACACCAAAACCTGAACAAAAGAGTAAAACAAGGCCAGGCACATCTCACTTTACACAACAGAAGAGCTACAACTGCATTGAAAAGATTAAAAACCAACCAACCACTGTCAAACAGCAGAGAAAATACTAAAAATTATGATCAACAATATTCAAAGAATTTTTTAAAATGTTATTAAAAGGCCTTCAAAAAATAATGGATGCACTGGAGATAATAATTGCAATGGGCTACCCGAAGAAATGTTCTGGACAAAATTATTTAATATATTCTAAAGCCCCTGGCAAGCTGCCCAGATAGGTTGGGAAAAGGTAAACACATCTGTGCTCTCCTTAGCACTTTCAACTCCAACCATTCTTCCTCATTTGCCTTTCAAAACCCACATTTGTACTGCTCCTCATCACATGTGGTTGCAGCATTTTCCCAATTCCTTTAAGAAAATGTTTTCATATTACGAAACAGTAATGGACCCTCTTCCAGGGTCTCTGAAGAGGGAAGGCCGTGCTTTAATAATATTAACCAAAGCAGTCTATTCAATACTTCATATATATTTTCCTTTTCCATCTTTTAACTTGAGCCTCCAAGACCTTGGACCTGGAAAATAAAAGAACAAACTAGCAAACTGTTCACTGTTGTGCCAAAAGGGACTGTAACTGACCATTGTTCCTGAGCGATATTATAATATACTTCTTTAGCATTGTGTACTCACTTTGGACAGAAGCAGAAAAATTCTGGGGAGAAAATATTATTCTGTTGAAACCACACTTTTCAAAAGGTTAGGTGGATCTCTTCCAAAAGGAATGAGAAACTGTTAGGAAAAGCACTGGTTCCAGATTTCAAGGGTAAGATTCAACCCATCACCCAAAATTCTTATGCACTTAATTACTAACATGAGAGGTCTGGTCTACTCATGCTAGCAACACAATGGAGGTCACATTCTCCATCCCCATAAAGCAACAGGTTGAATCTTAAGGTGATATAGTAGTTTAACATCCTGGTAATATGTGGCTTAATTTTCTACAACACCTGGGTACCCACAGCTTCTGGAAGTAATACATTAAAAACCATTGGTTCATGTAAGCCATCATGACTAGTAGCCATCGATGGTCTTGTTTTCAAATACGTATGGTTATCTGCCTCTTCCACAATATTACTGTATTTTTCACTCCATAAGGCGCACCGGACCATAAGGTACACCTAGTTTTTAGAGGGGGAAATCAAGAAAAAAAATATTTCCACGAGGAGGGAGAAGGGACTGACTGGCTGCGTCAGTCCCTTCTCCCTCCTGTGGAAAAGCCCCCAAGAGCCGTGCGGAGCTTGTGTGCGGCTCTTGGGGGCTTTTCCTGCCTGCCTCCCCCCTGCATTCGCTCCATAAGACGCACACACATTTCCCCTAACTTTTTAGGAGGGGAAAAGTGTGTCTTATGGAGCGAAAAATACGGTATTCTCACAACAATCCTGAGAGGTTTGTCAGACTAAGAGTGTGACAGTCCCAGGGTCATCCAGTAAGCTTCATTGCTGGATGAGGATTTTAACCTGAGTGTCTCAGGTCCTAGTCTGACACGATACCCACTGCACCATACAAGCTTTTTTGTCTTAGTTACCCTCGGGAAGGGACATCCTACTTCCTCACTGACAGACACAGGTAGCCTTATTATGACAAAGCTTAGCAAAAACCACAAGAGAGTATTCTTGACACTGTTCTTATTTTCTTTATTTAACTGCTCCCAAGGTTCTGCAAAACAATATAAAAGTCTCTCCAATTTACTACTCTTTTTCCACGGAGAGATTTTGTTCCCCAAAGAGACAGAGATGTGAATATAAGTTGTTTTTGAAGATAACAGGATTTGTATGTGCCTCTGAAAAAACAAAATCTGCTCCAAAAAGTTATATTTATATGCATTTGACTTTGTTTGGGACAGACAAGCAAGGCCAGTGTTAATTCTTGCATGAATATGGATGAAATTAAAGCTATCGTGTTTCAAACAGCCTGACATTTCCACAATAGCACAAGTTTATGCTGTGTTTTCAACATGAAAGGGTTGAAAGCCTGAATGGACCACTGCCGTACACAAAACTGTACATTAAAATAAGAAGACAAGTAATGCAGTTGGGAAAATTGGAGCTTTCCTTTTGGACAATACTATGGCTGCAATCATGTACACAGTTAGATTGTTTAAAAGTATATTGACCTCAGTGGAATTTAGAAAACCTAACGATGTGAGTTTTGTGCAATTGGGCTTACTCCAAGGTAAATGGGTATAGGATTGAAGCCTTTAATCACTTATACAGTGATGGGGGAAAAACACCAAAATCAGTCATGATTTCTAGCCATTTGCAGTTGATGTGAACATTATTTCTATTCTTAGCTAAAGGGAGTTTTGCTATTTTGTCTGTTGATTCCCATTAAACAGACAGAAGTCACATCCACACTTTACATTTCAAGCACCATTATACCACTTTAAACAGTTGTGGTTTCCCCACAATGAATTCTGGAAACTGTAATTTGTTAAGGGCATGCACTGATAGTTGTTAGGAGACCCAGAGTTAGTTCCCTGGAAAGAGGACCAGTTCTGAAACCACTCTGGAAACTGTAGCTCTGTGAGGTACAACAGATTGTTTAATTTGGAAAAAGACAATAACTAGGGAACTAACAACTCCTTTGAAACCACTTTACCACAAGCTGGGAGACAAGAGATTACAACTTTCAGGAACTGGGTGCCATTGGTTTGTATACAGCAGTGAAATGCAGATTCAAACACCTTCAGTGAATACTACCCACCAATATGAAATGGTGGCCTTGATGCAAGCCAATAATGCAAGTTGGTTAAAAAACCAAAACCAAAAAAAGCACTCTGGGGAAGGCTATTGGTGAATGGCAAAAAAAAAAAAAAATGTAGAAAGCTCATCTTGGCATATGTGGCTCAGGCAACTTGCTAAATGACTCTCTCAAGTTTGAAATGAAATTATGTTGCGTTTGGCCAAAAGGATTAAGCAGCGGGATGTATTCTGTTGCACTACATAAGCATGGCTGTGAGCTGAAGTCAAATACTTTACAGCCAGTGAGGGGGAAATGTCAGCACAGCAATGATAACAAACAGATGGCTTCTGCTACAGCACTCAGTAAACACATTGCTTGCAATTTTGGAGGCCATTTGGTGGATTGTTATTAAATAAGAAAGGCAAGAAACTACATTCCCATATAAACAGCAAGGGCGGGGGATATTCCGTGACTACTCTAATTTAATTTTGAAACAGAACACATGAGACCTAGTATGGGATGCTCTTAGAAGCTAAATGTTAGCCTTGCATTGATCTTGAAGCTGCTGGGTTAGAGCAATATGCCGTTCAGAGACTCTATCTAATGGAGTGCAGCCCCTCCATGGGCAAGTTGTATCTATCTTTTTGAAATTTGCCAACACCATTCCCTCAAAAGGGACAACCATGCCTGCAATTTGCTTCCAATTCTGGCAGAAAATTTAAAAGATGAAGACTTTTCCACAGTCGATTGAACAAACAAACTATAATTTGGTTTTATAAGGTTTGGTTTGCTTTCCAGCTGCTCTTGCCTTGTAACTTTGCAACTTGATGTGCATCTGGAGTGCGATGGCCAAACAAACCATGGTTAAGAGTACTGGGTTTACATGTGACATCAGGCCATAGTTAAAACAAATCAAGGTTCATAAACCAACAACAAACCATGGCTTCAAACTGTGGTTTGTTGGGATTAAACAAACCCCAATTAAGTTGATTCAGATGAGCAAACAAACTATGGTTTAATAAAACATGGTTTAGCGTTAGGTGCGAACCAGGCCAGCGCTTTGGATACTTTATTCATAGACTATCAATAGAAAGGAATATATAGAGATTAATTGCTGTTTAATATTCAGGGACCTTCAGTCCTCTGCAGAATATTGTAGGTGATGGCAAATATTTTTAATGGTATTTTAGGAGACTTATCCAGAGAGGTAAAGCCCAATAAATGTTCTGCCAAGCCCAGTGTTGGTTTGCATTAGTCATGTGGTCTTTAGTGAAGTAACTTCAATGAGATAACTTCAGAGCAAGTGGTCTGTGGCTTACAGATAAAATGTTTGCATACCCTACTACTTCATGCCATGGTTCTTAATTTGGCAACTGAATTGAGGATACTGTTATTTGTTTCAACCCTCAGAAGCCCATCAGCTGAGGGTGTATTGATGCCTAATTTCATCAAAAGCAGACAGCTGCAAGAGCATTGCAGGCAGAGCAATGATGTCACTTGATTACAAATACTGTCACTCTATGAGCACAAAATATTTCATTTAGGAACTGTTTTTACAAAGCAAAACACCAAACCACCCAGCAGGGCTCCCTTAAGACGCCCTCCAAGAATACTAGTCTCGTCGGAGATCAAGCAATTGCTCTGTCATATAAGACCACACATCCACAGGATATGGGCTGTAATCCCAAATGCACTGAGCATCCCCAAAGCCTTAATGAAATCAACAGAGCTTTGAAGGTCCAAGCATACTAAGAGCTATAGCCAGCCTCAACAAATGCTCAGAAGGGCTCGATCTAAGATCTGAACTGCATGTTTATAAAAAGCACTTGATGCAGCCCTCCTAGCACCGTATCATTTCATAATATGAAGAGGGGAAAGACATGCTGGAATGCTGCAACACATCCAAATCTCCCTGCCTACCAAAGTGTCAAGGAGAAAAATCCCAGCCTAGCCTTCTACCTGATATCCTATTTTTCAATGAGTAGAATTTTATTTGTTTACATGAATGAGTATGTACTTTTGATGCCTGACAGTGCTAGGCATGGGTACTAGGGGTGTGTGTAGGGTTCTTGTAGCCCAAAAATGGAAGTCATCAGAGATCCCAACAGTTATGGAATGGCAGGCTAAACTTTTTGAATATACAGAATTAGCGAAAATGACATATAAAATTCGACACCAAAAAGGGGCAAAGTTTGTAGAAGAATGGGGTGAATTTGTAACATATAGGAATCAACTGTAGAAGTTTAAGAACTACAGCAGGGTTAACATAACTCTTGTGACGTGTATAGAGAAGTAGAAGAAACTGTAAGAGAAGAGGTATATTAAGAAAACCGCAACTGGGAAAGAAGGAAGTCGAGGCGTGATTCTACACAATGTAAATAAGATGACACTAAGAATGATTGTAAAGATTGTTTTATTTTGGTTTTTTTGGGGGGGAATAAAAAGCATTAAAATAACAAAAAAGATACTAGGGGGGTGTGTAGCCCAAATCGTGAGGCAAATCATAGTGATTTGAGGAGTCTTTCACGTTACCACATTGCGCCGTTAACAGGTAATGCCAAGGGAGATCAGGCAGTGCCCAGTCCTTGGAATAGTTTAGTTGCCTCAGTTTTTCCGTAGCGTGAAATATATGACCGCCCCCCCCCATCCTGCCACCCCACACAGACTGGCTTTTTGAGAAATGAAACACAGGGCTCATCCACACTTCTGCTTTTCTGGTGTCTCCAAAGCACAAGTCTGAGCGGTTTTCTGCTTGTCCCCTGTTTTCTAGAGCAGTTTTGTCTTTCACCTGTTGTTTTTCCCTGGAAAACCCATTTTTAAAAAATGTTTGATATTTTACTATGTTTTTATATATGCTGTAAGCCACCCAGAGTGGCTGGAGAAACCCAGACAGATGGATGGGGTGCTAATCATCATCATCATCATCATCATTATCTTATCATCTTATCTTATCTTATCTTATCTTATCTTAATCTTATTATTTAAACTGGAACAAATGTTAATCCGGAGAAAACCTGATTGATACTTGCTCAGATTCAGCAGTAAACAGCGGGATTTCCCAGGGGAAGGTGGCAGGGCCAGTGGAAGTTTGGAAGATCCCTGAGTCGATAGAGAAAACACTCAGAATTCAACTGGAAAGAGGTGGAAAGGAGAGTGGAGAGGTGAGGTGATCTTTTGATTTGACTGAGAGGTCTAGCATTTAAATTGGTCAATTATTTTCCAGCTGAACTCCAATCACAGTGATTTGGGGGCACAATAACCCTCCCCCTCCCAATGGATCGTCCTTGTCCTCCAGGTCTGGTATCACCCACTAACAATTACAAAACATAGGGCTTTCTCATTTCTTCATGGAGGGTACTTACAGGAAGGGGGCCTGGTGACAAATACTTTCCAGATTTTTTAAATAACAAAAGTAAAAATAATCTGTCTGAATGTGGGCAGGTTTCTTACAGTTGACCCATCCTCTGCCCAAACAAGCCACCCCACTAAATAATGGGTGGGAACTATATTAGGGGTCTTTCAGATTCTATGTAACCTACAAAGAATATTTCCTCATAAACCGGAGTGATCAGCAATGTGGTTAATACTGCTACTACTAATAATAGACAATATATGAGCTCCAGCAAAACAGTCACGAACTTGAAGCTGCCTTCCTAATTTCTTGAATGGCTATCTATGTAAACCTGGACAGTTGCTTTTTACTTTACGTTTCCCTAGCCACAGGCTTGCAACTCAAGGCCACTTCACAGCATGATTCATAATGCACAACAACACTTGTATTCAGATCAGCGTATGTAAACGTAAACCGCTTGGGTTCAAACATTTAGGAAGTCATAAAATGCGGTATGCAGGAATCTGTGCAAGGTTCCAAAAATAGGTCAAAGAGGGGGAAAGCTAGGAAAAAGTGTCAAAGAACCATATAAAAGCTGATTTTATGGTTTGCTGTTAGAACATATACGTGTCACTGAAACACTGTCACACTCTCAAACAAATTAATATTAAACCATTTACAGCATTTAGAAGATTATTGTGCTTCTAGGTAGCTTTAATTAGACAAAAAGAATCTTCGTTCTTCATAATGAACAGGGGAGCCAACTTGGGTCCCAGGTTATTGTTACCCAGTGCACATGACATCATGGTGTCACAGTGCGGTGTGATGTCATGATGTCCCCCACACACCCCAGCCTCGGAACCTGACTTCTGGTGGCAATGGAAGTCAGGTTCCGAGACCTTACGAGACCTCAGAAGTTGCGTTGGGCAGCACCCACAACAATTTTTTGTGGATGCTCAGGCACCCAGATCCCCCTATAGTTGGTGCCCCTGGTAATGAATATATTTAAACAAGCACCACTGCTAAAATGGCATTTATTAAAGGAAAACTACACCCAAAGTGGATCACTTCTTATAAGAGCACGCTTAAAATTTAAAAGCAGCCATGCCACCATTATTTAAAAATACAGGCATTTAAACTAGATAAAACATCAGAAATGCTATCCATTCAAGAATAGACCTGTAATATATGGCCCTAACTAAGAAAAGGTAGTCTGGATTGGTTTTAAATTGGAAGAGTTGTGACCATTCATGCCTTTGTAGAGGTTTATAATTCCCTAGGTTTCTCTATGTATTTCTCTCTCTCTCCCTCTCAACTACATTTTGTCAGTCTTGGTTTTGTCACAAGTAGTAGTGCCCTTTGAGTGCTTACTGGAAGGACGGATCCTGAAGCTGAGACTCCAATACTTTGGCCACCTCATGAGAAGAGAAGACTCCCTGGAAAAGACCCTGATGTTGGGAAAGATTGAGGGCACAAGGAGAAGGGGACGACAGAGGACGAGATGGTTGGACAGTGTTATCGAAGCTACCAGCATGAGTTTGACCAAACTGCGGGAGGCAGTCAAAGACAGAAGTGCCTGGCATGCTCTGGTCCATGGGGTCACAAAGAGTCGGACACAACTAAACAACAACAAGTAGCGCCCTTGTAGCGCCTTTGTAGATGCCACTGCTGCTCTACATCTTTCCACCCTGGTTGAACACAGTGTATTGTATAGCATCCGCATCCTATGAGTTGCCCTACTCCCACCTCACATCACTGGCAATAGGTGGTGGGGCAGAAGGGCACACGCTGTGGAGACCTCATACACTGAATACAGTGGTGCCCCGCAAGACGAATGCCTCACAAGACGAAAAACTCGCTAGACGAAAGGGTTTTGCGTTTTTTGAGTCGTTCCACAAGACGAATTTCCCTACGGGAGTTCTGGCGAGTTTGTTTCCTTTTTCTTAAAGCCGCTAAGCCGTTAATAGCCGCTAAGCCGTTAATAGCCGCTAAGCCGCTAAGCCGCTAATAGCCGCTAAGCCGCTAATAGCCGTGCTTCGCAAGACGAAAAAACCGCAAGATGAAGAGACTCGTGGAACGGATTAATTTCGTCTTGCGAGGCACCACTGTACAAGTAAATGTGATCAGGAACAGGAGGAAGAGATACAAAGATGATACAAAGAAGAAAAAGTTTTGTATCCCATCACATCTAGTTAGACTAACAAACAATAGCAATTCTAGCCCTGGGTCACATCCATACAGTACATTTAAAGCACATAGCTTCCCTCATAGAATCATGGGAACTGTATTCCCATGCTAGGCATTGTATTCTGCATGCTAGGAATTGTACCTACATTTGGCTCCCAGTACATTTCTGAGTACTGAGCCTCGGCCCAGTATACCTGAAGGAGAGTCTCCACCCCCATCGTTCTGCCTGGACACTGAGGTCCAGCGCCGAGGGCCTTCTGGCGGTTCCCTCACCGCGAGAACTGAAGCTACAGGGAACCAGGCAGAGGGCCTTCTCGGTAGTGGCGCCACCCTGTGGAACGCCCTCCCATTAGATGCCAAGGAAATAAACAACTGTCTGACTTTTAGAAGACATCTGAAGGCAGCCCAGTTTAGGGAAGTTTTTAATGTCTGGTGTTTTATCATGTTTTTAATATTCTGTTGGGAGCTGCCCAGAGTGGCTGGGGAAACCCAGCCAGATGGGCAGGGTATGAATGAATGAATGAATGAATGAATAAACAAACTACAGTTCCCAAGATTCTTGGGGCAGAGGAACCATGTGCTTCAAATGTATCATGTGGGTGTGACTTCTTTGTTTTTGCAAAACAATGTACCAACTGAGGCCCTAGAGCCCCAGGAGCCAAGTCATTCCTGCAGTCCTCACCTCCCACATCAGTCTGCAGTCTGTGTCTTCATCCAGCTCCTGAGGCATTCGCTTCTCTCCTGCAAAGGGTCCAAATTTTTCGCCCTAAGGAGTGGAAACACAAGCAAGCAAAGCCATCAAACCCTTCCTTCTGTTCTCGGAAAATGTATTACTATGTTCAGTTTCACAACTTTATTGGGGTCAGCTACATATTATTACAGAAATGTGTGACTGCCCCACCGTTTCTTTAAATTACTTACATGGGGATTCACGTATGAACAAAGATGGGGGGAAAGGGGTTTATACCCTTCCCCCAGCACCCATCCCCTAGCACCCCACAAAAAGCTGCTTTATTCCCCAGTGGTAAAAGCCTTGCAGCACAAATGCTATGTCCAGATGTTTTCCGAATCAGAAAATCAGAACTGGTGAGAAAGGTTAACTTCCCATACCCTATTTGAAAAAATAAAACAAGATATGGGGGACAGGTACCCTGAATCTCTGAAGAGAGCTAATGGGTGGTATTCAACTAAGTTTTACTCAAATTAATGAACATGTTTATGTCTTGTCCATTAATTTAAAGAAGTCTACTCTGAGTAAAACATCTTGAATATCATGCAAAGTCCTGTTAACAACTGTATTTTTTCAACTGCTTAATGATACAAATTAACAGCCTAATAAGGATATAAGAAGAGTTGGATAAGACCAAAAGTCAATCTAGTCCAAACTTCTCTATTCACAGTGACCAAACAGATGCCTTTGGGTAGCCTGCAAACAGGACTCATGATCCCCAATAACTGGTATTCAATGGCAAACTGTCTCTCATTCCAAAGGTTCTATATCACCATCATGACTAGCAGCCATTGACAGACTTATCATCGTTGGTGAATGTGCCTAATCCCCATTTTAAAAAGTCCAGGTTGGTGGCTATCACCACATCTCAAGGGATCAAATTCCACGCCTTCGGAAGTTAATTGTGTGAAGAAGTCTTTCCTTTTTCTGTCTCGAATATTCCACCTTTCAGGTTTATTTTATTTTTATTTACTTATATACCAATCGATTGTAAATTAACAACAGCAACAACCTCAAAGCAGTTTACAAAAGAATAAAACAAGAAAATCAAGGGGGAGGGGGAATTACAAAACTTTAAAACATACAAAAAGTTAAAATACTAAAATTAATTGAAATTCACATCTGCTTTATTGGATATTCCTTGGTTCTAGTATTATGGGAAGGATAAAAACCTTCCATTCCCCACCCCAAAAGAATTACTTGCCTTTTTTCTAAAACTTTAAATGCCCCAGATTTTGTAACATTTCCTCATAGGGGAATTGCTCCAACCCCTGGATCCTACTGGTTACTCTTCCCCATCCCCCAAATGTGGAGAATTGGCTCATAAGGTCACACATGTGATTCTCTGCCATGGCAATAGGAATGCTGTCAGAGACCCAACCTTCAGGAAAGTAGCTTGTCAGTTTTGTTCAGTGTACATTCTGTCAATTACAGGGGTCCAGGGGTGGGGTGGGGAGAGAACAGGATGTCCTCTGTTGTGCTACCTGATAAACTGCAAATATGGTACTCACACATGATCCACTAAGTCAATCATCCATCCTATTTACCACAATGTAAACTGCTTAGCAGGGACGCGGATGGCGCTGTGGGTTAAACCACAGAGCCTAGGACTTGCCGATCAGAAGGTTGGCAGTTCAAATCCCCGTGATGGGGTGAACTCCTGTTGTTTGGTCCCTGCTCCTGCCAACCTAGCAGTTCGAAAGCACCTCAAAAGTGCAAGTAGATAATTAGGTACCGCTCCAGCGGGAAGGTAAACGGCGTTTCTGTGCACTGCTCTGGTTCGCCAGAAGCGGCTTAGTCATGCTGGCCACATGACCCGGAAGCTATACGCTGGCTCCCTCAGCCAATAAAGCAAGATGAGCGCCGCAACCCCAGAGTCGGCCACAACTGGACCTAATGGTCAGGGGTCCCTTTACCTTAAACTGCTTAGCTGCCTATTTGTTTGTTTATAGGAACAAGGGAAGTTGCCTTATACTAAGTCCATTAGGCAATCTTGTTTAGTATTCTCCACACTGACTGACAGCAGCTTTCTGACTCTACCTGGACATGTCTGCAACTGAACCTGGGTCCACACAAGGCAGGTGATCTATACGGAGCTACAGCCCAGAAAGCATAAACCAGGAACCAGAGGAGCAATTACAGTAAGAAAGGACAATAACAGTTTGCTACAATTTGGCAAGCTTTGGCTACCTAAACTAGCTCAAGAGAGCGTTTTGGAAAAGGCACCTTTTGTTTATTCTCGTTCCCTTTGCCATTGAGGTGAAGGACTGAAATACACAGGCTCTTCCTTTGAAACCGAAGACTGTCACGGATTTGCAAGATGCAAATTGAATCCCTGCCCCCAGGCAAATCTATTTTGGATGCGAATCGGATTTGAGCTCACAGCTCCTTCTTTTATGTGGCGGTTGTCGAACTGATGGGGATTCTGACTGGACCGAGGAGAGCTCAATCGAACAACAATGGGCGCAGAAGGCGCTGCGAAAAAGATAGATTAAAAAGCAAAAGTTTTGAGGCCATTTATGTAATAATTTCCACAAGTTGCCAGACGGAAGTGAACTAAAGAGTGTCACGAGAGGAAGAGGGGGTTGGGATTAAATGGTGAAGATCTGAGAGAAAGAGGGAGAGAGAGAGAGAGAGAGAGAGAGAGAGAGAGAGAAATACGTGGCAAGCTCTCTGGGGAGGGTGGAAGGTTAAAGAAGGGAGGAACAGCTTGCAAGAAAAGCCTGGCGTCTCTCTCCCCCACCCGTCCTGCCGATCCCTCACCTTAATGGTGCAACAGCTAGGATCACCCACCTTTTTTACTCTCCGGGCCGTAAAAAGCCCCATCCCGTCTTGAATGTTAGATGACTTCAGGGCAAACCTGTCCGGCACGTACATGCCCAGCATTTTGTACTATTATGGGCTGGGGGGAGTTACTAATGTAGGTTCTTAAACAGGGGGAAGGGATCCAGAGGGGCTTTCATTGCAAAGGGAAGCGGGTTGGGTAGGTGGGGTGTGGGGAGAGAGAAGGGATCGGGCGGGGAAGCCTTGCTGCTCGATCTCCTCCCCTGCTCTCCCCCCTGGCCGGGCCTGCTTCTTCCCCCCGCCCCGATTCCTCGCTCGCGAAGTCTCCGCCGCTGGGCCGGCGCTTCTGCCGAGGCTCGAGAAAGGCGGCGCTCCGATTGGCTGAAAGTTTTGCCGAGAGCGAGCAAGGAAAGGCACAGCCCGCGACTCCTGCGAGGCGAGCGAAGGATCCCGGGAATCTTGGGCAGGGAGAAAGCGGGCAGCTTCTCTTTTCGGGACAGCACGAGAGCCCTGCATTCCTGCTGCGGAGCGTGGGCTCCAGGGCTTTAAAAAAATGCACTGAAAATCTGGGTCTAGCAGATCCGATTTGAGTGGCGCGACTTAAATCATTCTATGATGCATCCTGTATAGCACATTTCCCTAATTTTCATTTCCCCCCTCCCATAACTCAAAAACTATATGGCATAGGAATTTTTTGTTCACATTAGTGACTTTGACATGTGGAATAATCCAGTGCAGAACAGCAATTTCATTCAAAATCGGATACTATAGCAGTTGATCTTTGTGAAAACATTGTGGTGATCTGTCATGGAACAACTCCATTGACGAAGATAATAGGGGTTATCCAGACCTCCTTGCCGGTTGCGAAGGGGCCCCAATAACAGTTCAAGCTTCAGGGCTCCAAAAATGTGGGTCTGCCACTGGTGGTATCATGGGTAGGGCCTCTGAGGTCAAGGTTCCAGTTCCCACTCAGCCTAATTTCTGCCTCACAGGGTTGTTGTGAGGATAAACTTTGGAGGGACAGAACTGGATATGTTGTCTGGAGGAGCTCTTAAAAGGCTACTAACCTGAATAAACAGTGTGTTGTAGGAGTTACGATGCCCGACTCACCATCCCTCTGCTGTGAAGTTCACTGAGTGATGTTGGACAAATCACAATTTCTCAACCCTATCCTACCTCACAAGGCTGTTGTGAATTTTTTAAAAGTAAAATAAAAATAATACTGTACACGCAGTACAGTAGGAGTAAATGTCATTGAAAACAGTGGGACTAACTTCTGAGTAAATTTACAGGGGATTGCTCTGTTACTCTTGCCATAAATGCTAACTTGGATGGCACCAGAACAATAAAATATTTTTAGACACAAACTGGTTCCCTCCCCCAAAGGCAACAGCCTACTTCATTAGATGCATTTAAGTAAACAGACTGAGCTGTAATGGCAAAATAAATATAAGTACTGTATGTATGTAAGCTGGTATATAAAGCCAACAGATGAACGGTCTAAACTGAACAACCCAAAGCCAACTTCACATCTGAGCAGGGATTTTGAACATGGGACGACTATCTGTGATCTCCAGGGTTGTTGCTTTTTTGTTACATTTGTATCCCACATATGGTTTTTTGTTGTTGTTACATTTTTATCCCCATTTGTTGCATTTATATCTCAGTTGTTACATTTGCAACTCTGCATGGTACATTTGTTTTTTTGTTGCATTTGTATCCCACCAATTGTAGCTGGATCTAAATGCTGTAAAGGCAGCAAAGGATTGACGTGCAAGGAACTCAAAGCGATGGTTTTGCTTCACAGTAATCCTCAGTCTATATTGTTTTGGGCCAAGAGACAATTGCATGTGCAGGACCACACTGCAAGCTTTCTGTAATAAGTCTTGAAGAATTTGAATCTGGATTTCCCATCTACAAAACCGTGAAAATAATAATAATAATAATAATAATAATAATAATAATAATAATTTATTATTTCTACCCCGCCCATCTGGCTGGGTTTCCCCAACCACTCTGGGTGGCTCCCAACCGAATATTAAAAGCACAATACAGTGGTACCTCTGGTTACATACTTAATTCGTTCCGGAGGTCCATTCTTAACCTGAAACTGTTCTTAACCTGAAGCACCACTTTAGCTAATGGGGCCTCCTGCTGCTGCCGTGCTGCCACCGTGCGATTTCTGTTCTCATCCTGAAGCAAAGTTCTTAATCCGAGGTAATATTTCTGGGTTAGCGGAGTCTGTAACCTGAAGCGTATGTAACCTGAAGCATATGTAACCCGAGGTACCACTGTACAGCATTTAACATTAAAAATTTCCTTAAACAGGGCTGCCTTCAGATGTCTTTTAAAAGTAAGATAGTTGCTTATTGCCTTGACATCTGATGGGAGGGTGTTCCACGGGCAGGCGCCACTACCGAGAAGGCCCTCTGCCTGGTTCCCTGGAAAAAGTTAGAAAGGGCACTAATCACTGTCTCTTTTTCTCTACATTGGCTGTACAGTGTAGTTATCACATCAGCCCCCAAACCTACCTAACTTTTGCATCTTTGTAGACAATATGGCATCTTAAAGTAGACACATTTCAGCAGGTGTAAGGCAACAGAAAAGATACACAGACATGTTTGCCAGACAGATGTTTGAGCTTTTTAGCTTCTGTTCCTACCATATCCAGTATTCCAGATTCTTCTCTACAGAGTTAGTGCATTCAGTTTCAGTGATGATAAAGTCTGCATATAGTCGCTGTTGCCTGAAATAGCCCTGTGCATGGAGATCTCCCAAGTCAACATGTTAGAGCAAGCATTCCAATAAGTTGTCTATGGTTTTAAGAGTGAGATGGCACAATCTCTACAAAGAAGTGTGCAGTGCCTTTAAAAAATAAAAAATAAGACCTGTCACTTAAGTTTATTTATTGTTAATTACCCAGGTACCTTAGAAAAATGGGCCCTTTTGTTGTTATTTAAATAGAAAAGCAGGCTATTAATGAATACAAGGGAAGTTAGTGCCAAGTCCTTATGGGGAATGGTGGCAAAGCAGGGCTCTTAACCCCGGGGGCCTTGGCCAGGGCCCCATCTGACCAACCACTGGTGCCAGGATTGTAATCTACTAATGCATCTTGAACATGTTTATCTAAGCTATTTTTGATGAATATTTCATATTCCCAAATTTGGGAAGGAAACATATTGACAATTGTTTCCCCTCTAGTAACAGATGCATTAAATTGTCAGTAGTTTGCAAGCTCTTTCCTTACAGGATCCTCAACAAAGGCCCTTCAATGGTGCCTTGGAACATGTACATTTTATTTCACAGAATCGAAGAACTGTAGAGTTAGATGGGACCCTAAGGGTCATCTAGTCCAACCCCCTGCAATGCAGGGATGTCTAGTAAAGCATCCATGACAGATGGCCATCCAACCTCTGCTTAAAATAAAGGGGTTTTTTTAAGGGTCACATCAAACCAAGTTTTACAAGAAAGAAGAAGATGACTTGGTAAGGGTGAGCTGCATTTTTGCTCTTTAGTTGCTGAATTGCCAAGGTTCCATTTTCCAGAAGGCATAACAGATAATCCCAGGCTTCAGTGGTGTCAGAAAACATACGAGGAGGAGGAGGAGACCCAAAGAAAACCTTTTTGCCAAATACTCCTCTACGTAGTAAAACTAAATACATCATTAAAGACAAAGTGCACCCAGTTGGAACATTACATTTTGAATAATGCTATACCTTGTCCCAGTTTGAACACCAAGCTGTAAATCACTTTTGGTTATTTTGCTAATATTGTATAGTATCCACTAGCAGTTTTCTGAATGACAGGGGGACCTGAAAGTGAACTCACTCTATTAAACAGATTAATTTAAGATGGGAATTCAATCCAGAGTGCTCGTATTATTCCTGGGTTCGTTTATACACAGTTTATCAAAGTGCAGATTGGAGCTGGCCAAAGATTGTTCTTTTCCCAGCGGGGAGATGTATTTGTTTAAATCTGATTATAAAGCTGAAAGAAAAACAATGCATTTGGGGGAAGGCAGAGAGAGAGAGAGAGAGAGAGTGGGGGAAGGGAGGTGAGGAGAAACTGACAAACCTGTAGTATTTAAAATTCTAAATTTAACGCTGTGGGCTTACATCTCATAATTTTAATTACTAGGCTGCTCCGGATTTGTTCTTTTGCCTTATGCTTTGTTACATACGCCCTCCTTTGACATGGCTACCCTTTCAAGCACACCAAAGGGTGCAATTACTTCATTCTCTTTGCTGTCATTTTGAGACAACCGCAGATAAAGTTATGCCTGGTACAACTGGGGGGCATGAAGAGCCTTGTAACTCCTTCTGAAGTCAAAAGATAAGGAAAAGGGCATAGAAGTTGGCCTTAAAATGCAAACCCTTTCAGGCTTAAACAGATATACAGGCTGTGGTATCCAGGTGTGTTTAAAAAGGGCATGTTTAGGTGGATGTAGATAGATAATCTAAGGTGCATATGGTGGCTAAGTTTGGACTTCCAGGCTGCTCTGTCAGGCCTTTGGGACTCTCCCTATGGCAAACTCTTCAATGACCTGGGTGTTTCTGTCTGGCTGAGATGAGTCCTTTAACTCTCATAATGCATCTTGCTTGCCTGGATGAAAGACAGAGAGTGAGCTGTGACTGCGTTTAGGAATTAACCAACGGTATAAAAGTATGGTTTTCCCAGTAGTGATGTATGGAAGTGAGAGCTGGACCATAAAGAAGGCTGATCGCCGAAGAATTGATACTTTTGAATTGTGGTGCTGGAGGAGACTCTTGAGAGTCCCAGGGACTGCAAGAAGATCAAACCTATCCATTCTGAAGGAAATCAGCCCTAAGTGCTCACTGGAAGGACAGATCCTGAAGCTGAGGCTCCAATACTTTGGCCACCTCATGAGAAGAGAAGACTCCCTGGAAAAGACCCTGATGTTGGGAAAGATTGAGGGCACAAGGAGAAGGGACGACAGAGGACGAGATGGTTGGACAGTGTTCTCAAAGCTACCAGCATGAGTTTGACCAAACTGCAGGAGGCAGCAGAAGACAGGAGTGCCTGGTGTGCTCTGATCCATGGGGTCATGAAGAGTCGGACACGACTAAACAACCACAACAATAAAAGTAAAATTTGCATTCATTGCTTTGCCCTCTTTTGCCACTGGCACAGTCTGCTGTTGACATGTTTGGGCCCAGAAGAAATGCGTGTCACACTTGCCAGTGTGATTGTTCCTGCCCAAAGACAGCACCACAAGGCAAAAGGCAAGCAGAGTTTTATTGGGGTCAGTAAGCAACTATAAGGGTGGTAAATGGGACACTTGGAGAGCCTCCCACAACAACAGTTGTTCCAGGACCAAA